CGCTGTGGACATTGATATTTTCTTTAAGAATCACATTTGGGCGATTACAAGTGGGAAATGACACATGTACACACGATGCAATGGTTTCTCAGAAAGCTTCTCCACAAATGACCCACTCTGGGCAGACTTGGTGAAGGAATTCACCTCGGTTACTCCCATCGCTGTACCGTCCAGCAGTGCATCGCCTGGTCCGTGTAGGTGTGGGTAAATATGGCAATGGATCAAAGGTAGAGATAAAGAAAGGTGAACTAGCACGCTTGCCACAAAGGGTAGAAATGTCATCGTCAACCGGAAGAGTCGAAGCCAGTCCAGAAAACCCATGAACGTGATGTGACGACATAAACTTGCGTTTTAAATTCTTGACTGACTGACTGACTGACTTTGGTTTTACGCCGCTTTTAGCAATATTCCAGCAATATCACGGCGGGGGACACCAGAAATGGGCTTCACTCATTGTACCCATGTGGGGATTCGAACCCGGGTCTTCGGCGTGATGAGCCAACACTTTAACCACTAGACTACCCCACCGCCCCTTAACTTCTTGAATGCATCATCCAGAGAACTAGACATCTGCAGTAAACACGGTCCTGGAGGCAAGGTAATGGTAGATAATTCTCTATTGTTAAGAGTATGTGAGACATTAAGGTCATCCGGGGATTTACTCACAGGCAGTGGAAGCTTTTCAACCATCCATGCAAATACATGTGAAGGCTCCACAAAGTTGAAACTACCCTCTGGCGAAGAGACATCTGGAAATGGAAGGAAGGCTGATCACCAACCGATGCCACGGGAGCTGAACTTGAAGCAGTCGAGGGTTGACATTGATTCCAAGCTACTGTAATAGCTCGAAGCATTGTATCCAAATCTGGCGCATGAGAGGAATCACAAGAAGGGTTCCATGATTCAGGTAAAATACCATGTGTACCAAATCGGTCAGGTGGAACAGCCAATTGGCGTGAACATGGATGGAAAGACGAACCAGATCGACGAGGTGAAACGGTTCTGCAAGACGAATAGATTCGGTCCCGTGAGTCAATTAGCTCAGATGCAATGGTTCGGGAATGAACCTCAGAACCTGGTGAAACAGAACGGTGAATTGAACGAATTCGGTGACGTGACCCATCACGAATAGGTGAACCCATTCATTCATTCAATTCTCCACGACATGATGAAACGATTCGGCCTGGTGAACCGGTTTGGTGACGAGAATCCGAAGAGAAAGGAGTGCCAAAACAACTGTATGAATCGATTTGTGATTTGGTTCGATGACTAGAAGGCTAGGAGAAACAGAACGGCTAGGAGAAACAGACTTATCAGGCAGCACAGGTGAAGCCGAATGGTGAACCGAAGCGACTGTAGTCACGGGCTGAGATGAACCAGAAGTCCTAAAAACCAAAGGCATGGATCAAAGTTCTAGGGAGGCCATAGAAACCTCTACATCTACAACCACCCTAGAACCGCCCTAGGGCATCAAACAAGGTGAAGGAAGCGTCCCAAAAAGCGTTCATACATCTTCTGAATCTACGAATCCGATGAAACGTAAAAAAAAAACTCAGTCAGAAGGCGGTCAAGGCGTGAGGGTGGGACGATCCAAATGAGGTTTCTTAGTAGGTGAAGGGCCATGGTCAGTAGAAGCATTTCTAGCCCTACCTGCAAGCGCGCAGTGACAGACCCGTTTATATACCTTGATGTGCCCAGTAGATAAACCAGAGTATTCATCACAACGTTTCTCCCAAGAGCATTGATCCACACAATCAATACACGATATGTGTGGGTCCCAAGTGGAAAATTCTTCTTACACTGACCGCAAAAATTTACGCTTCTTAGTTGGAGGATCAGATTTTCCCATGATACCAAAAACAACTCAAACTCAAGAGATATAACACGTCCACTCTGTCGTGCGACAAGAAGTAGAACGATAGTCACTAGGGTAGTTCGGTCACGTGGGGACGCTATGACGTCACTGGTAACATTTCATGATAGGGGATGATGGATGGGTAGGCTTCCAGTGACGTGGGGACGCTTTCAACTGACGGTATTTGCCATGACATAAAGGGGTGGGGGTGGGGTGGGGGGATGGTGTTCCCAGTCACTTGGGGACGCTATGACGTCATGAGGTCTTCCATGGGGATGGGGTTTCCAGTCACGCTATGACGTGACCTAAAAATTCAAGACTCAAGAGGCATCACTTTTTCTAACCAGGGTATACTGTACTTGTTTCGAGTCTGGACCAGACAATAACATTAACTGGCATAAGTAAAACGGTTTTAAAACACTTGCTGAACATTTCAAAAACTGAGAAAGAAAAATGTCTCTGGAACTATCCAACGTGGGAAGGGGCCAAGTTTGGCAGAGGCTATATCCTTAGTGAAGTAATTGAAGCATTCTTTTCTGAAAGATCGGATCACAGTGTATACTGTATCTGTTATTCCATGAGATAATGCAATCCACAGTAAATGTGTATTGAGTTTCAACTGAGATAATGCAATCCACAGTACAATGAAGCCAGAACTACACCAACAGAAGCCAGAACTACACCAACAGAAGCCAGAACTATTGAAGCCAGAACTACACCAACAGAAGCCAGAACTACACCAACTTTCAACTGCCGGCAGTGACAGAAGCCAGAACTACACCAACTGAAGCCAGAACTACACCAACTGAAGCCAGAACTACACCAACAGAAGCCAGAACTACACCAACAGAAGCCAGAACTACACCAACTGAAGCCAGAACTACACCAACTGAAGCCAGAACTACACCAACTACAAGCCAGAACTACACCAACAGAAGCCAGAGAACTACACCAACTGAAGCCAGAACTACACCAGAACTACACCAACACCAACTGAAGCCAGAACTACACCAAGACACTGAAGCCAGAACTACACCAACTGAAGCCAGAACTACACCAAGCCAGAACTACACCAACTGAAGCCAGAACTACACCAACTGAAGCCAGAACTACACCAACTGAAGCCAGAACTACACCAACAGAAGCCAGAACTACACCAACTGAAGCCAGAACTACACCAACTGAAGCCAGAACTACACCAACAGAAGCCAGAACTACACCAACACCAGAACTACACCAACTGAAGCCAGAACTACCCAGAACTACACCAGACTACACCACCAACTGATGCCAGAACTACACCAACTGAAGCCAGAACTACACCAACTGAAGCCAGAACTACACCAACTGAAGCCAGAACTACACCAACTGAAGCCAGAACTACCAGTGAACAACAGATAGAAATAGAAAACAACAAATAAATTTATCTCATACTCAAATGATAACGACATAACCATATTGACGTGTAACAGTTTTATCAAAATCAAAACGAACCGAGAGTGTTTGAAATGTTCTCATCCTAATGCCGCGTTAAAATCGTCCTTAATATCAACGTACAGTAGTTGGCCATAAGTGAGTCATCATTAGTGAAACTTCCATAGACTTACATGTTAATTAACTCTTGCAAGAATTTTCATAAATTGAGTAGAAGTCATTTTATTTTGATATTTTGCAAACATCTTGGAAATCATCTTCAGCTACGTGTGCATAATTGTTTTCATCTTTCCAATGATTAGTTATCGAATGACACCTGATTAAGCACCATAAGTAAAACTTAATTTTAATCTATCCCATAGTCAGCTATGTTAATCCTGATTGGTATGTCCAATATATGTTGTTTAAATAGTTACAGTTTTCTTAATAATCATCGGAAAGTTTAATGGAAATTATGTACATGTAGCTGTGATGATTTCCGAGCTGGTAGATAAGTACTGAATAAGCAATTCGACCGAAACTAAATTTATGAAAATTATTCTTGCAAGACTTAATTAACATGAAAGTCTGTGGGAATTTCACTAATGATGACTCAATTATGGCCAACTACTGTACTTCTGTCGAAAGATGCTTGAATATCTCAGCGTCTCTGGTGGACACTGGTTCCAAGTGATAGTGTAAAATGCAGTGCGTACATCATCTTACTTTACACATAATGTTTACCAAACGGTCCTTCCTTCAAGTTTGGAAAGAGTCGGAAATCTTAGGTTCTACATCCCCTGTAAACTATGGATGTCCAGTGAGTCTCAACCATTCTTTGCAGTCATGGCAACAGCAGAGTTGTCAGCCTTTTACGGAAACTTGGGTCTCGTTGAAGATCTGTCTTGTTGGGGTAGTCGTCTCACTGGGAAAGTCGGTCTTGTTGGCAAATTGGTATGGTTAAGGTCAGCCTTGCTGGGGGAAGACAGAATAGTTGGGGACAGCATTCACGTCGGCCTTGTTGGGGGAAGACAGAATAGTATAGTTTGTTGGGGAAGACAGAATAGTTGGGGTCAGCATTCACGTCGGCCTTGTTGGGGGAAGACAGAATAGTTGGGGTCAGCATTCACGTCGGCCTTGTTGGGGGAAGACAGAATAGTTGGGGTCAGCATTCACGTCGGCCTTGTTGGGGGAAGACAGAATAGTTGGGGTCAGCATTCACGTCGGCCTTGTTGGGGGAAGACAGAATAGTTGGGGTCAGCATTCACGTCGGCCTTGTTGGGGGAAGAGAGAATAGTTGGGTTGTCAGCATTCACGTCGGCCTTGTTGGGAAGACAGAAGACAGAATAGTTGGGGTCAGCATTCACGTCGGCCTTGTTGGGGGAAGACAGAATAGTTGGGGTCAGCATTCACGTCGGCCTTGTTGGGGGAAGACAGAATAGTTGGGGACAGCATTCACGTCGGCCTTGTTGGGGGAAGAGAGAATAGTTGGGGTCAGCATTCATGTCGGCCTTGTTGGGGGAAGACAGAATAGTTGGGGTCAGCATTCACGTCGGCCTTGTTGGGGGAAGACAGAATAGTTGGGGACAGCATTCACGTCGGCCTTGTTGGGGGAAGAGAGAATAGTTGGGGTCAGCATTCATGTCGGCCTTGTTGGGGGAAGACAGAATAGTTCGGGTCAGCATTCAGGTCGGCCTTGTAAGGGAGGTCGCCCTTGTCAGACAGGTTGGGATTATCTTGAAAGGTCGGCCTTGTTGGGGAGGTTGGCCTTGTTGGGGAGGTCGGCCTTGTCGGGGAGATGTCCCTTGACAAACAGGTTGGGCTTGTTGGGGAGATCACCCTTGTTGGGAACATCGCCATTGCCAGGCAGGTTAGGCTTGTTGGGGAGATGACCTTTGTTGGGGAAATCACCCTTGGCAGGCAGGTTGGGCTTGTTGGGAAGATCACCCTTGTTGAGGAGATCACCCTTGTTGGGGAGATTACCCTTGTCGAGGTGATCACCCTTGTTATGGAGATCACCCTTGTTGGGGAGATCACCCTTGACAGACAGGTTTGGCTTGTCGGGGAGATCAGCCTTGTCAGGCAGGTTGGGCTTGTTAGGGAGATCACCCTTGTCAGGCAGGTTGGACTTGTTGGGGAGATCACCCTTGTCGAGGAGATCACCTTTGTTGGGGAAATCACCCTTGTCGAGGAGATCACCCTTGTCAGGCAGGTTGGGCTTGTTAGGGAGATCACCCTTGACAGGCAGGTTAGACTTGTTGGGGAAATCACCCTTGTCGTGGAGATCACCCTTGTCAGGCAGGTTGGGCTTGTCAGGGAGATCACCCTTGTCAGGCAGGTTTGACTTGTTGGGGAGATCACCCTTGTCGAGGAGATCACCTTTGTTGGGGAAATCACCCTTGTCGAGGAGATCACCCTTGTCAGGCAGGTTGGGCTTGTTAGGGAGATCACCCTTGTCAGGCAGGTTGCGCTTGTTGGGGAGATCAGCCTTGTCGGGGAGATCAGCCTTGTCAGGCAGGTTGGGCTTGTTAGGGAAATCACCCTTGTCGAGGAGATCACCCTTGTCAGGAAGGTTGGACTTGTTGGGGAAATCACCCTTGTCGAGATCACCCTTGTCAGGCAGGTTGGGCTTGTCGGGGAGATCAGCCTTGTCAGGCAGGTTGGGCCTGTTAGGGAGATCACCCTTGTCAGGCAGGTTGGACTTGTTGGGGAGATCACCCTTGTCGAGGAGATCACCTTTGTTGCGGAAATCACCCTTCTTGAGGAGATCACCCTTGTCAGGCAGGTTGGACTTGCTGGGGAGATCACCCTTGTCGAGGAGATCACCTTTGTTTGGGAAATCACCCTTGTCAGGCAGGTTGCACTTGCTGGGGAGATCACCCTTGTCAGGCAGGTTGGTCTTGTTGGGGAGATCACTCTTGTCGAGGAGATCACCCTTGTCAGGCAGGTTGCACTTGCTGGGGAGATCACCCTTGGCCGACAGGTTGGACTTGTTGGGGAGATCACCCTTGTCGAGGAGATCACCCTTGTAGGGGAGATCACCCTTGTCAGGCAGGTTGCACTTGCTGGGGAGATCACCCTTCTCAGGCAGGTAAGGCTTGTTGAGATCACCCTTGTTGGGGAGATCACCCTTGTCGAGGACATCACCCTTGTCGGGGAGATCACCCTTGGCAGGCAGGTTGGGCTTGTCAGGGGGGATAAGCCTTGTCAGGCAGGTTGGACTTGTTGGGGAGATCAGACTTGTCAGGCAGGTTGGGCTTGTTATGGAGATCAGCCTTGTCAGGCAGGTTGCACTTGTTGGGGAGATAACCCTTGTCAGGCAGGTTGGACTTGTTGGGGAGATCAGCCTTGTCAGGCAGGTTGGGCTTGTTGGGGAGATCACCCTTGTCGGGCAGGTTGGGCTTGTTAGGGAGATCAGCCTTGTCAGGCAGGTTGGGCTTGTTAGGGAGATCAGCCTTGTCAGGCAGGTTGCACTTGTTGGGGAGATAACCCTTGTTGGGCAGGTTGGGCCTGTAAGGGAGATCACCCTTGTCAGGCAGGTTGGACTTGTTGGGGAGATCACCCTTGTCGAGGAGATCACCTTTGTTGGGGAAATCACTCTTGTCGAGGAGATCACCCTTGTCAGGCAGGTTGGGCTTGTTGGGGAGATCACCCTTGTCAGGCAGGTTGGACTTGTTGGGGAGATCACCCTTGTCGAGGAGATCACCCTTGTCAGGCAGGTTACACTTGCTGGGGAGATCACCCTTGGCCGGCAGGTTGGACTTGTTGGGGAGATCACCCTTGTCGAGGAGATCACCCTTGTAGGGGAGATCACCCTTGTCAGGCAGGTTGCACTTGCTGGGGAGATCACCCTTCTCAGGCAGGTAAGGCTTGTTGAGATCACCCTTGTTTGGGAGATCACCCTTGTCGAGGAGATCACCCTTGTTAGGTTAGGTTGTCAGGCAGGTTGGGCTTGTTAGGGAGATCAGCCTTGTCAGGCAGGTTGGGCTTGTTAGGGAGATCAGCCTTGTCAGGCAGGTTGCACTTGTTGGGGAGATAACCCTGGTCGGGCAGGTTGGACTTGCTGGGGAGATAACCCTTGTCGGGCAGGTTGGGCTTGTTGTGGAGATCACCCTTGTCGAGGAGATCACCCTTGTAGGGGAGATCACCCTTGTCAGGCAGGTTGCACTTGCTGGGGAGATCACCCTTCTCAGGCAGGTAAGGCTTGTTGAGATCACCCTTGTTTGGGAGATCACCCTTGTCGAGGAGATCACCCTTGTTAGGTTAGGTTGTCAGGCAGGTTGGGCTTGTTAGGGAGATCAGCCTTGTCAGGCAGGTTGGGCTTGTTAGGGAGATCAGCCTTGTCGAGGAGATCACCCTTGTCAGGCAGGTTGCACTTGCTGGGGAGATCACCCTTGTCCGGCAGGTTGGACTTGTTGGGGAGATCACCCTTGTCGAGGAGATCACCCTTGTAGGGGAGATCACCCTTGGCAGGCAGGTTGGGCTTGTCGGGAGGGATAAGCCTCGTCAGGCAGGAGCCTTGTCAGGCAGGTTGGACTTGTTGGGGAGATAACCCTTGTCGGGCAGGTTGGACTTGTTGGGGAGATCAGCCTTGTCAGGCAGGTTGGGCTTGTTGGGGAGATCAGCCTTGTCAGGCAGGTTGGGCTTGTTGGGGAGATCAGCCTTGTCAGGCAGGTTGGGCTTGTTAGGGAGATCAGCCTTGTCAGGCAGGTTGCACTTGTTGGGGAGATAACCCTTGTCGGGCAGGTTGGGCCTGTAAGGGAGATCACCCTTGTCAGGCAGGTTGGACTTGTTGGGGAGATCACCCTTGTTGAGGAGATCACCCTTGTCAGGCAGGTTGCACTTGCTGTTGGGAGATCACCCTTGGCCGGCAGGTTGGGCTTGTTGGGAGATCACCCTTGTCAGGTTGGACTTGTTGGGGAGAGATCACCCTTGTCGAGGAGATCACCCTTGTAGGGAGATCACCCTTGTCAGGCTGGTTGCACTTGCTGGGAGATCACCCTTCTCAGGCAGGTAAGGCTTGTTGAGATCACCCTTGTTGGGGAGATCACCCTTGTCGAGGAGATCACCCTTGTCAGGGAGATCACCCTTGGCAGGCAGGTTGGGGCTTGTCGGGGGAGATAAGCCCCTTGTCAGGCAGGTTGGACTTGTTGGGAGATCAGACCCTTGTCAGGCAGGTTGGGCTTGTTATGGAGATCAGCCTTGTCAGGCAGGTTGCACTTGTTGGGGAGATAACCCTTTGGCAGGTCGGGCAGGTCGACTTGTTGGGGAGATCAGCCTTGTCAGGCAGGTTGGGCTTGTTGGGGAGATCACCCTTGTCAGGCAGGTTGGGCTTGTTAGGGAGATCAGCCTTGTCAGGCAGGTTGGGCTTGTTAGGGAGATCAGCCTTGTCAGGCAGGTTGCACTTGTTGGGGAGATAACCCTTGTTGGGCAGGTTGGGCCTGTAAGGGAGATCACCCTTGTCAGGCAGGTTGGACTTGTTGGGGAGATCACCCTTGTCGAGGAGATCACCTTTGTTGGGGAAATCACTCTTGTCGAGGAGATCACCCTTGTCAGGCAGGTTGGGCTTGTTGGGGAGATCACCCTTGTCCAGGCAGGTTGGACTTGTTGGGTCAGGCAGATCACCCTTTGTCGAGGAGATCACCCTTGTCAGGCAGGTTGCACTTGCTGGGGAGATCACCCTTGGCCGGCAGGTTGGACTTGTTGGGGAGATCACCCTTGTCGAGGAGATCACCCTTGTAGGGGAGATCACCCTTGTCAGGCAGGTTGCACTTGCTGGGGAGATCACCCTTCTCAGGCAGGTAAGGCTTGTTGAGATCACCCTTGTTGGGGAGATCACCCTTGTCGAGGAGATCACCCTTGTTAGGTTTAGGTTGTCCAGGCAGGTTGGGCTTGTTAGGGAGATCAGCCTTGTCAGGCAGGTTGGGCTTGTTAGGGGAGATCAGCCTTGTCAGGCAGGTTGCACTTGGGGGAGATAACCCTGGTCGGGCAGGTTGGACTTGGAGATCAACCCTTGTCAGGCAGGTTGCACTTGTTGGGGAGATCACCCTTGTCGGGAGATCACCCTTGGCAGGCAGGTTGTTGGGGAGATCACCCTTGGCAGGGGCTTGTTGAGATCACCCTTGTTGGGTCGAGATCACCCTTGTCAGGCAGGTTGGGCTTGTTAGGGGAGATCAGCCCTTGTCAGGGAGATCAGCCTTGTCGAGGAGATCACCCTTGTCAGGCAGGTTACTTGCTGGGAGATCACCCTTGGCAGCAGGTTGGGCTTGTTAGGGAGATCAGCCTTGTCAGGCAGGTTGGGCTTGGGCCTTGTTGGACTTGGGGGAGATCAGCCTTGTCAGGCAGGTTGGGCTTGTTGGGGAGATCAGCCCTTGTCAGGCAGGTTGGGCTTGTTAGGGAGATCAGCCCTTGTCAGGCAGGTTGGGCTTGTTGGGGAGATAACCCTTGTCAGGCAGGTTGGGCTTGTAAGGAGATCACCCTTGTCAGGCAGGTTGGACTTGTTGGGGAGATCACCCTTGTCCAGGAGATCACCTTTGTTGGGAAGATCACCCTTGTCGAGGAGATCACCCTTGTCAGGCAGGTTGGGCTTGTTGGGGAGATCACCCTTGTCAGGCAGGTTGGACTTGTTGGGGAGATCACCCTTGTCGGGAGATCACCCTTGTCAGGCAGGTTGCACTTGCTGGGGAGATCACCCTTGGCCGGCAGGTTGGACTTGTTGGGGAGATCACCCTTGTCGAGGAGATCACCCTTGTAGGGGAGATCACCCTTGTCAGGCAGGTTGCACTTGCTGGGGAGATCACCCTTCTCAGGCAGGTAAGGCTTGTTGAGATCACCCTTGTTTGGGAGATCACCCTTGTCGAGGAGATCACCCTTGTTAGGTTGGGTTGTCAGGCAGGTTGGGCTTGTTAGGGAGATCAGCCTTGTCAGGCAGGTTGGGCTTGTTAGGGAGATCAGCCTTGTCAGGCAGGTTGCACTTGTTGGGGAGATAACCCTTGTCGGGCAGGTTGGACTTGTTGGGGAGATAACCCTTGTCGGGCAGGTTAGGCTTGTTGGGGAGATCACCCTTGTCGGGCAGGTTGGGCTTGTTAGGGAGATCAGCCTTGTCGGGCAGGTTGGGCTTGTTAGGGAGATCAGCCTTGTCAGGCAGGTTGCACTTGTTGGGGAGATAACCCTTGTTGGGCAGGTAGGGCTTGTTAGGGAGATCAGCCTTGTCAGGCAGGTTGGGCTTGTTATGGAGATCAGACTTGTCAGGCAGGTTGCACTTGTTGGGGAGATCACCCCTGTCAGGCAGGTTGGGCTTGTTAGGGAGATCATCCTTGTCGGGCAGGTTGGGCTTGTTGGGGAGATAACCCTTGTCGGGCAGGTTGGACTTGTTGGGGAGATCAGCCTTGTCGGGCAGGTTGAGATCAGCCTTGTCAGGCAGGTTGGGCTTGTTGGGGAGATAACCCTTGTCAGGCAGTTTGGGCTTGTTGGGGAGATCAGCCTTGTCAGGCAGGTTGGGCTTGTTGGGGAGATCAGACTTGTCAGGCAGGTTGCACTTGTTGGGGAGATCAGCCTTGCTGTCAGGCAGGTTGGGCTTGCTAGGGACATCATCCTTGTCGGGCAGGTTGGGCTTATTGGGGAGATAACCCTTGTCGGGCAGGTTGGACTTGTTGGGGAGATCAGCCTTGTCAGGCAGGTTGGGAGATCACCCTTGTCAGGCAGGTTGGGCTTGTTGGGGAGATCAGCCTTGTCAGGCAGGTTGGGCTTGTTGGGGAGATCAGCCTTGTCAGGCAGGTTGGGCTTGTTGGGGAGATCAGCCTTGTTGGGGAGATCAGCCTTGTCTGGCAGGTTGGCTTGTTGGGGAGATCAGCCTTGTTGGAGAGATCACCCTTATCGGGCAGGTTAGGCGTGTTGGGGAGATCTCCCTTGTCAGGCAGGTTGGGCTTGTTGGGGAGATCAGCCTTGCTGGGGAGATCAGCCTTGTTGGGGAGATCAGCCTTGTCAGGCAGGTTGGGGTTGTTGGGCCATCGGCCTTTTCGGCCTCCAGTATTGTGTTTTATTTAAGAAATACAGTTTGCACTACCACCATGTATAGTGTAATAAAACACACTTTTGCCAAGAAATATTACAGTTAAAGCACGAGGACGCTTGCGTCCGAGTGCTTTAACGTCATAATAGTTCAGGGAGAAAGTGTGTTATATTACACTATACATGGTGGTAGAGCGAACTGTATTTCTTTTCTAAGAAGCCAAATTTAATACTTTCTAAGGATAAATACGATTAATTTAAGGCAGAATACAAACGGCGGTGTCGGTGACCTAAATTAAGAATCTTCGCACAGGGCTAACTGGCGCGCTGTTCTATTGATGTGTCTGCCCCCCTACGTTAAGACGAACGCTACCAGAAAAACAAATGATAAACAGTTTCATGACGGTTTACGTTCGGATTAAATATCTTCTCTAAAGTATTTTAATTACATCTGTGATTAACGTAAACCATGTGAATGTCGTATTTCTACTACCAACGTATGTTTAGATCAGTACATCCAGACGAAGCTGAGTAGTCTAGCAACATTCCACGATTGCATTGTGGGAATGTAAACATTGCGAACGTTACCGTGTCGCTGAAAACTTGCGAGTCGAATTGAGACATTTAAAACGTCAGAAAACATAAACGTAATGTTTCCACCAGTGATGTTAGGTGAGTGAAGCAACTGCAAACCAAGAAACGGGATGCAACGCAGTAGTTTACTGTAAGAGGCTGTACGAGGCGATGACAACTGACATGCATCGTGACGTCGCTTACACTGTGACGTAATGTAAAATGGTTCGATTACGAGGGGGCACACTAGAATGGCGCAGTGACGGGATGGCGTCATTCAATTGTTACGTCATCAAAAAACTATACCTTTATTGTCTGATAATGTATTTTTTTCTCGATTGTTCTAAGCGCTAAGCATCTTAGAATTCAGAATGTTATGAGTTATTCTCGTATTTTGTGTGTTGTAGTTTCACTGCTATGTAAGAGCATGTTCGATCAGCCCTTCTACTGTCTAGTTTCATCATATTTTACAAATGACTTGGTAATGGCCACAAAATGAGTTGCCACAGACGAACAGGTGATTTTTAACCTCACTTGACCAGACAAATACTATGTTACATAGAGTATATCAATCTGGCAACAACAAAGTCTACTGAGAATTAGGGATTTTATTTCTGTAAGTCATAGTACTTTTTATACATAAAGGAAGAGCACCACACGTTCCCATTCAAATAAAATCCAGAATTAACTTACATCCCTTATATGAACAAAAGATGCACAATACTGTTAAACTGTTCCTTGGTGTTTCTGGAGTTATCACTGAAGATAACTGGAACCAGTTGCTTCACTGACAACATTGGTATCTCTGTCAAGGAACAAGACAGCCCACTGAGACATGGAATCCCAGATCACATAAACAATCGTGTACCATGTTGTACTTTACAAATGACATTTTTTCCCAAAAATATATCTAAAAATTTGAAGCCAATAAGATTGTTTATTCTGAAGTCTCTGACAAAACCATTGTATTTGCTGACTGTAGCAGGCTGTGTGTACAACAGACTACAGATATATATACAACAGCAGCCACATCAGCAGCCTTGCTAGGACAGCTGTACAACATCACCCACAATCACAATAACAAGAAGAAGTGCACGAAAACCGTGAAGAAAATACACCTCATACCATCAGATGTTTCAACCTTAACAGGCCCTACTAATACAAAAATATTACAAACAAAGCCATCTTCTGATTGAATAAAGTTAGTTCCTCAAACATTATGCATGAAGACGTCCTTGTGCTTGTGCAGGTGAACGACCAAAAGGCACAGATTAAACAGAGACAGTATTGTACTCAGTGAATTATTTTCTAAATTACAATGAACTAGTTTACTGCTCAGATGTTTTTGATGAATATTGTTTACATGTTTGTGAAAGCCCATGTTATGTAGTTAGTAGATTAGTAACCATGGTAACCATATGTGTTACAAGCAACAAGTGTATACAGACATCACTAAAAATCATTGTGTTCAAATACAAAATGGCGAAAATTCCCCTTTATTGATAAGCACAAAATCACATTAGCAGGTGACTGCTTCATAAAATACCAACGAGCTATACCCAGATAAACAAAATACCCTCACTTCACAGTTAAACATATATCTTTCAAATACAATTTTATAAGATTTGGGCTATTAAAACTCCTATATGAACTGGAAATGAACAAAAACAATGTTCATATAAATATATTCCCATGTAAATCTCAAACTAAGTTAAGACCCAATGTGCTTGGTAACCAAGAGTTTAGTTTGCAGTGTAGGGAGGTGGCATGTTGGGGTCCATCGGCATCTTGATGGCATCCTCGTACTTGGGGGGGAGAAGCATCTGCTGCAAGAAACATAACATCACAATTATACCATTAAACCATGCAAGAGATTTATGTTGGAGACATCTGAATGTAGGGGACACCTGAATGTACACCTGAATGTAGGAGACACCTGAATGTAGGAGACACCTGAATGTAGGAGACACCTGAATGTAGGAGTCACCTGAATGTAGGAGACACCTGAATGTAGGGGACACCTGAATGTAGGGTAGACACACCTGAATGTAGGGACACCTGAATGTAGGAGACACCTGAATGTAGGAGACACCTGAATGTAGGGGAGACACCTGAATGTAGGGGACACCTGAATGTAGGAGACACCTGAATGTAGGAGACACCTGAATGTACACCTGAATGTAGGAGACACCTGAATGTACACCTGAATGTAGGAGACACCTGAATGTACACCTGAATGTAGGAGACACCTGAATGTACACCTGAATGTAGGAGACACCTGAATGTAGGAGACACCTGAATGTAGGAGATACCTGAATGTACACCTGAATGTAGGAGTCACCTGTGTACACCTGAATGTAGGAGACACCTGAATGTAGGAGTCACCTGAATGTAGGAGACACCTGAATGTAGGGGACACCTGAATGTAGGAGACACCTGAATGTAGGAGTCACCTGAATGTAGGAGACACCTGAATGTAGGAGACACCTGAATGTACGGGACACCTGAATGTAGGAGTCACCTGAATGTAGGGGACACCTGAATGTAGGGGACACCTGAATGCAGGAATCACCTGAATTTAGAAGTCACCTTAAGCAGGAATAACCTGAATGTAGGAGTCACCTGAATGTAGGAGACACCTGAATGGAAGGGACACCTGGATGGAAGGGACACCTGGATGTAGGAGACACCTGAACGAAAGGGACACCTGTATGTAGGAGACACCTAAATGGAAGGGACACCTGAATGCGGGAGGCACCTGCTCCAATCAGAACATCAAGATTGTTACAGAAATACTGGTACACATACACCATCTTTATGCAGATTCATATGTAGCATGATTTTGTTTTTGCTTCTCAGAAGCCATAACACTTGGAAATGACAGAGCATAACCAAACAGCCATGTCACAGTACAGGAATACAATTACTGTCCATTCAGAAAAGCAAGATAACACTGAGATTCTTTATGCATCAATGGCAAGTGATATGACCTTCCATGTATGACCTGTCTGCTTTGGCTGACCTTGACATGGAGAGTACAACATTGACATTAACAGCAACAGACAGATGTTTGAGGAAATGGCACCACAATCTTAAGGCTATCAGTGAAACATTTGTGCTACGTCTCTCTACCTCAGTGTCGGGATCCACGTTGTATTCACGGACCATGTTCCTTGAGGCATGTCTCATCTGCAGATATTTGTAGCAAGCCCAGACGACACCAATCAGGTAAGCCTGAAATACATTTTATTGTTAGTTCTTCTCGATGCTAAAAGTGTGAGTAAAATGACCACTCCCAAACAAGTTGATGTAACTCAAAGAATGTTGAAGCAAGTTAAAAGGTCTGTTCTGTTACAACAGGAACCAGGACGAGCAACAAAGTAAGTGAGGATCTCTCCATTACCAATACTGGTGTTCCCTGGGGTGCACCCTCAACTTCATTCTATATTAACAACTCTCCTCATAGAACCCCACAGCAAATCTAAATTCTACAGCCAGTTTCAGCCACAAGGTAGCACAACCAGCAGCTCCATCTCAAGGAGAACACGGGTTGTGTCCTCTGTCTTAGTACTCTTACTGTCAGCAAAAGCCAGATTAATGATACATGCCTGTTTCCACATTAGAAGATGGCAAAATTAAAAACTCTACTTAGCAGATTGCCAGAACATAAACAACTGATCAGCATTTCTGTCTCACTGACCTTGACGCAGAGAATGATGATGAAGATTGTGATGAAAACTAACATCAGCCAGTCCGAGTTCATCTCCAAAACACGGTCCATCCCGGGGAAGTTAGCCTGGTGTCAACACAAACAAAACTTGGTGATGACACTGTCAGCACAGTTAGCCTGCTGTCAGCTGATGTCAGAAAAGGACCTCAATTTGTTACACAACACAAGCAAGTGCTAATCAACAATAACTTCCAGAAGGCACATACCAGCATATTTCTACAGTGTCAATGTGAGAGGAGAAGGTGATGCAAGTTTTACATGTTTTGGGGATTACTGTTGTCCACTAGCAGTACTGACCAGTCCTTGTTCTCGGATCCAGAACTTGATGTTGGGGGCATAGGTGAAGTAGCCCACTACAGTCAGGCAGTTGAGGCAGAAGTCGAACACTTGCAGGCAGAAGAAAGGCATCAGGTAGCCAGGCCGGGTCTGTTATAACAACATAAATTGTAGGTCTCTGATAGTTCCTGTACAACAGTTCTACATCAGTGACACTTTGAAAGACACTAAGTATGCAGGTTCTCTATGGAATAGTCTCTGTGGTATTAGCTTCCAGACCACCAGAAAGTAAAATATGCAACATGGTTCAAATTTCATGAAATTTTAGGTTAATCTAAGCACTTATGACTGACTCCATAACAAAATAATAAGTGTCGAAATATTCAGAAAAAGCTGTGTCATATGTCAAGGTCAGTTTGAAGGTCGTTCACTCATGAAATGATGTGTACAAATAGTCCCTGAGAAAGTATTTGGCAGTTTGATATGGAGAATGACATTTGTAACACCACTTATGTTTACAACAGTAATGTTCCTGCATGTGATTGGTCAAGGTAACGAAGTGTTCACTGAACATCAAAACTACTTGTGTACAAGATAACCTTTAGATTAGACTAAATTTGTCTTGGAATATTTTGACATCTTACTTCCTGCGTTCACTCAGATTGTCAACTTGAAATGTGGCACTGTTCCTGGTTGTTTCAAGCATGCAATTGTGAAACCTTTGCTGAAAAAACCTGGTTTAGACTCCACCTGTTTCAATAACTATAGGCCGGTGTCTAATCTACCATTCCTCTCCAAGGTACTTGAAAGAGCTGTGAAGGTGCAACTTGGTCAGCACTTGAGTAAACATGACCTCTATCACAAATTCCAGTCCGCCTATAGGTCATTCCAGAGCATGGAGACAGCTCTGCTCCGTGTTGTTAATGATTTGCAGTGGAGCGTTGACAGGGGGAACTCAGCCGGTTTTGTTCTCTTTTTTTCACATTGTTTTGAGAAAGAGGGGGTGCACAGTTCATTTTCACGAGAGTTTCAATGGTCATTCAATAAACTTTTAGGACAAAAGAGGGTGTGTGCACCCCTATGTATACAGAGGAGGAACTAAAATTCTGATAGTCTTGAACATGACTCTTCATATGTTCCACACGTTGCAAGAATGTATACATGGAAATCTATAATTAACATACAGGAACACACTCCCACCGACTCTCACACTCAGCTTACCCTTACAACTCCATAGATGAGAGCCACAGTGATCATGAGGTAGGCCACCGTCAGGGCATAGCCCACACACAGGTCCTCTGAAACACACAAATGTCTAGCATCTGGCAGATATCTACAGTCAACAATCACCCATCACATCCATCAGAACCAATACAATTAATGTCGAGGCTCTAGCTATCTAGCGCTCATGCTCACCAAAACATTAACATCAAACTGCAATAAATACGACTTATTAATGTACACGATATTGACTGTAATTTTTGGATACAATTAACAAAATAGATAAAAAACCAAACTAAGTCACATATAAAATGAAATGGACACTATTTCTAACCAAAAAAAGGAAATTACATGATTACAATGGACATAAAATTTTGGATTTGTAGAGGGGTATTTTTGATGTTACATCCTCATAGTAACGCCTCTGGGGAAAACACAATCAAATTTATTATCAGATCATGGTGCATATTATGCCCACACCTTTCCACACAGCTTATATATTCCTTTTATATTTGTAAACGGTGTGCTATACACTAAAGAAGACATAGTAGTCATGGTAACACAGTCGTTGAATTGGAATTATTGCCTGGTCCCTTCTTCCTCACTATCTCTTCACCAAGCCTATTCTTACATGACTCTTTAAGCTGATACACATGCAGTTTGTAAACATTTACCAATTATCATCTTCCAAGATTCACAGAAATTTCAAATCTTAGAACCATTCCATGAAAGCAACACAGCTTGGTCCTCTCATTTTCCTTTGTTATTTTATCAGCATTTACATGTCCAGAAATGAACCTTAAAGGAAATAGGCATCCTTTGACCTTGATCATGCTGACCACTGAAAAAAGTCCTGACCCCATATCAGCTACATTAAATTCACAAAACTATCACGGAAAACATGTGAACCTTTGGTGAGTGATTTCTTCACGAATGACGGATACGCCTGGAAGCCCTGATCCCTGCCAGTTTCAGCCACAATGATACCATCAGTGTCCTGGGTGAGGCCCTGTTTGGGTTGCAGAATGTCTGGGTGGAAGGACACCAGGATCAACATTCCTATCAGGAACAGCTGCATCAGCTGAAACAGAGCGAATCACATTTGAACCCTCAAAATACCTTCACACAACTGCACATCCGTCTGTATAGTGATGGGTAAGGCAATTTGGATATATTCCTAGTTCAACTCTTAAAATGATGAATTTCTCACATATTTCATTTGTGGTAACTGCTCACCATACTAAGTGGAAGCAAACTATAGAACATGCATCCTTTGTGTTTATAGTCTTGTGAGTGAGTGAGTGAGTGAGTGGCTGAAGATTTACGCCGCACTCAGCAATATTCCAGCTATATGGCAGTGGTCTGTAAATAATCGAGTCTGGACCAGACACTAGGTCGCACTTGGGGCGTGTGTGTGAAATAATACATAATTGATGTTGGCAATCTATAAAATGTCTAGATACTACAGTCATATTATAAATTAACAGTATGTATAAGCATATCGTGTGCATTTCATTAGGTTTCAAATGCATACAAATATGATAATAAACTAATGAGGATTATAAGACAAAATATAAAGACGTACATTGACTTCGTTATTTTCAGTCCTAACATTTTTCACCACTGGCAGATGGTTAAACTTCAAAATGTCTTCATTTGTTATCAAATCGATGAGGATGGAAATACAGTCAGACCTTGTTCATCCGAACACTTTGGTTTTTCATTGAATTGTTTGGACAAACGAATCATTCGGATATCTGAATCAGGACCTAGGCGGTCAGCTACATGTGAAAACAAAACAACTAAAAATGTCCGTATGATCCCTGCATCCATTGGCTGAATGTGTGCGATTGTGTTGGGTGGCAGGAAATGGACAGCCACGCTGGTCAGTTTCAGATTTTTACAGTTGTGACAAGCCGCATTGTCACAAGCAAAATGACCCGCCTTCCACGTGACCTCATCTGTCGATCAAAAGACAGCAGCCAATCACGAAACAGCTCTGCTGTCATCCACGCCTTTGTGTTGTTTCTATATCCAGCATATCTCTGGATTGAAATTGCTATCAAAACAGCTAGGCCTACGAGATTTGCCAATAACAAAAGGTTTGATTTTTACAGTTCCAGTTGAATAAGCACACAATGCTACAGTGATCCTTTCCTTTGATCGCTTAGGTCCACTAACAGGTTGTGACGCCAATGTGTGATTAGATCCCAGTTTATAGAACAGTCCAGTTTCGTCAGTGTTGAATACGCCAATGTGTGATTAGATCCCAGTTTATAGAACAGTCCAGTTTCGTCAATGTTGAATACGCCAATGTGTGATTAGGTCCCAGTTTATAGAACAGTCCAGTTTCGTCAATGTTGAATATGTCTTCTGGGTCATATTCGTGGAGCACACTTTTCAATTCCTCTCGGCCTTTTACAACAGATTCTTTGTCAGCACTAGCTGCTTCACCTTGGAAATGCTTTTTTTTGATACTATGACGCTCTTTGAAACACATGAGCCAGTCTCAATCAACGATTCGAATCGATGTCCACTCAATGTCAAACTTTAATTGTTTCTTCTCTAATTAACCTACATGCCCTGTGATAAATATCCAATAAACAATGAATTAACTAGCAGCCAGCACAATGTTTTGACAAGCGGTAGACATCGTGTTTTGATACCTTGCCGACAACAGACCTTGGGTTTTGATATAGGATTGATCAAAGGTCAATGCAGTGAGCACTGTTGAGGAGCAGTAAACATCAGACATCTTGCCGACGACAGCCTTGGTGTTCGGATATACGAGGCAAATTTGTACATATTTTGCTGTTTCGTTACCAAAATTGACCGTTCGGATACGGAAACCGAATATTCGGATATACGAGGTAAATTGTAACTAGAACATTTTGTGAAGAATGTTCGTAAACCGAGGTATTCGGATATCTGAAGTTCGGATATACAGGTCTGACTGTATTATCGAGTAAAAAAGATTTCCTCTTTGTTGATCAATCTATACTTATACTATCAATTGCGCATGCGGGTAGCGCAGCTGAGGTCACGAACCAGTCAAGAATTATGGGATATCATCCGGGTACTCACGGGAGAAAAACAATAACAAAAGCAACAACCAGTCCACGGAACTTGTTCTGGATCAGTGGCCCTTTAAGTATTTATATATATTCTAAATTAAGGCATATCATACTATATGTTGATGGCTGTGTGCTGCACTACACATTACAATATGGTAAATCCAATGAACACTGTCTTACTGACCGAAATAAACGAGACCTATAGATTACAATAGAAACCATTTCAAACTGCCAGATTCAAGATTATTTGTTAGATGGTTCCGTAACTTGGGGTAAGTCATCAGTAGATTCGATCGTACCTAGATCGGCGATAAAGTTCACACAACTATTGTCTAAAGTAAATACCAGCATATGAACTAGGAAATGATACATAATAAAGGTTGTTGGTAGCATTGTTATATATCTAAACAGCTAAATGCAACACGGATGTGACTGTTGGTTAAATTAGTCAATATACACAAAACGAAACTAACCAAGTTCCACAAGCCAAGGAGAATGGTACCAGTCTTGACATGGCAGCAGATACAACAGCGATACGACTGAGGGTCGCTTTGGTCAAACTTTAGTCGCATCATTCAGAAAGTAGGGTTGTGAAAACAAGTTTGTTTTCACACACAGCTGACAATGTATTTCACTTCTACAGTTAATGGCGGCACTTCCTGTTTCTAAATATATATCTCTACGCGACATAGAAATAGTCCCAATATATGAATTGTGTTTTCACACGAAATGTAGCGAATTAGATTTGTATTTTAAACAATTTGTAAATGATGATGATATAATCCTTATAGTCATGACAACAAAATAAATCACTCCTTCTTGCGGAATGTTTTTTAAATATAGATCTTGTGCGCAACGCGGACACACTCGACATAAATTGATGTGTAAACGGATCATTGACCACATCGGTTCATGCACTTACTAGTCGTTTATTGGTGTGTATGGTTTAAGAGACACGTCATGCAACATGCATGATGGAATAGTCGTGATGGCAGAGTGGGTTAGCCCGCTGACTTTGTGTGCTGGCGATTAGGTGCTCACTCTGAGTGAGTGAGTTTAGTTTTACGCCGCACTCAGCAATATTCCAGCTATATGGCGGCGGTCTGTAAATGATCGAGTCTGGACCAGACAATCCAGGGATCAACGTCATGAACATCGATCTACGCAATTGGGATACGATGACATGTGTCAACCCAGTCAGCGAGCCAGACCACCCGATCCCGTTAGTCGCCTCTTGCGGCAAGAGCACAGGTTCGAATCCCGGATGGGACTGGATGAACCAGGCCCTTATACTGAGAACTAGAATCTGAGTATTGCCCTGCAGTGCAGGCTGAGAAAATGTAAGAACAAATATAACATATATGTTACAAAGATTGAAAAGTTAGGGATGTACATATTGTGAGGTTGGGTTGAAGCAAACAGACATATGTCGTGTATAATAATTGAGATTGATAACGCCGTTTTGGCCAGGCAACACAGGAACTTGGTAAAACGTTACATTATTTCAGCAAATTCTCAATGGGGGCTGCTAGATCTACTAATCCATAACACAATATGCAATGAAACATGAACTTCAAACAGTAGGTTAACAAGAAGTATTCCAAGACAGAATCTGGCGGAAATATCTCTCTCTCTCTCACACACACACACGCACACACACATGCGTGTGAGGGCGCGTGCCTGTCGTTTATTTGTTAAAATGGGTCTTAAAGTAGGGATTAAAACCGTTTACGTACATAGACATGTAACACACATACACAATGGGGTATATTTACATAATTTTATATAGGTTTACAGCAACTGTATGCAGGACATTTCTGTCTCACAGTATGCTTATATCGTCTCATGAAAGCCCTAGTATTTGAATCACATTGTCAAATATAGGTTTACCGTTAACTGTCATGCAGGACATGCCCGTGCAGCACGAACTCTGCAGCACGAACTCTGCACGCTCCACGTCTGGCTGGCAGACACATACCTCGGTGATGTCTCCATGAGTGTCTTTTAGTGGCGGAGAGATATGTGATGTTAATCCATTTGTTTCTCATATTAGACGTCAACCTCATTTGAAGCATTTCTGTTGATGTTAACGAACTTAATCTCGGCAATGTCCATGATATAAGAGAGTGGTATTTATGAAAGATAATTAATGAAGGCTTTCTGATAATGTACAATTTTCACATATACAACTGGTTACTACGTATAAAATACTGTCAACGTTGACAGGGGAACTATAGCTCAGAATTAAACCGAAGAATACGTTGACGAACACGAAGAAATGCAATGAGTCCAGACGTGTTGAGTTGGGTTTAACAATAATCAAATACACAAGACAGCAATGATCGGAGTTCCTATCTCAAACTTAAACAAGGCAAGCGGAGTTGCAGCTCTACTTCAGGCGGTTACCTACAAGCGGCACATGTTGCTCGTCCCTACACGGGTCGGACTACCTGACTGGCAGTATAGATAGGAGCGTGTATTTAAGACCCCGCAACAGACAGACAAATAGACGGTGGCATAATTACCTTGGACGTATTTGTGTGAGGCCGACAGGGCAAGGGGATATAAATAATAGTGGTGTAATGATTCATCGATAGTATCGATGTTTACATCGTCAACTACGCGACACGAGTGCATCGATACTAAAGACATTTAGGCAATATTATATTTGTAACTTTGTCAGGGTTTGTGTGTGTGTGTGTGTGTGTGTGTTAGAGAGAGAGAGAGAAAGAAAGAGAGAGAGAGACTGCATGTGCTTAGTGTCTATACAGTTTTATATATTAGTTAAGACATAAAAATATGCCAGCGGATGTCCGAGGCTACTTTCCCAGGATGGGTGACAACTGTGATATACCACTGTAACTAAGACTTATAAACTAATTGTTTTTTTAGTGTGGGGTCTTATGGGTTCTGACCTGATCAACAACGATAAGTGTCCGACAAAGAATTTAAGATACACACGTGAAACGAAAGAGTGTGAGACTGACTGACTGAGTTTGGTTTTACGCCACTTTTAGCAATATTCCAGCAATATCACGGCGGGGGACACCAGAAATGGGCTTCACACATTGTACCCCTGTGGGGATTCGAACCCGGGTCTTCGGCGTGACGAGCCAACGCTTTAACCACTAGGCTACCCCCACCGCCCCAAAGAGTGTGAGAAAGAGGCAGAGCTGTAAGATACTGAAGACGTAAGACATGTTTTTAAGTTTCTGAGAGAGCCTTATAGGATTGGGTGTTGTGGGCTTAGAGGACATGCGGTTTTTCAACCTGTCCAGCCACTGTCTAGCCATTGTCTAGTCGCCGTCAAGTTAATGTTTAGCTACTGTTATTCTTTCATTGTGTGGATTGAATTTAGAAGAAGCGTCATAAGAAACGCTTGGAACTTATGATTAAAGGAAATTTTGAAACCACTGAATCGAGTTGAAACTTTTAAATCATCTACACCCAACAGTTGGATATTGTAAGAACTTACACAATATATCAGGATATTTATATCGCGAGGGTCCAAGAGACGATATATCCCGATACAACTTAGACACGACTTAAAGTTGTAAGGAAATTTGCATTAGGAATAGGAAAGGAGTCTCTTTGAAATTCTTCTGAATTTAAAAAAAAATTGAACTTTAAAGGAATTTGTTTGTGTCTGTTATCTCTGTTACATGAACAAAGGAGTTGGTGTATAAGTCAAAGACAGTGAACATTTTACAAACTCTGTGAACTGTAGAATACTTGTCTTCAAGTAACTGAAACATGCAGATATATTTTATTGTTTGACAAATAACACTATTTCTTAAAAAAAATATGAACGATATCTTAGCTTTGTTAAGAAAGAGAACAAAGAGAAGATAAAATTTAGAAAGCAGACTTAAGAGGTTTTTCTCAGTGATTCTGAATTCTGATATACATTACATTGAGTTGGTGGTGAAAGCACTGGTGTAGAAACACAACTTCCCAAGGGAAACTTCACTTTCAGATTTATATATATAAACTGACCGGCAAAAGAAAGTATATACATTGCACATCGCTCTGTGACTTCAATGGGAACTGTTAAACGAGACTTCAGAATCACAGAGATCGATGTTTGACAAAATGATGCCACGTGACTGATCAAAACAGTAACTTTTCATTTATTGGAAGATGAATTATATCTTTTACTACTAGACATAAATCTCGTTTGTTATATTTCTTGAAAGTATTAAAAATAGCCCTTTGAACGGCGAATATATCTAACATGTTGCAACAAATGAAGATTTTCTATAGTCGGCGACCTTTCTGGGTGGACTTCAGCACTCTTTGATTTTTGGCTGCCATCTTGGATTTTGGGGAACATAGGCCTAAAGAATCGAGCACACCCCCAAAATATGTTTTATCATGATGTTCCCTAGCACTGTGCAAGGTTTTCTGTTTTAATCCAGCGGGGAAAAGTCACGTAGTGTTAGAATTGGATATCCTTGATTCTTGGCGGCCATTTTGGACGCCATCTTGGATTTTTCGGAAAATGGGCCCCAAAACTCGGGCACACCCCAAAAATATGTTTTATCACGATATTCCCCAGCACTTTGCAAAGTTTCATGCTTTAGTCCGGCATGTAACGATCAACTTCAAAATCGGACCTAAGCCACTGCATTATATACAAAGGGCACATCCTTTATAACGGCGCGCATGTCGATATAATTATTTCAAATAATTCTAACCACGCAGTTTCAATTCCTGCTGATTGATTAAATAGTATGATATGATTAGTTATGTTTTTGCACTTTTTTTCCTTCTTTGCGAAGCGACCCAGGGCAACAGGGGCTATACAACCGACTCAGCCACCTAAAGGGCATTGTGTACTCATATCGCTTTCGCCACCGTGGGAGCCGGGCCGATCTACAATTGTCCAATGGGTACTACTTAAGTACGTGATCTACCAGTCGTCCGCGTGTCCTCGCAGTTAGCCAGATTCTGTCAAAACAGGTCTCTCACATAGCCAGGGTGGGATTTGGCGGCGTCTTCCCGGAATGCCGGCACCTTTTGTTTTAGGCAGAGACCATATGTAGGCAAAGCAGTGAAACATGCTAATTAGAAGACAATGAGGGATTATGGGGGGCATCTCCTAACCAACCATGTGGAAGGCTGGCACTCCAGCTTCAACAAGCGTGCTGCAAGTCACCCCAACCTGTTCAAAGTCGTCGACTTGCTGAGAGAGGAGCAGAACGCCACCGAAATTATCCTAATGCAGCTGAATGCAGCATTCCTATATTTGGCTGGTTTACTCCCAAAAGTTAGACGTCCCAAAAGTCAGACATCCCAATTGTCAGACAAATCAATCAGGCGTGACTGTGATTACAACCTAGTCTACCCACTGATATAATGAACCTGTCCCATACACTAACGAGATGGTTTTCACATTTGTACAGAAATACTTTGATCAGAATGCTAATGTTGACTGGCTTACTCAATCACCATTTGGCTGACTAGGGTTAGTGTTTTGATAACACTTAGCATGAGTTCCAGATGAGCCATGTTTTATTTCAATTTTGGAAGCAGCGATGGCTGAGTGGGCTAGATCGCCGATTTTGTTGGCTATAAGGTGCCTCAGAAGAGCACAGGTTCGAAACCCGGATGGGACTGAACCCATAGAAAGTAATAGAATCTGTACAGGCTAAGAAAACGCAATTCCAAATATAGCATGAGTTACAAAGATTGAAAAGCTACGGATGTAGATGCAGGGACGTAGATATTGTTACCACACCCACAGATTGTTAGGTTGGGTTGAAGGAAGCAGGCATCTGCCGGGTGTAATGACACGCCATTTTGGCCAGGTGACGTAAACGGGAGCTTGGTGAAACATTATTTCCGCAAATTCTCAATGGAGGGCTGCTGGATCTACTAACTGATATATGAAACCCAACAAATATGCTCGGATTTGTACATTACTGAGAAAGTGCAATCCCACATATAACGTATTGTAATTATGATTACTTTCATTGTGTATACATAGGTGGCGGTTATGCTTACGTCAAGCGACCCAGAGCAACATGGCGTGTTTTCAACTAACTGTGATACATTGACATGTTTACATGTCACCGGCACCACGCCTGATTCGGACAAGCTGCCCTGCCAGCGCCTGCGAGAGACGGACTATCGGACTTTACCATAATCATGGTCAGAATCCTTCACAGGGGCTCGGTTCCAACACACTTACTTGACCCGGACAAATAAACCGTTATTAGGCGTGGGTTATTCTCTAAATAAACCGTTATTAGGCGTGGGTTATTTCTTTAAATAAACCGTTATTAGGCGTGGGTTATTTCTTTAAATAAACCGTTATTAGGCGTGGGTTATTCTTTAAGTAATAACCTACACGCTAATGTTGACAAAATTTGAAATGCTACTGTTAACCAAACCATTCATACGCTATATCATTTCACTATATTTGTAAAAGCTGCATTAGTGGAGATTATATAGACTCTCGCTGTTGAAGCTATACTTCTTGTAGTTCAATATAGATCATATCTCCCATCATTTCAAATCATTAAGTGGGAAACAAACTGTGGGAATCCAGGCATTCGCCATGTCTATGGAAATACAACGCGTAATGTACCATAAGCCTTGCTCCAAGTCTGTAGTGTATGTTGAGCCCATGGGTGCATAGTAATTCTATCCTTCGAAGAGGCGTCTAGATAAGCGGAAGGACCCCGGTCCTTTTTTAAGAAATTATCATTTAAACTATTAATTTTTACGCTAGAGACTTGTGCAAGTCTAGTAGTCTGTCTCACAGTCCCTGAACCACATTATTTTCCCTACTGCCAAGCCCTCCCTGCAGTGCTAAAGCGCTAAATAAAGCAAGTCTAGATTTCCTCAGGTTCAGGTCTCTGGTCTCTCTAGGGCTCCTTTTCAATTTACATTGGCTTGTTTGTTACTATCAAAATTATATATATTCAGAGACTAAGCATTAGTCTACAAGTCTATAACGTGACAGAGAAAATACTCGCTCTACAGCATAGCCTTTACTGGGCGATTTCGCTGTACGGAGCTCTCACTTCGCCGCACATCCGGTTATCAATATGGAGTTCGTTTAACACGTGCTTGTGTTTATATTTCGTTCGTATAAAGGAAAGATGCAAGTCTCCAACCCAAATAATGTTAAGATCTACAACTTAAGTGCTGGAAAATCTCTCCCTGAAGTAAGTCTTCGTACTATATTCTATTAGTTTCAACTGGCCCAGTATGTTTCAGGAGCACTGGTAATGTGTATACATGGTACAGATTGTGTAGTAGCTTGCTGTGACAGTTCCTATCCTTGGTAAAGACAGACGACAATGCAGTTTACCTGGCCAGCTCATATAGTGCTAATTGGCTCAGGTTGTCGCTCTCATAACTCACACACAATGGTCCATGGTAAATATGCACCAGTTATTTGCGCTAGTTATTTGCCCTTATGTCCCTTTTTTCACTTTTGTAAATGAGTTCTTTGTAATTGGAGTCCATGGTAAATCAGCACCCGTTATTTGTGATAATGTCCATGGTCAAGTATTGGCTACTTTGTATACCTCATAATGGCTCATTAGCCCAGGGTAGCATCAAGCTGGCAAACAGAGCTTAATCGTGCTGGTGCTAATTGTAAAAAGTGTGCCTTGTAAAGGGCAGTATTCCCCAAAGCTGCTATTATTGAATCTAATGGCCACCTAGTAAGTAGTAAAATAACCAGATATAACTCAAGAAAGTTATTTATAATGTCTTCACTGATCTCTCATGCATCTTCAGACCTAAGTGGTGTTAACTGTGTTAGGGCTAGGGCAACCTTACGGTTAACTGTGTTAGGGCTAGGGCAACCTTACGATTAACTGTGTTAGGGCTAGGCAACCCACGGTTAACCTCCACAGTTAACTGTGTTAGGGTTAGGGCAACCTTACAGTTAACTGTGTTAGGGTTAGGGCAACCTTACGGTTAACTGTGTTAGGGCTAGGGCAACCTTACCGTTAACTGTGTTAGGGCTAGGGAACTGTTAATGCTAGGGCAACCTTACGGTTAACTGTGTCAGAGTAAGTCCTCCACAGTCTTTAGCCCTTGAATCCTTGAACCAAGTAGTGGTGAACACTTCCATAGCTGCTCCAACTAATACTTTTCAAAACCACTCTCTCTCGCAAGCTTGTCAGATTCAGTTGATTTTGTACCTTTCAGTGGTTGTCAGACAGGAAGAAAAGAAAGCTACGGAAAAGTGATGTTGGTGAGTTTTGTATGCAGTTGTCTGAAAAGGTTAACGGTAAATGACATAGCCTTTTGTGTACTGATTTTAACAACCTTTTTTTAACATGTGTGTTTGTGTAAACTTGCTCAAACAATGACAGGCAGATACACAGACATATCACTCCACTTCCTTTATTGGGAAAATAGTTTACATCATATTTGCTTGTTATGTAATGGTGGATAATATTTGGTTGTCCCTACAGATATTCAAAGAAGGATAGAACTTATTCAAGACTTTGAGATGCCAGCAGTGAGTCGATGTGTCCAGGTGTCTAGAGATGGACAGTACATACTGACCACAGGTAACTCCTATCTTCATTCCGATCACAATTACATCACCTACATGGGTTGCAATATAGTTTACATTAATTACAAGGGCCCCAATATAGTTTACATAAATTACAATGGCTGCAATATAATTTACATAATGTACAAGGGCCCCAATATAGTTTACATAGATGACAAAGGCTGCAATATAATTTACATGATGTACAATGGTTGCAATATAGTTTGCATAAATTACAGGGGCCCCAATATAGTTTACATAAATGACAAGGGCCCAAATATAGTTTACATAGCTTACAAGGGCCCCAATATAGTTAACATCACTCCAAGGGTTGCAGTATAGTTTGAATGACTACACTTTTAAGTCCAGGTTGTTTAAATGTTAGATTAAAGTAAAAGATATCTGTTGTCTCTGTGAAGGTACTTACAAGCCTCGAGTACGATGTTATGACGTCCACCAATTGTCCCTCAAGTTTGAGCGAGGGCTAGATGCTGAAGTCCTCAAGTTCTTGGTTCTCTCGGAGGACTACACAAAGGTGAGTCTCTACTATGGAGATAAATAGCAGCACTATCTCAGGATTCATGACTTTTGATCTTTGACAGTGATGATTTAAAGTGAACATGGTGTTGACCTCAGTTAACATGGTGTTGATTGGAGTTACCATCAGTTAACATGGTGTTGAAATTGGAGTGTTGATTATGGCGTTAGGTGTTGATTGAAAGTGATGTTGTGTTCATCAAAAGTGAGTTGATTGGAAGTTAGCATTGGTGTTGACTGGAGTGGAAGTGTTGGTGTTGATTGGAAGTGATGTGGAGTTGATCAGTGTGGTGTTGATTGGAAGTGATGTGGAGTTAGCATGGTGTTGATTGGAAGTGATGTGGTGTTGATGATTTGATTGGAAGTGATGTGGTGTTGATTGTGTTCTATGTGGTGTTGATTGGAAGTGATGATTGTGTTCATCAAAGTGTGATGTTGATTGGAAGTGAGGTGGTGTTGATTGGAAGTGATGTGGTGTTGAATGGAAGCGTGTGATTGGAGACTGGAAGCATGGTGTTGATTGGAAGTTACTATGGTGGTGTTGACTGGAGTTAGGAAGTGATGTGGTGTTGACTGGAAGTGATGTTGTTGATTGGAAGTGATGTGGTGTTGATTGGAGTTACCATTGGAAGGGATGTGGTGTTGATTGGAAGGGATGTGTGGTGTTAAGTTGTAGTGTTGATTGGAAATGCGGAAGCGATGTGGTGTTGATTGGAAGTGATGTGTTGGCTGGAAGTGATGTGGTGTTGATTAACGATGTCTGTACACACACAAAGAGCCCTGAGTGTATCGGCAATTGAACCAGCCAATGGAAGACTTGGTTACACTTAACTGCTCGCCCGCCCGCTCTGACTGGGTTCGGTATCCCGGGTGCTTCGTTTCGAGGGAAGTAAACCCAAGTACAAAATATTGCACTATGATTTGCGATTGTACGCTTATAATTTTGTTTATTCTTTTGTCATAATCAGCAATGTAGATTATATGTCATGAATAAATGATAATTGTGTTTTGATTATGTTTATTTTTTTGGTTGCATCTATGTTTTAACGATGTGGTGTTGATTGGAAGTGATGTGTTGATTAGACCTAACCATGGTCTTGATGGGAATTACTATGATATCATGTGAGTTACTGCAGTGTTTCTTGACAGGTGCTGTTCCTGGAGGATGAGAGATACGTGGAGTTCCACACACAGTTTGGTCGTCACTACCGAACCCGGATTCCCAAGTATGGCCGCGACCTGGCATACCACTACCCCAGTTGTGATGTCTACTTTGTGGGTGTGAGGTGAGACATCATAGAAAGATCTGTGTACATACAACATATATTTGCCCTCGTTTACAATGTTTTCATCATCCTTGTTATCAAGGGTAATATAGCTCCTTTCTGCAGCCTGCTATGTCTCCATTCGCTACAGCCTTGTTTTGGGAACTTTGGGATGATACAATTTGATCAATAACCGTACTGCAGACTTACCACTGTGTCTCTACAGGGGAGGTAACTCCTACAGAAATATTGAGATACTCAAATTCATACTCAGAATGTATGCTGGATGAGAACCAAGGGCCTATTGTAGACTGGACACTAGGGCTATGCAGTATCGCCGGTAACCGGTACGGTACAGTATCTCGCGATACGAATATCACAATATGGTTCAGATTCTTCAATATATTGGGTCATCCAGAGTTAACTCCCTTTCAATTATCTGCCCTTGATTTCTATAGCAACAGAATGTGCTCCAAAAGTGCCAAACATACTTTTATTTCTGTTGGTTTCATGTAACATTTTACAAGTGGAAGTATCTTTGTCAGTGGCTTCAAAAGTGCCAAATATTCTACCAAATGCTTTAGGTTTGGGGGTTTGAATAGTTTCATATGTGACATTTTGGAGGAAATAAGTTGCCTGAAATGGACCATTCTTTTTCAGAAGAAGTCCTCCTTGGGGTACATATAAGGATTAAAATGTCCGTTTCAAAAGCCTATGACAGTTGTAACTATATTTTAATAAAAAATATTTCCAAAACGAAAAACAGGTTTTGTGTTATGAGACCACCCCTACAGGGCCCCCGCGGTGCCCCCTACCGGCAAGAGCAGGTAACTCTAGCCGACAACCTCGCACCTCACTTTTCATGCTGTCGTTTTCCATGTGAGACGTGCGTGTTATTCATTGGAGTTTTTACAGTCTCGGTTAGAAGCCGGCCTAGCCGCGTCTACTATCCGAGGCTACTCCACGGCCATTTCAGCTTTCCACATTCCTACCGAGGGTGCCCTTTTAGGACAACACCCTCTGGTCCAGTGTTTCTTAGCAGGTGTGGACAGAGTGCGTCCGGTCGTCCGACGGACAAGTCGGCCATCGGATCTGTCCATCGTTTTAGATTGGCTATCTAGTCCTTTCTTCTACGATATGTCGGGGTTGTCGCTTCAACTGTTAAGTTGGAAAACAGCATTTTTTGGTGGCTATTACTTCAGGTAGACGGGTCGAGGACATTCATGCTATGTCCTCAGACCCGGAGCTTACCGTTTTTCACAAGGATAGGGTAAGCATTCGATTACCTGACTCCTACCGCCCTAAAATCGATAGAGCGTTTCATGTAACCGCTCCTATCGATCTTCCAGCCTTTACGCTTCCTGCTTCGTCTGGTAGCGCGAAACGCAGAGTACATGTGTTGGATGTACGCAAGACACTTAAAGCGTATATCAAGAGAACAACATCCCTCCGTAAGGAGAAACAGTTATTCTGTTGTTACGGGGGCGGTAAAGTAGGCCACCCGGCTACTACACAATCATTATCGAGATGGATTGTGTCTGCGATTTGTATGGGTTACATACACAAGGGTCTGACTCCCCCAGAGGGGTTAAAGGCTCATTCGGTTCGAGCTGTTGCCACGTCTAAAGCGTATGCTGCTGCTCTGCCCACTGAGGAGATCTGCTCCGCGGCTATTTGGAGCCGACCGAGTACGTTCATCCGCCATTATCAGCTGGACAAACACTCGCGTGAGCGTGCTCGGTTTGGCCAGACGGTTCTCCACAGTGGACAGAGTAACACGCCTCAGGCCGAGTGAGCCTTGTCGCTGATTTACTCAGTGTTTTATACTGGTGTCGGGTCTATTCTTCCCTCATTTGCATTGTTGAAGGTATATTTCCGTTCTTTTGGTATCGGTGCCTTTGCCTATATTTTCCTTTTTTCCCCGCTTGGCTAGCGGTGTGCTATGGACAGTAGTTCGTTTTGGCAAGTCCCTGTTATTTACTCACTCCCACCTATCAGGCTGGGAGGTGGAGTTTATCTTGGGGGTGTGTACCGATTGACCAATGGGCACATAGATTTGACTTCCCCGGGTCCTCGCCTTAGTCACGCCCCCCGCCTTGATTGACATTGGCGGCCACGTGACTGGGTAAGTGTGATTTTCTATTTCCATACGGCTGTAGTTAGTTACTTCGATCGGACCAGTGTGTCAGACAGAATGCCACTCCCGGATTTCTTGTCTTTGGGAGTCTGTTTTATGCTTATATGTACCCCAAGGAGGACTTCTTCTGAAAAAGAATTATACAAACCTGTAGAGGTTATGAATTCTTTGAAGAAAGTCCTCCTTTGGGTACGGCCACCCGCCTCCCCTCATTCTGTCTGATCCGTTCAGCATGAAAAGTGAGGTGCGAGGTTGTCGGCTAGAGTTACCTGCTCTTGCCGGTAGGGGGCCCCGCGGGGGCCCTGTAGGGGTGGTCTCATAACACAAAACCTGTTTTTCGTTTTGTAAATATTTTTGATTAAAATATAGTTACAACTGTCATAGGCTTTTAAAATGGACATTTTAATCCTTATGTGTACCCCAAGGAGGACTTTCTTCAAAGAATTCATAACCTCTACAGGTTTGTATAAATTTTATATGTTTGGACTTATTAGTGGAACCTCTGGCTTTGAGTGTCCATTTCACAATTCACATCATTTTGATATTCTTGTTTGTTATATGTTATAGACATATGTTATCAAATTCATCATAAAGGTCAAAGTTATATATATTTTGTAGGACTGTAATGACATTCTAGTTGAGGATCTTAGTTATTGGAGGTCACATGAGATTTTAAGCTCAAGTAGTTCACCTAAATCATGTTTTGCAATAGTTCATGACAACACGTGTGTATTGTAGTTTAATCTGAATGAATCACTGACATACAGTAACAATAATGACATACTTCATTGAAGTGCATTCTGTTGAAGCAAACAACACTGATCATGAAAATCATGTTATACTATTACCTTTATCATTGTGTTCGCAAAACTTTGTTGCAATACAGTACTTCAATGAAACATTCCACATTAAGGCTCTATATCATTTATCTGTACACCACTGGCATACACCCATACACAATGGGGACAGGAAGCCTGAACAGATGGTGTAACATCAACTCAAAAGATGGTGTCACACACAGAGAGCTATTATGAATTTTTGATGTACGCACTTTGACAGAAACCTTCCAGTCAATATATCACAATATGTATTGCAATATCTCTTAACTTATTGCAATATATCGCAGTATGAGAATCAGGGCAATGTCCATCCCTACTGGATACCCAGGAAATGTGTGTAGCGTGAAGACCCAGGGAATGTGTGTAGCGTGAAGACCCAGGGAATGTGTGTAGCGTGAAGACTCGGGGAATGTGTGTAGCGTGAAGACCCAGGGAATGTGTGTAGCGTGAAGACCCTGGGAATGTATGTAGAGCGGAGACCCAGGGAATGTATGTAGAGCAGAGACCCAGGGAATGTGTGTAGCGTGAAGACCCAGGGAATGTGTGTAGAGCGAAGACCCAGTGAATGTATGTAGAGCGGAGACCCAGGGAATGTGTGTAGCGTGAAGACCCAGGGAATGTATGTAGAGCGGAGACCCAGGGAATGTGTGTAGCGTGAAGACCCAGGGAATGTATATAGAGCGGAGACCCAGGGAATGTATGTAGAGCGGAGACCCAGGGAATGTATGTAGAGTGGAGACCCAGGGAATGTGTGTAGTGTGAAGACCCAGGGAATGTGTGTAGCGTGAAGACCCAGGGAATGTATGTAGCGTGAAGACCCAGGGAATGTGTGTAGCGTGAAGACCCAGGGAATGTATGTAGCGTGAAGACCCAGGGAATGTGTGTAGAGCGGAGACCCAGGGAATGTGTGTAGCGTGAAAGACCCAGGGAATGTGTGTAGAGCGGAGACCCAGGGAATGTGTGTAGCGTGAAGACCCAGGGAATGTGTGTAGCATGAAGACCCAGGGAATGTGTGTAGCATGAAGACCCAGGGAATGTCTGTAGAGCAGAGACCCAGGGAATGTGTGTAGCGTGAAGACCCAGGGAATGTGTGTAGAGGGGAGACCCAGGGAATGTGTGTAGCTTGAAGACGCAGGGAATGTATGTAGAGCAGAGACCCAGGGAATGTGTGTAGAGCGGAGACCCAGGGAATGTGTGTAGAGCGGAGACCCAGGGAATGTGTGTAGCGTGAAGACCCAGGGAATGTATGTAGAGCGGAGACCCAGGGAATGTGTGTAGAGCGGAGACCCAGGGAATGTGTGTAGAGTGGAGACCCAGGGAATGTGTGTAGCGTGAAGACGCAGGGAATGTATGTAGAGCGGAGACCCAGGGATTGTATGTAGAGCGGAGACCCAGGGAATGTATGTAGAGTGGAGACTCAGGGAATGTGTGTAGAGCGGAGACCCAGGGAATGTGTGTAGAGTGGAGACCCAGGGAATGTGTGTAGAGTGGAGACCCAGGGAATGTGTGTAGCGCAGAGACCCAGGGAATGTATGTATACTCACATACTCATTAAACAAAATCAGAAACAGTTATATTTTTCCATATCCTGACTCATGATCTTTGCTTATCTCCTCCTTCTATGCGAACGGTAGTGGAACACTTGAATCCTTTGTAGTTCCCTAAAGCGGACATAAAAGTACACTCACCCACGAGTTACCTCCCTTTTCCCCCGCCAACAGTCATGTGACCAACCTTACTTGTCACTCTCTCCTGATTTATCTGCCCATGCACTTGGATCTACTGTGCAATCCGAAGTGTTTCCAGCGGGGAGGTTGGGGGGGCTTCTCCTCATGAGTCAGGATAAGTAAAAAATATGCTTCTCATCCTCAAGTGGCGGAATATCTATGTCACCTTAGATATACAAAACATCTGAAAGGTTCGACATTATCCACATATCTGGCAGCCATCAGTACAGTTGTCACTATGAAGTCAGGCATCAAGCTGGCGAAAGTACCAGAATTACTTGCTCTGCTGCCATCTTTTAAACTGGAGGACCAGCAAAAGAAATTCAGAGCACCAGCCTGGGATCTGAATGTAATTCTACAACATCTCATGAGTGATAACTACGAACCTCTAGAACAGACTATCCAGCTACTCACACAGAAAACTCTGTTCCTACTTGCCCTAGCCATGGCTACTCGAATGTCTGAGATACATGCGCTGGACTTTGGACGCCTAGATTCGACACGGGAGACTGTGCTGCAGTACATCTAGGACTTAGATGGGACTTTATTGCAAAGAATCAACTACCTGGTCAACCAGATAGAGAGTTGCATGTACCAGCGCTGTCTACGATCCTAGGATCAGAGGACACCCAGGACTTATCCTTGTGTTCTGTCAGAGCCTTGAAGATATACAGTGGAAACCGCTTAAGTAAAGACCGCTTAACTAAACATACCGGATAAGTAAACACTATTCTTTGGTCCCGGCAAATTTCTTCATTAATTATCATTATTAGAGTCCGGTTAACTAAACTCGGATAAGTAAACAATACCGCTTAACTAAAGGTTTTTTCACGATCCCTGGAAGTAAATTCCTTAACAAAAGAGACCGGATAACTAAATTAGCGATCACCACATAATCCAACATACGGGGCACGTGTCAGTCTCCGGCTAAACAAACATCCTACTTACAGCTCGCTGGCGTCATGCAGTTAACAATACACTGACAACTGGAAGCCGGACCTGATAAGTTGTTCATTGTTTTAGGTAGCTTGCGAGTATCAGTGATTACACCAATCAGCAATGACAGTGAGTTTATCCAGTTTACATTGTGAATGACATGAAGCAGGCCGCCATTACGGTCACGTGACAAGTAAAATCTCACTGCGATATCGGAATAAGATCAATTGGAAAAAATGCTTGTTTATTTAACACAAATGCTATCGTATAAAACAGAGGGAAAAAATATGTATCGTCAGTCTATTCTGGCAAAATGTCTCAGCAATCTCGCGAAGAACCTAGCGTGACTGGGGGGATACCGAGATCAGATCGTTCTGTCAAAGGTAAACGCAAACTTGTGGCAAAGTCTATTGAGGACAAATTCGCTGCACTTATAGAAATTGAAAGTGGTGTGTCAAAGTCAGATGTTGCAAAGACATTCAACATACCCACTGCTACTTTGTACAACTGGATCAGAAATTCGGACAAAATTAAGGAATGCTACCACCAGTCTGGTTATTCAAATGCTCGGAAACGAGCCCGGGTGTCAAAGTTTGAAGATGTTGAAGAAGCCTTATTGACATGGTTCAAAAATGTAAGAAATGAAAACATCCCGTTATCTGGACCACTTTTGATGGCAAAAGCTGAGGACTTTGCAAGTCAGTTAGGCCATGTAGATTTTAAGTGCTCAGTTGGTTGGTTAGGGCGCTTCAAAACACGTTATGGCATTGTCCTAAAAAAAGTTTGTGGTGAAGAAAATTCTGTTGATTTAGAATCTGACAGCATGAAGACATCGTCCAGAACATTATTGATTCCAGGACCATGACCCAGCTTCTCAGTGACGACGAAGATGAAGACGATGTGCCCCCTCCTCTACCACCTACTCTTGATGCCACAACAGCAGCCCTAGAAATCGTCAGGCGTTATGTGATATCACAAGACGATGAAGACAGTGTAATGACAGGATACAACATGGTGGCCAACTATGTAACAGAAAAGGAAATGAAGAAATGTTTCACAAAGAAACAATCCCTCATGACATCTTTTGTGGAGTAAAATGTTAGACTGTTAGACTAAAATATTTTGTTTCATTATGTTTGATTTTTATTACTTTGTATTATAAATGTATAGCTTAACGCAATGAAATGTTAGGGAATAAAACATGTCATATTACTTACAAATGTTGTCTGTTGTTCTGCCGTCATTTCCGGGTTTTGATAAGTTTGGATAAGTAAAATACCTGATAAGTAAACAATTTTGGCGAGTCCCTTGAAATTTTACTTATCAGGTTTATACTGTATCTTCAAAAGATTAAAACAAGGAGAAGGAAATTCAAGCGCCTATTCATCCCCTTGTCGACAGAGGTGAGGTGAGGTGAAATTGGGTTTAACGTCGTGCTTGAGAATATTTCGCTCATATGACGACGTGCATGCGTGTGTATGTGTATGTGCGGCTGCTTGTACTAGCCCAGACTTAAGCTGGTTTTATAGTGCTAGCCCACTGAAATACCATGCTGCATTGAAGCATGAATACCCCACTCAGACACATTATACTGACTCCGAGCCGACCAGTCCTTGTTGTACCCATTAATGCCGAACGCCAGGCAGGGACCAACAAGTACCATATTTTAACGTCTTTTGGTATGACGCGGTCGGGGAACGAACCCGCAACCTTCCGCTCTCCGGGCAGACGCTCTAACCACTACACCACGGAGGCGGTCCCTTGTCGACAGAGACATCAGTGGAAGTCTCAAGAACGACAATATCATTTTGGATGAAAACCGTTATCCTAAGAGCCTACAAAGCAGCAGGATTAGAACCTCCAAGAGCTTCCAACCCACACGAAGTTAGAGCACTGGCGTCAACACTGGCTCTGCATGGAAATTGCTCTATATCATCAATTATGGAGTGCTGCTTCTGGAAGTCGGATACGGTGTTTGCCAACCATTACCTCCGAGACATAGCCACCGAAGACGTCTCCAGCATTCACCAGTTTGGGCCTTTGTTGTAGCACAACAACTAATGGTTCCTCAAAGGCGCTGAGTTGGAAATCTCACCCTATATCACGTTTTCTTGTTGATAACTTTTACTATGGAAAAAGTCCTAGTTTGAAAATGCATGCGCACTGTCTATACTAGGCTAGCTTGAGTGATTAAGACTCTGTACGGGTAACGATCTTACCTGTACACTAGGGGTCGCAACTCATTGATGGTAACGATCTTACCTGTACACTAAGGGGTCGCAACTCATTGATGGTAACGATCTTACCTGTACACTAAGGGGTCGCAACTCATTGATGGTAACGATCTTACCTGTACACTAAGGGGTCGCAACTCATTGATGGTAACGATCTTACCTGTACACTAAGGGGTCGCAACTCATTGATGGTAACGATCTTACCTGTACACTAAGGGGTCGCAACTCATTGATGGTAACGATCTTACCTGTACACTAAGGGGTCGCAACTCATTGATGGTAACTCCTACCTGTACACTAAGGGGTCGCGAACTCATTGATGGTAACGATCTTACCTGTACACTAAGGGGTCACAACTCATTGATGGTAACGATCTTACCTGTACACTAAGGGGTCACAACTCATTGATGGTAATGATCCTACCTGTACACTAAGGGGTCACAACTCATTGATGGTAACGATCTTACCTGTACACTAAGGGTCGCAACTCATTGATGGTAACGATCTTACCTGTACACTAAGGGGTCGCAACTCATTGATGGTAACGATCTTACCTGTACACTAAGGGGTCACAACTCATTGATGGTAAGGATCCTATCACTAAGGGTCACAACTCATTGATGGTAATGATCCTACCTACACTAAGGGTCACAACTCATTGATGGTAACGATTTTACCTGTACACTAGGGTCGTGAACTCATTGTGGTAAGCGCCTGTAACTCATTGATGGTAACGATCTTACCTGTACACTAAGGGTTCACAACTCATTGATGGTAACGATCTTACCTGTACACTAAGGGGTCGCAACTCATTGATGGTAACGATCTTACCTGTACACTAAGGGGTCGCAACTCATTGATCGTAATGATCTTATCATAATCTATGGGTTGTTTATAGATAACTAGTAAGAAGAAGATACAATTATATCTAAAATCCACATGAATCTAGAAGATTGACTTGTCTGAGAGAAAAGTAAGACAAGATGGTGTCCCCCCCACCGAGTTACAATGGAAATTGGAAGAATAGGATCTAGGAAATGCCGTTACGCAGTTCCCATGGGGGGAGATACAAGACGTATCTATGGACAGCTGATGAATACACGAAGTGGCTTGACCCACCACCAATCCGAATGATTCTATAAGACAAGATCATGAGTCAGAATAAGGAAAAATATGTAATTTTTAAGTAAAATTTATATTTTTTACTTATCCTGACTCATGAGGAGAAGCCCCCCCAACCTCCTCGCTGGAAACACTTTGGATTTCACAGTAGATCCAGGTGCATGGGCAGATAAATCAGGAGAGAGTGACAAGTAAGGCTGGTCACATGACTGTTGGCGCGGGAAAAGGGAGGTAACTCATGGGTGCGTGTACTTTTATGTCCGCTTTAGGAAACTACAAAGGATTCAAGTGTTCCACTACCATTCGCATAGAATAGGGAGATAAGCAAAGATCATGAGTCAGGATAAGTATAAAATATCAATTTTTACTTAAAAAATTACATTTTTGTTTTTAATAAAATTTCAATATATGTCTGCTTCTTAATCACTTTGATTTTATTGTTATTCATTTAAGATGTTCTTGTCATGTTCTCATGTTCTCTCACAACAGCCCTGAAATCTACCGATTGAACCTGGAACATGGCCGCTTTCTGTCTCCCCTGGTCACCAGCGCTACGTGAGTGAAGAAATCTCTAAACACTAGTGTCAAACAAACAGAACTTGAAAAATCCTTTTCTGAATTGAATTGATACAGTTACCACCTCTGTGTATTACAACACAATACCTAATTATGAGGACTGTTAACTTGTAATACCTCCTATATGAGGGACAGTTAACTTGTAATGCCTCCTTTATGAGGGACAGTTAACTTGTAATGCCTCCTTTATGAGGGACAGTTAACTTGTAATACAGTTAACTTGTAATGCCTCCTTTATGAGGGACAGTTAACTTGTAATGCCTCCTTTATGAGGGACAGTTAACTTGTAATGCCTCCTTTATGAGGGACAGTTAACTTGTAATGCCTCCTTCATGAGGACAGTTACTTGTAATACCTCCTTTATGAGGGACAGTTAACTTGTAATGCCTCCTTTATGAGGGACTGTTAACTTGTAATGCCTCCTTTATGAGGGACAGTTAACTTGTAATGCCTCCATGAGGGACAGTTAACTTGTAATGCCTCCTTTATGAGGGACAGTTAACTTGTAATGCCTCCTTTATGAGGGACAGTTAACTTGTAATGCCTCCTTTATGAGGGACAGTTAACTTGTAATGCCTCCTTTATGAGGGACAGTTTACTTGTAATGCCTCCATGAGGGACAGTTAACTTGTAATGCCTCCTTTATGAGGGACAGTTAACTTGTAATGCCTCCTTTATGAGGGACAGTTAACTTGTAATACAGTTAACTTGTAATGCCTCCTTTATGAGGGACAGTTAACTTGTAATGCCTCCTTTATGAGGGACAGTTAACTTGTAATGCCTCCTTTATGAGGGACAGTTAACTTGTAATGCCTCCTTTATGAGGGACTGTTAACTTGTAATGCCTCTTTTATGAGGGACAGTTAACTTGTAATACCTCCTTTATGAGGGACAGTTAACTTGTAATGCCTCCTTTATGAGGGACAGTTAACTTGTAATGCCTCCTTTATGAGGGACAGTTAACTTGTAATGCCTCCTTTATGAGGGACAGTTAACTTGTAATGCCTCCTTTATGAGGGACTGTTAACTTGTAATGCCTCCTTTATGAGGACAGTTAACTTGTAATGCCTCCTTTATGAGGGACAGTTAACTTGTAATGCCTCCTTTATGAGGGACAGTTAACTTGTAATGCCTCCTTTATGAGGGACAGTTTACTTGTAATGCCTCCTTTATGAGGGACAGTTAACTTGTAATGCCTCCTATATGAGGGACAGTTAACTTGTAATGCCTCCTTTATGAGGGACTGTTAACTTGTAATGCCTCCTTTATGAGGGACAGTTAACTTGTAATGCCTCCTTTATGAGGGACAGTTAACTTGTAATGCCTCCTTTATGAGGGACAGTTAACTTGTAATGCCTCCTTTATGAGGGACAGTTAACTTGTAATGCCTCCTTTATGAGGGACAGTTAACTTGTAATGCCTCCTTTATGAGGGATGGTTTACTTGTAATACCTCCTAAATGAGGGACAGTAAAACTGGTTATGCCTACTATATGAGGATAATTATAACTAATGATGTATATTTTTTCAGAGAAATAAACTGCTGTGAATTCAACCCTATGCACCAGCTGTTTGCCTGTGGAACAAAAGAGGTAAGGCACATTATCTACATCCAAGTGGTAGGTGGGGCACATTATCTACATCCAAGTGGGAGGTGGGGCACATTATCTACATCCAAGTGGGAGGTGGGGCACATTATCTACATCCAAGTGGTAGGTGGGGCACATTATCTACATCCAAGTGGGAGGTGGGGCACATTATCTACATCCAAGTGGGAGGTGGGGCACATTATCTACATCCAAGTGGGAGGTGGGGCACATTATCTACATCCAAGTGGTAGGTGGGGCATATTATCTACATCCAAGTGGGAGGTGGGGCACATTATCTCCATCCAAGTGGTAGGTGGGGCACATTATCTACATCCAAGGTGGAGGTGGGGCACATTATCTGTGTCTATTATAATGTGTCTGAGTGGGGTATTCATGCTTCACTGCGGCATGGTATCTCAGTGGGCTAGCACTATAAAACCAGCTTCAGTCTGGGCTAGTACAAGCAGCTGCACATACACATACACACGCATGCACGTCGTCATATGAGCGACATATTCTCAAGCACGACGTTAAACCCAATTTCACATCACATCACATCACTTATGCCTTGGGGTACAGCCACAGCGTGTGGCTTCATCACTTTGCTTTGAGGCACAGTCTTGTATCCTGAGGCAGAGGTGATCGCCTTTCATGCTTACTGACCTCCACTCTTTGGAGCAATTACGTCAGTGAAGTGGGTCCTTCCCGAATTCCATTGGATTTCGTTGGATTCTTCTTCCAAGTTGCTGGAGAGAGTCATATGATGGTGTTCGGAACTGAACATTAAATAGTGAGATTTCCAAGGCATTTTCCCTTTCATCTCTTAATGATGGTTTGTTGTGCAGTTTGTTCCACTCAGCAGGTCGAATTGAAGAGAGAGAGTGCAAGTTGTGAGATAGGATAAGTGTATAAATACAGAATTTATAGTTAAAATTTCCAAATTCAGGGCCATGTTGAATGCTGGGACCCAAGGTCAAGGACTCGAGCAGGCATCCTTGACACTGCACTCAGCACCCATGTTGAAGACTTGGAGTAAGTTGCTTGCTGTGTTTCATCAATTGTTGTGACAGACGATTCCAAATAAGCAAGTCAGTATATAGAGTAGTACTATGTTAGCATGAAAACATTAGTCAGTATATATACAAAAAAGTATATGAGCATATTGTGGTCAGTATGAAGTGTACCAGTGATGTAGTTGTCACTGTTAAATGATAAATCTTGTGGTTTGTGAGAGTAACTGATAAATATGGGTCCAGTTTGTTATGATTGCCTGTTTCTCCACAGTGTGAGTGTCGTTCCATCCGTGACAGCACTTAAGTACCGAGATGGACTCAACCTGGCTGTGGGCACCAGTACTGGACATGTAGGGAGTATACCCGTCTACTGACACATTAGTACTCCAGTACTGGACATGTAGGGAGTATACCCCATCTACTGACACATTAGTACTCCAGTACTGGACATGTAGGGAGTATACCCTGTCTACTGACACATTAGTACACCAGTACTGGACATGTAGGGAGTATACCCTGTCTACTGACACATTAGTACTCCAGTACTGTACATGTAGGGAGTATACCCTGTCTACTGACACATTAGTACTCCAGTACTGGACATGTAGGGAGTATACCCTGTCTACTGACACATTAGTACTCCAGTACTGGACATGTAGGGAGTATACCCTGTCTACTGACACATTAGTACTCCAGTACTGGACATGTAGGGAGTATACCCTGTCTACTGACACATTAGTACACCAGTACTGGACATGTAGGGAGTATACCCTGTCTACTGACACATTAGTACACCAGTACTGGACATGTAGGGAGTATACCCCGTCTACTGACACATTAGTACTCCAGTACTGGACATGTAGGGAGTATACCCCATCTACTGACACATTAGTACACCAGTACTGGACATATAGGGAATATACCACATCTACTGACATATTAGTACACCAGTACTGGACATGTAGGGAATATACCACATCTACTGACACATTAGTACTCCAGTACTGGAGTATACCCCATCTACTGACACATTAGTACACCAGTACTGGACATGTAGGGAATATACCCCATCTACTGACACATTAGTACACCAGTACTGGACATGTAGGGAATATACCCCATCTACTGACACATTAGTACACCAGTACTGGACATGTAGGGAATATACCACATCTACTGACACATTAGTACACCAGTACTGGACATTCAGGGAATATACCCCGTCTACTGACACATTAGTACACCAGTACTGGACATGTAGGGAATATACCCCATCTACTGACACATTAGTACACCAGTACTGGACATGTAGGGAGTATACCCTGTCTACTGACACATTAGTACACCAGTACTGGACATGTAGGGAGAATACCCTGTCTACTGACACATTAGTACTCCAGTACTGAACAATACCGCCTCCGTGGTGTAGTGGTTAGAGCGTCCACCCGGAGAGCGGACGGTCGCATAGTTCAATCCCGACCCTGTCATACTGACACAGGCGTTAAAATATGGTACTTGTTGGTCCCTGCCTGGCACTTTCGGCATTAATGGGTACAACAAGGACTGGTGGACTCGTAGTCAGTATAATGTGTCTGAGTGGGGTATTCATGCTTCACTACTGCACATGTATGAGTATCCCAGTCTACTAGCACTATAAAACCAGCTTCAGTCTGGGCTATGTACAAGCAGCTGCACATACACATACACACATTAGTACACGCAGTACTGGACATGTATTTTCTCATACCGACGATAAACCCTTTTTCACCTCACCTCACCTCACCCAGTACTGGACATGTAGGGAGTATACCCCATCTACTGACACATTAGTACACCAGTACTGGACATGTAGGGAATATACCCAGTCTACTGACACATTAGTACACCAGTACTGTACATGTAGGGAGTATACCCCCATCTACTGACACATTAGTACACCAGTACTGGACATGTAGGGAATATACCCGTCTACTGACACATTAGTACACCAGTACTGGACATGTAGGGAGTATACCCCGTCTACTGACACATTAGTACACCAGTACTGGACATGTAGGGAGTATACCCTGTCTACTGACACATTAGTACACCAGTACTGGACATGTAGGGAGTATACCCCGTCTACTGACACATTAGTACACCAGTACTGGACATGTAGGGAGTATACCCTGTCTACTGACACATTAGTACACCAGTACTGGACATGTAGGGAATATACCCCGTTGACTCATGCTAAGACTTGCTGTGCCTTGACTTAATGTTTGATCATGTATATGTTGAGTCCTTGTAGTAGGAATGGGTATCTATTCCCAGAATGGCTACACGTGTACTCAATGTCATGGTTCAGAAATAATGCAAAATCAAACTTTCAATGCACTCACTGAACTAGAGATGTAATACATACTGCAGATACTTCATGTAATTCAGATTGTGTTTGTAAGTTGTAAACAGCACCACTCCAGCTGTCCGGCCATCTGAGCGATTCCCTTGCTTTGTACCAGGTTCTCATGTATGACATTCGCTGGGACAAGCCAGTTTTGGTGAAGGATCACATGTATGAACTTCCCATCAAGGACATCGAGTTCCAGCAGAGCCAGGACCTCGTCCTTTCCATGGACACCAAGATACTCAAACTATGGGACCGTCAGACGGTGAGTTGGTAGAGGTAATACTCGAGGTATGGTACCGTCAAAGTATGGGACCGTCAAGGTATGGGACCATCACATGTGGGACCATCAAGGTAGGGGACTGTCAAGGGATGGGACCGTCAGATGGTGAGTTGGTAGAGATGATATTCAAAGTATGTGACCGTTATGTAGGGGACCGTCATGGTAGGGGACCGTCAAGGGATGGGACCGTTATGTAGGGGACCGTCATGGTAGCGGACCGTCATGTATGGGACCATCATGGTAGGGGACCGTCAAGGTAGGGGACCATTATGTAGGGACCGTCGTCATAGGGACCGTCATGGTGGACCGTCATGTATGGGACCATCAAGGTATGGGGAGTTGGTAAGGTATGGGACCATCAGATGGTGAGTTGGTAGAGATATATTCAAAGTAGGGGACCGACGTTATGTGAGGACGTCAAGGTAGGGGACCATCAAGGTATGGGACCGTCAAGGTAGGGACCGTCAAGGGATGGGACCGTCAGATGGTGAGTTGGTAGAGATGATATTCAAAGTATGGGACCGTCAAGGTATGGGACGTTATGTAGGGGACCGTCAAGGTAGGGGACTGTCATGGTAGGGGACCGTCATGTATGGGACCGTCAAGGTAGGGGACCGTCAAGGGATTGGACTGTCAGATGGTGAGTTGGTAGAGATGATATTCAAAGTATGGGACCGTCAAGGTAGGGGACCGTTATGTATGGGACCGTCAAGGTAGGGGACCATCAAGGTATGGGACCGTCAAGGTTGGGGACCGTCGAGGTAGGGGACAGTCAAGGTATGGGACCGTCATGGTAGGGGACCGTCATGTATTGGACTGTCAAGGTAGGGGACCATCAAGGTAGGGGACCGTCAAGGTAGGGGACCGTCAAGGTATGGGACCGTCAAGGGATGGCATGTGTGTGAATTCATAGTAGTTGACAAGATGTAGATAGTCTTCTGACATCATGAGGGTGTTTGTTTTTGCAACACTTGGTGTTGTCTAATGATGATGATATCTATGTTTCAGGGTAAACCATTCACAGCCATCGAGCCTGGAACAGACCTAAATGACTTTTGCCAGGTTCCTGATTCAGGGCTGTTGTTCATGGCAAATGAAGCTCCCAAAATATATTCCTTCTACATTCCTGTAAGTAGATGCACAAACAAAACTGGTGTATACAGATATTATCTGCACTTGTGTATACAGATAATATCCATACTGGTGTATACAGATGATATCTACACTGGTGTATACAGATAATATCTGTACTGGTGTATACAGATGATATCTACACTGGTGTATACAGATGATATCTACACTGGTGTATACAGATACTATCTACACTGGTGTATACAGATAATATCTGCACTTGTGTATACAGATAATATCCATACTGGTGTATACACATAATATCTACACTGGTGTATACAGATAATATCTGTACTGGTGTATACAGATGATATCTACACTGGTGTATACAGATGATATCTACACTGGTGTATACAGATGATATCTACACTGGTGTATACAGATAATATCTACACTAGTGTATACAGAGAATATCTACACTGGTGTATACAGATAATATCTACACTGGTGTATACAGGAAGTGTATGTGACAACAAATGGGTTTCATCCATATTTCCATGTATATTTCAGAGTCTGGGAACCGCTCCCCGATGGTGTTCCTTCCTAGACAACCTCACCGAGGAGTTGGAGGAGAGCTCCACCCCAGCAGATACTGGTTGTATGCTGTGTCAGTAGATACTGGTTGTATGCTGTGTCAGTAGATACTGGTTGTATGCTGTGTCAGTAGATACTGGCTTGTATGTGTCAGTAGATACTGGTTGTATGTGTCAGTAGATACTGGCTGTATGCTGTGTCAGTAGATACTGGTTGTATGCTGTGTCAGTAGATACTGGCTGTATGCTGTGTCAGTAGATACTGGTTGTATGCTGTGTCAGTAGATACTGGTTGTATGCTGTGTCAGTAGATACTGGTTGTATGTGTCAGTAGATACTGGCTGTATGTGTGTCAGTAGATACTGGTTGTATGCTGTGTCAGTAGATACTGGTTGTATTCTGTGTCAGTAGATACTGGCTGTATGCTGTGTCAGTAGATACTGGCTGTATGCTGTGTCAGTAGATACTGGTTGTTTGCTGTGTCAGTAGATACTGGTTGTATGCTGTGTCAGTAGATACTGGTTGTATGTTGTGTCAGTAGATACTGGCTGTATGCTGTCAGTATGTGTCAGTAGATACTGGTTGTATGCTGTGTCAGTAGATACTGGTTGTATGCTGTGTCAGTAGATACTGGCTGTATGCTGTGTCAGTAGATACTGGCTGTATGCTGTGTCAGTAGATACTGGCTGTATGCTGTGTCAGTAGATACTGGCTGTATGCTGTGTCAGTAGATACTGGCTGTATGTGTCAGTAGATACTGGTTGTATGCTGTGTCAGTAGATACTGGCTGTATGCTGTGTCAGTAGATACTGGCTGTATGCTGTGTCAGTAGATACTGGCTGTATGTGTCAGTAGATACTGGTTGTATGTGTCAGTAGATACTGGCTTGTGTATGTCAGTAGATACTGGTTGTATGTGTCAGTAGATACTGGCTGTATGTGTCAGTAGATACTGGCTGTATGCTGTGTCAGTAGATACTGCTAATGTCAGTAGATACTGGCTGTATGCTGTGTCAGTAGATACTGGCTGTATGTGTGTCAGTAGATACCGGCTGTATGTGATCAGTAGATACCGGCTGCATGCGTCAGTAGATACTGGCTGTATGCATGTGTCAGTAGATACTGGCTGTATGTGTCAGCAGATACCGGCTGTACGGCTTGTGTACAGTAGATACAGTAGATGCTGTACATGTGTCAGTATACTGACGGCTGTATGCGTCAGATACTGGCTGTATCATGTATCAGTAGATACTGGCTGTATGCATGTGTCAGTAGATACTGGTTGTATGCTGTGTCAGTAGATACCGGCTGTATGTGTCAGTAGATACCGGTTGTATGCTGCAGTAGATACTGGCTGTATGCTGTCAGTAGATAGTGGCTGTATGCTGTGTCAGTAGATACTGGCTGTATGCTGTGTCAGTAGATACTGGTTGTATGCTGTGTCAGTAGATACTGGTTGTATGCTGTGTCAGTAGATACCGGCTGTATGTGCAGTGTCAGATATGGCTGTATGCTGTCAGTAGATACTGGTTGTATGCTGTGTCAGTAGATACTGGCTGTATGCTGTGTCAGTAGATACTGGCTGTATGCTGTGTCAGTAGATACTGGTTGTATGCTGTGTCAGTAGATACTGGCTGTATGCTGTGTCAGTAGATACTGGCTGTATGTGTCAGTAGATACTGGCTGTATGCTGTCAGTAGATACTGGCTGGATGTGTCAGTAGATACTGGCTGTATGCTGTGTCAGTAGATACTGGCTGTATGTGTCAGTAGATACTGGCTGTATGCTGTGTCAGATGAATCAGTAGATACTGGCTGTATGTGTCAGTAGATACTGGTTGTATGCTGTGTCAGTAGATACTGGCTGTATGTGTCAGTAGATACTGGTTGTATGCTGTGTCAGTAGATACTGGCTGTATGTGTCAGTAGATAGTGGTTGTATGCTGTGTCAGTAGATACTGGTTGTATGCTGTGTCAGTAGATACTGGCTGTATGCTGTGTCAGTAGATACTGGCTGTATGCTGTGTCAGTAGATACTGGTTGTATGCTGTGTCAGTAGATACTGGCTGTATGCTGTGTCAGTAGATACTGGCTGTATGCTGTCAGTAGATACTGGCTGTATGCTGTGTCAGTAGATACTGGCTGTATGCTGTGTCAGTAGATACTGGCTGTATGTGTCAGTAGATACTGGTTGTATGCTGTGTCAGTAGATACTGCCTGTATGCTGTGTCAGTAGACTACTGGCTGTATGCTGTGTCAGTAGATACTGGCTGTATGCTGTGTCAGTAGATACTGGTTGTATGCTGTGTCAGTAGATACTGGTTGTATGCTGTGTCAGTAGATACTGGCTGTATGCTGTGTCAGTAGATACTGGCTGTATGTGTCAGTAGATACTGGTTGTATGCTGTGTCAGTAGATACTGGTTGTATGCTGTGTCAGTAGATACTGGCTGTATGCTGTGTCAGTAGATACTGGTTGTATGCTGTGTCAGTAGATACTGGCTGTATGCTGTGTCAGTAGATACTGGTTGTATGCTGTGTCAGTAGATACTGGCTGTATGCTGTGTCAGTAGATACTGGTTGTATGTAAATCTCTCTCTCTGTTGCAGTGTATGATGACTACAAGTTTGTCACCCGTCTTGAGCTGGAAGAGCTTGGCCTGGGACATCTTGTCGGATCGAATCTTCTGCGGGCCTATATGCATGGCTTCTTTATGGATGTGAGACTGTACCACAAGGTGGGTATGTCATGGACATTAGACTGTACCACAAGGTGGGTATGTCATGGACATTAGACTGAACCACAAGGTGGGGGGTCATGGAGACTGTACCACAAGGTGGGGGGAGACTGTACCACAAGGTGCGGGAGACTGTACCACAAGGTGTGGGGGAGACTGTACCACAAGGTGTGGGGAGACTGTACCACAAGATGTGGGGAGACTGTACCACAAGGTGTGGGGAGACTGTACCACAAGGTGTGGGGGAGACTGTACCACAAGGTGTGGGGAGACTGTACCACAAGGTGCGGGAGACTGTACCACAAGGTGTGGGGAGACTGTACCACAAGGTGCTTACCACAAGGGGAGACTGTACCACAAGGTGTGGGGGAGACTGTACCACAAGGTGTGGGGAGACTGTACCACAAGGTGTGGGGGAGACTGTACCACAAGGTGTGGGGAGACTGTACCACAAGGTGTGGGGAGACTGTACCACAAGGTGGGGGGAGACTGTACCACAAGGTGTGGGGGAGACTGTACCACAAGGTGCGGGGAGACTGTACCACAAGGTGCGGGGGAGACTGTACCACAAGGTGCGGGGAGACTGTGGTGCGGGGAGACTGTACCACAAGGTGGGGAGACTGTACCACAAGGTGTGGGAGACTGTACCACACAAGGTGTTGGGGAGACTGTACCACAAGGTGTGGGAGACTGTACCACAAGGTGTGGGGAGACTGTACCACAAGGTGGGGGGAGACTGTACCACAAGGTGCGGGGAGACTGTACCACAAGGTGTGGGGAGACTGTACCACAAGGTGCGGGGGAGACTGTACCACAAGGTGCGGGGGAGACTGTACCACAAGGTGCGGGGGAGACTGTACCACAAGGTGCGGGGGAGACTGTACCACAAGGTGTGGGGGAGACTGTACCACAAGGTGTGGGGAGACTGTACCACAAGGTGTGGGGAGACTGTACCACAAGGTGTGGGGAGACTGTACCACAAGGTTCGGGAGACTGTACCACAAGGTGTGGGGAGACTGTACCACAAGGTGTGGGGGAGACTGTACCACAAGGTGTGGGGGAGACTGTACCACAAGGTGTGGGGGAGACTGTACCACAAGGTGTCGGGAGACTGTACCACAAGATGTGGGGAGACTGTACCACTATGAGGGTAGATGGGATCCAAACCATGGATATTTTAGTGTTGGTGGTGTGAAAGTCAGGAGGCAAAGTGAGGTATTTGCTAAATTTCTATCTCCGACTTGTTCCAATATTGTAATATGCGTACACAGTGGCCTTCTGGTAACAGCAGTTGTTTTCATCTCAATCAGGCCAAAGCCATAGCCGAGCCGTTTGCCTACCAGACCTACAGGAAGAGCAAGATCCGAGAAAAGATTGATGAGGAAAGAACAAACAGGGTCAAGTTGAAGGTCAGTGCTTCCTGTCCATTGCAGACTGGCAGTACAGAAAGGTTTTCCCATCTCTAGTCTTATTACTAAAGAGTTTGTTTGTCATATTACACAAGTGTTAGTCATGACAGGAGATACAGGTCTGACATGCACTGACTCAGGTATTTACTGGCTGTCATCTAAAAGCTGGAATGCTGCTGACTAAATTACAAACATGTTTTCTGTATTTATAATTGTAATAGATGTGGAAATGTTGCACTAAAACGTGATGTCTTGTGTAATATGACAGACTAACTCTTGTGTTATATGACAGACTAACTCTTGTGTTATATGACAGACTAACTCTTGTGTTATATGACAGACTAACTCTTGTGTAATATGACAGACAAACTCTTGTGTTATATGACCGACTAACTCTTGTGTAATATGACAGGCTAACTCTTGTGTTATATGACAGACTAACTCTTGTGTTATATGACAGACTAACTCTTGTGTTATATGACAGACTAACTCTTGTGTAATATGACAGACTAACTCTTGTGTTATATGACAGACTAACTCTTGTGTTATATGACGGACTAACTCTTGTGTTAAATGACCGACTAACTCTTCTGTTATATGACAGACTAACTCTTGTGTTATATGACAGACTAACTCTTGTGTTATATGACAGACTAACTCTTGTGTTATATGACCGACTAACTCTTGTGTTAAATGACCGACTAACTCTTCTGTTATATGACAGACTAACTCTTGTGTTATATGACAGACTAACTCTTGTGTAATATGACAGACTAACTCTTGTGTTATATGACCGACTAACTCTTGTGTTATATGACCGACTAACTCTTGTGTTATATGACAGACTAACTCTTGTGTTATATGACAGACAAACTCTTGTGTTATATGACAGACTAACTCTTGTGTTATATGACAGACTAACTCTTGTGTTATATGACCGACTAACTCTTGTATAATATGACCAACTAATTATTGTATAATATGACCGACTAACTCTTGTATAATATGACCAACTAATTATTGTATAATATGACCAACTAACTCTTGTATAATATGACCAACTAATTATTGTATAATATGACCAACTAACTCTTGTATAATATGACCAACTAATTATTGTATAATATGACCAACTAAATCTTGTATAATATGACCAACTAATTATTGTATAATATGACCAACTAACTCTTGTATAATATGACCAACTAACTCTTGTATAATATGACCAACTAATTATTGCATAATATGACCGACTAATTATTGCATAATATGACCGACTAATTATTGTTTAATATGACCAACTAATTATATAATACTATGACCGACTAACTCTTGTATAATATGACCAACTAATTATTGTATATAATATGACCAACCATAATATGACCAACTAATTATTGTATAATATGACCAACTAACTCTTGTATAATATGACCAACTAATTATTGTATAATATGACCAACTAACTCTTGTATAATATGACCAACTAACTCTTGTATAATATGACCAACTAATTATTGCATAATATGACCGACTAACTCTTGTATAATATGACCAACTAATTATTGTATAATATGAGCGACTAACTCTTGTATAATATGACCAACTAATTATTGCATAATATAACCAACTAATTATTGTATAATATGACCAACTAATTATTGTATAATATGACCAACTAATTATTGTATAATATGACCAACTAATTATTGTATAATATGACCAACTAACTCTTGTATAATATGACCAACTAATTATTGTATAATATGACCAACTAACTCTTGTATAATATGACCAACTAACTCTTGTATAATATGACCAACTAATTATTGCATAATATGACCAACTAACTCTTGTATAATATGACCAACTAATTATTGTATAATATGACCAACTAACTCTTGTATAATATGACCAACTAATTATTGTATAATATGACCGACTAACTCTTGTATAATATGACCAACTAATGACCTTGTATAATATGACCTAACTCTTTGTGGACTAATTATTGTATAATATGACCAACTAATTATTGTATAATATGACCGACTAACTCTTGTATAATATGACCAACTAATTATTGTATAATATGACCAACTAACTCTTGTATAATATGACCAACTAATTGTTGTATAATATGACCAACTAACTCTTGTATAATATGACCAACTAATTATTGTATAATATGACCAACTAACTCTTGTATAATATGACCAACTAATTATTGTATAATATGACCAACTAACTCTTGTATAATATGACCAACTAACTCTTGTATAATATGACTAACTAATTATTGTATAATATGACCAACTAACTCTTGTATAATATGACCAACTAATTATTGTATAATATGACCGACTAAATCTTGTATAATATGACCAACTAATTATTGTATAATATGACCAACTAACTCTTGTATAATATGACCAACTAACTCTTGTATAATATGACCAACTAACTCTTGTATAATATGACCAACTAATTATTGCATAATATGACCAACTAATTATTGTATAATATGACCGACTAATTATTGTTTAATATGACCAACTAATTATATAATACTATGACCGACTAACTCTTGTATAATATGACCGACTAATTATTGTATAATATGACCAACTAACTCTTGTATAATATGACCAACTAATTATTGTATAATATGACCAACTAACTCTTGTATAATATGACCAACTAATTATTGTATAATATGACCAACTAACTCTTGTATAATATGACCAACTAACTCTTGTATAATATGACCAACTAACTGTTGTATAATATGACCAACTAATTATTGTATAATATGACCAACTAATTATTGTATAATATGACCAACTAACTCTTGTATAATATGACCAACTAATTATTGTATAATATGACCAACTAACTATTGTATAATATGACCAACTAATTATTGTATAATATGACCAACTAACTGTTGTATAATATGACCAACTAACTGTTGTATAATATGACCAACTAACTGTTGTATAATATGACCAACTAATTATTGTGTATGAAAACTGTTTTTGAGTGGACAGCAGATGCCCAGTCCTCACCGTGAGTGACCAGTTATAGGAATATTATGAAATGCTGGTAAAGTGAACAGTTTGTTCTCGCTCCAGTCTTCAGCTGTGAGAATGTTGTTGCTTCACAGAAGCTGCCCAAGGTGAACCGTGACTTGGCCGAGAAACTGATTGCTGAAGCCGAGGACACTGCTGTGGACAGGAGAAAGAAGAAGGTGAGTGTAGCAGTGACACAGATAGACAGACGGGCACTGGAAGTAGGTGAGTGTAGCAGTGACACAGACAGACAGACGGGCACTGGAAGAAGGTGAGTGTAGCAGTGACACAGACAGACAGACGGGCACTGGAAGAAGGTGAGTGTAGCAGTGACACAGACAGACAGACGGGCACTGGAAGAAGGTGAGTGTAGCAGTGACACAGACAGACACACGGGCACTGGAAGAAGGTGAGTGTAGCAGTGACACAGACAGACGAGCACTGGAAGAAGGTGAGTGTAGCAGTGACACAGACAGACAGACGGGCACTGGAAGAAGGTGAGTGTAGCAGTGACACAGACAGACAGACGGGCACTGGAAGAAGGTGAGTGTAGCAGTGACACAGACAGATGGCGGGCACTGGAAGAAGGTGAGTGTAGCAGACAGACAGACGGGCACTGAAGAAGGTGAGTGTAGCAGTGACACAGACAGACAGACACTGGAAGAAGGTGAGTGTACAGACAGACAGACGGGCACTGGAAGAAGGTGAGTGTAGCAGTGACAGTGACACTGGAAGACAGTGACACAGACAGACGGGCACTGGAAGAAGGTGAGTGTAGCAGTGACACAGACAGACGGGCACTGGAAGAAGGTGAGTGTACCAGTGACACAGACAGACGGAAGAGCACTGGAAGAAGGTGAGTGTAGCAGTGACAGACAGACGAGAACTGCGCCACTTATGGTCACTGGAAGAAGGTGAGTGTAGCACCACTTGTGCCTCCCTTACACCATTTGTGTCCTTTTTACACCTTTTGTGCCCCTTTTATACCATTTTTGCCCCATTTATACCACTTATGTCCCTTTATATCATGTGTGCCCATTCATACCTTTTGTGTCCCCTTTACAGCATCTGTGTCTCCTTTACACCTTTTGTGCCCCCTTTATAACATTTCTGCCAATTTATATCATTTGTGTCCCCCTTACACCATTTGTGTCCTTTTAGTACCATTTTTGCCCCATTTATACCATTTGTGCCCCTTTATATCATGTGTGCCCATACATACCTTTTGTGTCCCCATTCATACCTTTTGTGTCCCCCTTACAGCATCAGTGTCTCCTTTACACCTTCTGTGCCCCCTTTGTACCATTTGTGTCCCCCTTATGCCACTCCTGTCCCCTTTAGACTATTTGTGCCCCATTTATACCATTTGTGTCCCCCTTACACCTTGTGTTCTCAATTTATATCATTTGTGCCCCTTTATACCACTTATGTCCACCTTATACCTACAGGGGCGGTGGGTATACTAGTGGTTAAAGCATTTATACCATTTGTTGCCCCTTTTCGATTCCCCACATGGGTACAATGTGTGAAGTCCATTTGTTTCCCCTTTATCCCATTGGTTTCCCCTTGCTGGAATATTTAAAAACGTAAAGCCATACTCAGTCAGTCAGTTATACCATTTTTGCCTCATTTATACCATTTGTGCCCCCTTTACAACTTTTGTGCCCCATTTGTTTCCCCTTTATACCAATTGTTTCCCCTTTATACCATTGGTTTCCCCTTATACCATTTGTTTCCCCCTTATACCATTTGTTTCCCCTTTATACCATTGGTTTCCCTTATACCATTTGTTTCCTCCTCATACCATTTGTTTCCTCCTTATACCATTTGTTTCCCCTTTATACCAGTTTTCCCCTTTATATCAGTTGTTTCCCCTTTATACCATTGGTTTCCCCTTATACCATTTGTTTCCTCCTCATACCATTTGTTTCCTCCCCTATACCATTTGTTTCCCCATTATACCCCCTTTCAGTTGTTTCCCTTTATACCATTTGTTTCCCTTTACCACCATTACCATTTGTTTCCCCCTTATACCATTTGTTTCCCCCTTATACCATTTGTTTCCGCTTTATACCATTTGTTTCCCTTATACCATTTGTTTCCCCTTTATACCATTGGTTCCCCTTATACCATTTGTTTCCTCCTTATACCATTTGTTTCCCCTTTATACCAGTTTTCCCCTTTATATCAGTTGTTTCCCCCTTATACCAGTTGTTTCCCCTTTATACCATTGGTTTCCCCTTTATACCATTGGTTTCCCTTATACCATTTGTTTCCTCCTCATACCATTTGTTTCCTCCTTATACCATTTGTTTCCCCTTTATATCAGTTGTTTTCCCCTTATACCATTTGTTTTCCCCTTATACCATGTTTCCCCTTATACCATTGGTTTCCCTTATACCATTTGTTTCCCCTTATACCGTTTGTTTCCCTTTATAACATTTGTTTTCCCCTCATACCATTTGTTTCCCCGTTATACCATTTGTTTCCCCTTATATCAGTTGTTTCCCCTTTATACCATTTGTTCCCCCTTATGCCACTTGTGTCCCATTACGCTACTAGTTTCCTCTTGATGCCATTTGTCTCCCTCCGCTTAATGCCATTACACTTCAAGATGGTTGGTGCACCTGTGCTCTTTTCTCCTCTTTATACCACTGGCCTCCCCTTTATACCACTTGTGTCCTCCTTACACAATACCAACTGTGTCGCACCGACAGTCATCTCCGCATTTCACCACTTTTCTTCCCAATATTCTTATTGTTTTATAGACTGGTAGTACTTTTTCTCATCACAATAACGCTGAAATACTGCCAGTGGGACTCAACATTTGACCCTCATAGACATCAGAGCTACTGTAAGTGCCCGCAGTCCCTAGTAAGGTGGTCTCCTTTTGGTTGCTGTTTTGTTTTATGATGTGTCATTGCTGTATTGTAGCGACCAACAGAGAGCCTTCTGGAGGACAAGCGATTCTCTGCTATCTTCAGCAACCCTGACTTCCATATCGACCAATCCAGCGAAGAGTTCCGACTTCTCAACCCTGTTCTGTCGAAACGCGTGAACGCAGCAAGAAAACAGAGGTCACAGAATCATTCACGGAGGTTGAGGTATGTGGTCTCTTGTGGTGTCAACCATTCATCTGTGGAAATTTGTGTTTCAAAGACTGGTGACAATTGATGATAGGTTGCTTCTGATGTGACAGCTATGGAGAGGGAAGGTTGAAATGCTGTGTCCTTTGTGCAGGAGATGGAGGGGAGAGGCAGTGACGAGGAGAGCAGCAGCTCGGATGATGAGCGCACATGGACACAGGAAGTCAAGGAGCAACATCGCAAGCTGCAGCGTGAGAAGCGACTACAAGAACGACGGGAGATGCAGGAAGCGCATATCAAACCTAAATTCTACGAGATGAAGGAGGCTGAGGAAATGAAGTCTGTCCACGATAGGCAGAGGAGGAAAGAGATGAAGTGAGTCCAGTGATTGCATCATTACGGGGTGTCGGCGTCGCTGGGTTGGGCTTGGAGTCGCAGGGTGGGGCTGGGTGTCGCTGGGTTGGGCTAGTGGGTTCATCTCAATGCACTGTGTGAACTCAATCATCTTTGCATCTGACTATTTTCCAGAAAATTCTAACTCTGATGAAGGAGTATGTTGATTGATGTTTGCTGTAACAACTTGTACTGGGAGTGTATGCTTCTACTTTACTGGGAGTGTGCTTCTAACAGATGCTGGGAGTGTATGCTTCTACTTTACTGGGAGTGTATGCTTCTACTTTACTGGGAGTGTATGCTTCTACTTTACTGGGAGTGTATGCTTCTACTTTACTGGGAGAGTATGCTTCTACTTTACTGGGAGTGTATACTTCTACTATAGGAGAGTATGCTTCTACTATACTGGGAGAGTATACTTGACTGGGACTCTACTATACTGGGAGAGCATGCTTCTACTTTACTGGGAGAGTATGCTTCTACTTTACTGGGAGAGCATGCTTCACTTTGCACTGGGAGTGCTGCTTTCCTGGGACTTTACTGGGAGAGCATGCTTCACTTTTACTGGGAGTGTATGCTTCTACTTTACTGGGAGAGTATGCTTCCCACTTTACTGGGAGAGTATGCTTCTACTTTACTGGGAGAGTATGCTTCTCTTTACTGCTTCTAGTACTTTACTGGGAGTGTATGCTTCTACTTTACTGGGAGAGGTGTATGCTTCTACTTTACTGGGAGTGTATGCTTCTACTTTACTGGAGAGCATGCTTCTACTTTACTGGGAGTATGCTTCACTGCTTCTACTTTGCTGGGAGTGTATGCTTCTACTTTACTGGGAGTGCTTCCATGCTTCTACTTTACTGGGAGAGTATGCTTCTACTTTTACTGGGAGAGTATGCTTCTACTTTACTGGGAGGTATGCTTCTACTTTACTGGGAGAGTATGCATGCTTCTACTTCTTACTGGGAGAGTATGCTTCTACTTTACTGGGAGAGTATGCTTCTACTTTACTGGGAGAGTATGCTTCTACTTTACTGGGAGAGTATGCTTCTACTTTACTGGGAGAGTATGCTTCTACTTCTACTTTACTGGGAGAGTATGCTTCTATACTTCCCACTTTTACTGGAGATGTATGCTTCACTTTACTGGGACTTCTACTTTACTGGGAGAGTATGCTTCTACTTTACTGGGAGGCGTATGCTTCTACTTTACTGGGAGAGTGTGCTTCTACTTTACTGAGAGTATGCTTCTACTTTACTGGGGTGTGTATGCTTCTACTGTCTTCCTACTGGGAGAGTATGCTTCTACTTCACTGGGAGAGCATGTTTCTTCTTTACTGGGAGCATGCTTCTACTTTACTGGGGAGTGTCTGCTACTTTTACTGGAGGACTTTACTGGGAGATGCTTCTACTTTACTGGGAGCGTATGCTTCTACTTTACTGGGAGAGTATGCTTCTACTTTACTGGGAGAGTATGCTTCTACTTTACTGGGAGATGCTTCTACTTTACTGGGAGAGTATGCTTCTACTTTACTGGGAGTGTATGCTTCTACTTTACTGGGAGAGTATGCTTCTACTTTACTGGGAGTGTATGCTTCTACTTTACTGGGAGAGTATGCTTCTACTTTACTGGGAGAGTATGCTTCTACTTTACTGGGAGAGTATGCTTCTACTTTACTACAGGATGAGTCTGTCTGATCGTCTGGCCACCGAGGACAGCATCAAAGTCTCAGATGGAGGCTCCATTGGAAACAAAGAGATGACCTTCACCTTCAAGAAGGTGAGTCCCAGTAGATTAGACTAGATAGTGTAGACACGTAGATACACTGGATATTGTACACGAGTAGATAGACTAGACAGTGTACACAAGTAGATAGACTTGAAAGTGTACAAGAGTAGATAGACTAGACAGTGTACAGGAGTAGATAGACTACATAGTGTACAGGAGTAGATAGACTAGACAGTGTACAGGAGTAGATAGACTAGACAGTGTACAGGAGTAGATAGACTAGACAGTGTACAGGAGTAGATAGACTAGATAGTGTACAGGAGTAGATAGACTAGACAGTGTACAGGAGTAGATAGACGAGACAGTGTACACGAGTAGATAGACTAGACAGTGTACAGGAGTAGATAGACTAGACAGTGTACAGGAGTAGATAGACTAGATAGTGTACAGGAGTAGACAGTGTACAGGAGTAGATAGACTAGACAGTGTACAGGAGTAGATAGACTAGACAGTGTACAAGAGTAGATAGACTAGACAGTGTACAGGAGTAGATAGACTAGACAGTGTACAGGAGTAGATAGACTAGACAGTGTAGATAGGACAGTGTACAAGAGTAGATAGACTAGACAGTGTACAGGAGTAGATAGACTAGACAGTGTACAGGAGTAGATAGACTAGACAGTGTACAGGAGTAGATAGACTAGACAGTGTACAGGAGTAGATAGACTAGACAGTGTACAGGAGTAGATAGACTAGACAGTGTACAGGAGTAGATAGACTAGACAGTGTACAGGAGTAGATAGACTAGACAGTGTACAGGAGTAGATAGACTAGACAGTGTACAGGAGTAGATTGACTACATAGTGTACAGGAGTAGATAGACTAGACAGTGTACAGGAGTAGATAGACTAGACAGTGTAGAGAGTGGATTGAGGACAGTGTACAGGAGTAGATAGACTAGACAGTGTACAGGAGTAGATAGACTAGACAGTGTACAGGAGTAGATAGACTAGACAGTGTACTGGAGTGTACTGGATAAAATACTTGTCAAGTTTCTTTGACACATGAGGAAACCCTGACAGTAGGAATCCCTTGCGTTGCCATGCAACGATATGCGTCACTATTTTTCGATTGGCTAAAAACTACACGGTTCCTATTTATATCCAGTTGGACCTGACATTTTGTGCATCACACGGTCGCTCAGTTATTTCTCACACGTCTTCAAATACAAATACATGGTTGGAAATAGTGATCGATGAATCGTCTAGACAAACCACATCACCAACTCGCTCACACAAAAACATGTCAGTTCTCCTTAAAAATTCTCAGTACACCTCCACTTGCAATATGTAATATGATGTAAGTACACTCGCATCCCCAAAAGTTATCTGGAGCCCTGAATGGAAATTTGGTATCACTACACATCACAGACCTCATGAAATACTATATATCTAGAAGATGGACAAGTGAAAGAAAGGCCAAGGTTTTGTCCAGATACCAGTTCCACTAGACATGAGAACTTGGGCCACTCCAGCAGTTATTACTGGAGTAATTTGTAATCTTTCTTTCATGTTTATGTCTGCTTTCAAACTGTTTCACTTAAAACCAACAGCATTCCGCTGTGCTATATATCCTTATGCTATATAATCTTTATGTTGTATAATCCTCATGCTATATCATGCTTTATTCCCCAGAGTGCCCACCAGAAGAAAAAAGAGATGCTCCAGCAAGAACATCAGACAGAGCGGCGCCAAATCGGTCGCTCAGCTAAGGAAATTTCCAGGAAGATAAGAACAAAACCCAAATTCTGGATGGGGAAGCGTGTTGGCTGATGTGAAAAAAAAGGCAATGTTGAAAAAACAGAATCAGAACACCAGAATCAGGGAACAACTTATAGAATTCATTACACTAAAGCAAGTTGCCATCTCACTTGACACTTCATGGAGGGTTGCAGACTTCCATCATCACGTCATGAGGCGTCAGTGGACACTGCCGAGTACCCCACATTGTGGACGATTCTCATGTACATTCTGAGACTTGTATCTCATTAAGAAAACCTGCTACAATTGTACATTGTCCTCCCGTCAATGTGGAATTGTTGACTGTTAATTAATTTTGTAGGAAGACTCCCAAATGCTGTAGTACACAGTATTAAGTGTCTATTGTTCTAATGTAAATATGGTAGGTAAAACAATGATGGAGACTGTTCTTTGCAAATGAAATGTGGACAAGTGTCTCAAAGTACATTTGTTCATGGGCTTCACCCTGCAGGGCTTTGATTTGTAAATACATGTATTGTAAATAGTGTTTAACTCTACTTCCTTCTGGTGTTCCTGTCACCTCAAGGTGAGACTATTTCTCAAATACCGTTCAAGGCAATGTTAGAATAACCAAACTCAGTAAATCTGACCCACATCTACCCACTGCTGCTGTCATTCCTGTTGAGGTGAATGTGTTCTTTTGTATTGTATTTCTTTTGTCATACCGTTACCTTCCAAATGTCCCCACAGGACCTTGTATATCTATCTTCATGTACCAGTAGGACCTTGTGCCATCTCCCTCCAGGACATTGTACCATCACCCTTCATATCCCCGCAGGACCTTGTACCATCTCCTCCATGTCCCAACAACACCCTGTACCATCTATCTTCATCCTCCCTGCAGATCCTTGTACCATCTCCCTCCATGTCCCAACAAGACCCTGTACCATCTACCTCCATGTCCCCGCAGGACCTTTGTACCATCTCCTCCATGTCCCCTCACAAGATCCTTGTACCATCTCCCTCCATGTCCCCGCAGGATCCTTGTACCATCTCCCTCCATGTCCCCGCAGGACCTTGTACCATCTCCCTCCATGTCCCCGCAGGACCTTGTACCATCTCCCTCCATGTCCCCGCAGGACCTTGTACCATCTATGTTCATGTCCCTGCAGATCCTTGTACCATCTCCCTCCTTCTCTCCTTGTACCATCTCCCTCCATGTCCCCGCAGGACCCTTGTACCATCTCCCTCCATGTCCCAGCAGGACCTTGTACCATCTCCCTCCATGTCCCTGCAGGACCTTGTACCATCTATCTTCATGTCCCTGCAGATCCTTGTACCATCTCCCTGCAGATCCTTGTACCATCTCCCCTCCATGTCCCCAGCAGGATCCTTGTACCATCTCCTCCATGTCCCCAAGAGGACCTTGTACCATCTCCCTCCATGTCCCCCACAAGGGACCTTGTACCATCTCTCCTTCTGTCCCTCAGATCTCTGTACCATCTCCCTCATGTCATGACCCCAGGACCTTTGTACCATCTCCCTTCATGTCCCCTCAAGCAGACCTTTGTACCATCTCCTTCATGTCCCTCACAGGATCCTTGTACCATCTCTCCATGACCCTCCAGGACTGTGACCATCTCCCTCCAGGACCTTTGTACCATCTCCCTCCATGTCCCTCGCAGCAGGACCTTGTACCATCTCCCTCCATGTCCCATCTCCCTCCTTGTACCATCTCTCCTCTCATGTCCCTGCAGGATCCTTGTACCATCTCCCCTCCATGTCCCCAGGAGGATCCTTGTACCATCTCCCTCCATGTCCCCGCAGGACCTTGTACCATCTCCCTCCATGTCCCAGCAGGACCTTGTACCATCTCCCTCCATGTCCCCAAGCAGGGACCTCCATGTCCATCCATGTCCCCTGATCCTTGTACCATCTCCCTCCATGTCCCCAAGCAGGACCTTTTGTACCATCTCCCTCCATGTCCCTGCAGATCCTTGTACCATTCCCTCCATGTACCATCTCCCTCCATGTCCCTCAGCAGGGACCTTGTACCATCTCCCTCCATGTCCCTCAGGGACCTTTGTACCATCTCCCTCCATGTCCCAGCAGGGCAGGACCTTGTACCATCTCCCTCCATGTCCCTGCAGGACCTTGTACCATCTATCTCCATGTCCCTCAAGCAGGACCTTTGTACCATCTCCCTCCATGTCCCTGCAGGACCTTGTACCATCTCCCTCCATGTCCCCAAGAGGGACCTTGTACCATCTCCCTCCCCAAGATGTACCATCTCCCTTCAGTCCCTGCAGACCTTGTACCATCTACCTCCATGTCCCCAAGAGGACCTTGTACCATCTCCCTTCATGTCCCAGCAGGACTCTTGTACCATCTACCATCCATGTCCCCTCAAGAGGACCTTGTACCATCTATCTTCTCCCTTCATGTCCCCAGCAGGACCTTGTACCATCTCCTTCATGTCCCATGTCCCTCATGTCCATCTTAGCAGGACCTTGTACCATCTCCCTTCATGTCCCCTCAAGCAGGACCTTGTACCATCTCCCTTCATGTCCCATCTTTGTACCTCCATGTCCCAAGAGGACCTTTACCATCATCTCCTTCATGTCCCCGCAGGACCATCATCTCCCCTCATGTCATAGACCATCTCCCTTCATGTCCCAGCAGGATCTTGTACCATTTTGTACCATGTCCCAGCAGGACCTTTACCATCTATCTTCATGTCCCCTGCAGATCCTTGTACCATTGTACCATCTCCCTTCATGTCCCATGTCCCTCCTTTCATGCAGAGGACCTTGTACCATCCCTCCCTTCATGTCCCAGCAGGATCTCCCTGCAGATGTACCATCTCCTGCAGATCCATGTCCCTCCCATGTCCCCTGCAGGACCTTTGTACCATCTACCTCTATGTCCCCGCAGGACCTTGTACCATCTATCTTCATGTCCCCGCAGATCCTTGTACCATCTATCTTCATGTCCCAGCAGGACCTTGTACCATCTATCTTCATGTCTCAGCAGGACCTTGTACCATCTATCTTCATGTCCCAGCAGGATCTTGTACCATTCCCTCGCAGGACTTTGTACCATCTCCCTTCATGTCCCAGCAGGACCTTGTACCATCTCCCTTCATGTCTCAGCAGGACCTTGTACCATCTATCTTCATGTCCCATCAGGGTCTTGTACCATTCCCCGCAGGACCTTGTACCATCTCCCTTCATGTCTCAGCAGGATCTTGTACCATCTCCCTTTATTTCCCAGCAGGACCTTGTATCAGCTCCCTTCATGTCCCAGCAGGATCTTGTACCATATCCCTTCATGTCTCAGCAGGATCATGTACCATTTCCCGCAGGACCTTGTACCATCTCCCTTTATGTCCCAGCAGGTCCTTGCATCATCTCCCTTCATGTCCCAGCAGGATCTTGTACCATCTCCCTTCATGTCTCCGCAGGATCATGTACCATTCCCCGCAGGACCTTGTACCATCTCCCTTTATGTCCCAGCAGGACCTTGTATCATCTCCCTTCATGTCCCAGCAGGATCTTGTACCATCTCCCTTCATGTCTCCGCAGGATCATGTACCATTCCCCGCAGGACCTTGTACCATCTCCCTTTATGTCCCAGCAGGACCTTGCATCATCTCCCTTCATGTCCCAGTTGGACATTAACAAGTATGGTCATTTAAAGTTTCTGGCATACAATCCTGAAGATATAACATGAAAATATTAAAAACGAACTCGATGTCAAAATCTGGTGTAAATTCCACCAATTACTGACACTCCTTCTCATTGACTGTATCAGATGAGGAATTTGATGTTTGGGTATTGTGGTCCAGTCTTGATGTAGATCTTGTTCCAATACATGAAGATTTGTACTGGTGGGTCCCTCTGGGACACTGTGGGTGGTAGAACACACCAAACACTCTATGGGACTGATGTAAGGAATCACCAATGGCACATGCACAATGTGGCCTAGCACAGTGTTCCATAAAGACTGACCTTGTGTTCAGAGGATGGTCATTGAAATGCGGTACAACCCTGTTGACTTTCAACTAGCACTTTACCCAGCTGATATTAAGACTCTTGCTTTAGGTCAGACACACATCTTGCATGTAATGCTCACCTTTGATCATGGTATTGCAATACTTTTTTCATGTGTATGGTAACCAATGAGGGGAGAAACTTGATTCTAACATACAAACAACATTACTTTCTGCAGCCAATTGTGGCGCCACCTATGACCTATTCATCAATATTCCAGTCATATGACGGCGCCATGCTCTGCAACCAGGAGTGAGTGAGTGAGTGAGCTTAGTTTTACGCCACACTCAGCAATATTCTAGCTATATGGCGGTGGTCTGTAAATAATCGAGTCTGTACCAGACAATCCAGTAATCAACGGCATGAGCATCGACCTACGCAACTGGGAACCGATGACGAATGTCAACCAAGTCAGTGAGTCTGACCACCCGATCCCGTTAGTCGCCTCTTACGACAAGCATGCTGCAACCAGGAGCTGCGGATATGAAGAGCAACTAACCAAAACCAACAATGGAGTTTTATATTGTTATTTATTGACAGGAACGGTCAATGACAAATGTAATTGTAAACTTCAGCACTAACATAAAAGTAACATACAGCAGTCAATAGTCCTTTATAAACACAAAGAAATGCAAACTTACATAAGTTCCTGGAGCAACACCATGGGTCTGTCCCAACCACAAAGGTCCCTGGAACAACACCATGGGTCTGTCCCAACCACAAAGGTCCCTGGAACAACACCATGGGTCTGTCCCAACCACAAAGGTCCCTGGAACAACACCATGGGTCTGTCCCAACCACAAAGGTCCCTGGAACACCACCATGGGTCTGTCCCAACCACAAAGGTCCCTAGAGCAACACCATGGTTCTGTCCCAACCACAAGGTCCCTGGAACAACACCATGGGTCTGTCCCAACCACAAGGTCCCTGGAACAACACCATGGGTCTGTCCCAGCCACAAAGGTCCCTAGAGCAACACCATGGGTCTGTCCCAACCACAAGGTTTCTGGAGCAACACCATGGGTCTGTCCCAACCACAAGGTCCCTGGAGCAACACCCTGGGTCTGTCCCAACCACAAGGTTCCTGGAGCAACACCCTGGGTCTGTCCCAACCACAAGGTCCCTGGAGCAACACCCTGGGTCTGACTTTACAAGGTCCCTGGAGCAACACCCTGGGTCTTACTTTACAAGGTCCCTGGAGCAACACCCTGGGTCTGTCCCAACCACAAGGTCCCTGGAGCAACACCCTGGGTCTGACTTTACAAGGTCCCTGGAGCAACACCCTGGGTCTGACTTTACAAGGTCCCTGGAACAACACCATGGGTCTGTCCCAACCACAAGGTCCCTGGAACAACACCATGGGTCTGTCCCAACCACAAGGTCCCTGGAGCAACACCCTGGGTCTGACTTTACAAGGTCCCTGGAGCAACACCCTGGGTCTTACTTTTACAAGGTCCCTGGAACAACACCATGGGTCTGTCCCAACCACAAGGTTCCCAATCATAGGGATGCTCACCCACAAGTCTGTTTCAGCCCTAAGAAGAGACAATTTTACTTCTTGCTATCACATGACGTGCCAGAATATGCAGGGCAAACGATGGGACCCTCCCAATACACAATGATGTTAATGTTACATGCAACAGATCATTCTAGTTATCTGTTTTGCAGAGGTTTGTTTATTAAATATACAGGAAACTTGAGTCTAAGATGCTAGTTTCACCATCCTGTCTACCCACATGTTGCACATGACTGGAAGTAGAAATAGTATCACACATGTGACCATGTGGCAACTGTGTCCAAAGATATTTTGGGTACAAGATGACACCAAATGTTTTTCCTCAAACTGTATTTAAATGCAACAGGTGTAAGCTGGTTATAAATCTGCCTTGAATAGCGTTCCCTGTATATTACAGCATGTCATCTCAATGTAAGAAAAAAGTCTAAATTGTGCATGCCTCAGAAATTTACCACTTGGGTGAAACCCACACTCATGATGATAGTACTGACATGCTTGTGACGACAGTACTGACAAGCTCATGACGATAGTACTGACACGCTGTGAAACATGATCTGGCCAACCTGGGATTTCAACCTACAGGTGTCTGAATGGAACACACCTACTCACTATCCATTCACAGACGAATTGGCCACCCTTGCCCTGTAGGAGAAATAACAAAGGACAGTCCATCTTAATACTGGCAGTATAGAAGCCTTTCAGATGGATGACTGAATCATCTTGATGATGAAGAACATCATCTGGCTGCACCTCATCTTTACAAACTCAAGACGTTTCTCCTGAAAATTGTAATGGCGAACATGATTATTATTGGGAGACAATGTCTCTAGCTATGGGGGTCATTAAACAAATGTTGAACAAGTAAAGTAAAATCCTAAACTTCCCCAATAATGCCCACAACCAATACTGTCTGCGGCATGACAATACGACATATATATCCTTGCTGAGAGAATATATGATATATACACATTTTACATACAGACAAGTGTTGACTGGTGTATTATCACATTGTTTTGCAGATCTTTAAGATTTCTCTAAATTACAACTGATTGAAATAGAGAAACCAAACAGTTATTCTCTCCTCAGCAATCTGTATGAACACCACTTCAGTTCAAAACACATAACTAATGAAATCAAATCCCAGAAAAGATATAACGCTATATCCTTACTTGATAAAAACCTGACCTTCAGTTTGCAAGTCTCCATTACATCACCCTTACAGCCATGGCTGCAGATGAGAACCTGCAGCAACTTCAAGCCTGACAGTGTTCACCGCCCTGTTGAGAAGGGTCACGCGGCAGGGAGACTCAATATATATGGAAGTAAGGCTGTGGTTTACTTGAGAAGTCAATGTAGATACTTATTTGCTTTGAGATATATAGGACAACTGTTCACAAATTTAAAAGCCAGAATAATTTGCTGCAATTTTAGAAACAAAGTATTTTGTCTCCACAAAACCCATACAGGGAATCAAGTCTCAGTATTTACCAATGAAATGCTTTCAAACAGCAACAAAAAATATCTTTTCAAATCATTATTCAGTCCAAGATCTAGTGTTGCCATACCCTGACAGAAAGCCACACACACACACACACATGAATTCCAGTTTGTTAATGACCTGATGCTGATGTAAGTTGTACATTCTACCTACACCCCTCGCACTCTGCAAGATGGTAAGACATTGCTCAGTTCAAGTAAGAAATTCCAGCAGGTAATGGCAACTGACCAAAATACCTTCCAAATGTTCACTAAAGTTAGACTTCCAAACGTGGAATCTTCTAATATTTGAAACCTTTTTACTGACTGTCCGTACCTTGACAGATTTACAAGTTGGAGACGCTCATTTCTCGCATGTTGGAGTGAGTAAGTTTGGCTTTACGCCACTTTTAGCAATATCACGGCAGGGCTGACTGACTGCAATATCAATATCGCAGGGCTGACTGACTGCTGACTGAGTTTGGTTTTACGCCGCTTTTAGCAATATTCCAGCAACATCACGGCGGGGGACACCAGAAATGGGCTTCACACATTGTGCCCATGTGGGGATTCGAACCCGGGTCTTCGGCGTGACGAGCCAACGTTTTAACCATTAGGCTACCCCACCGCCCCTTCACGGCAGGGCTTCACACATAGTACCCATGTGGTGATTCGAACCCAAGTCTTTGGCATGACGAGCTAACACCTTAATCACTAGGCTACCCCATCTCCCCACAAGTTGGAAGCTGGCAACAGCAATGGTATTTTGTTCTGGACACCCAAGACAAGAATTATCCTGAAATATAATTTGTGTAAATCATTGTTAAAAAGTCACACTGACTATTACAGTATTAGATCAGACAAAATAACAGTTTTGCTTTTCTTCCTCCGATAAAAGATCCCTCAGGAGCAACACAGGAAAACGTGGAATAGCACTAATGATCTTCCTCGGCTGCCAGGAGACGGTCTCCATCCTTGTCACACTCGGCCGTCGAGTCGCCTTCAGCTGCAGTCCTCTGAACAACTTCCTCAGCCCTGCCACCTTCTGCATCACTGAACTCCTCCTTCCCTGCTGCCGTGTCGCCGTCCTTGTCACACTCGGCCGTCGAGTCGCCTTCAGCTGCAGTCCTCTGAACAACTTCCTCAGCCCTGCCACCTGCTGCATCACTGAACTCCTCCTCAGGACTATCTTCTGCTGAGTCTACACCACCATCTCGAGCCGGTACCGAACCATGGGTGGAATCACATTCAGTTCTTTCCTCCAAACAATTTGCCTCTGACTCGTCCCCATTTATGAAAGCTGACTCTGGTGTCTCCCCGACTGGTTCTGTGTCACATTCAGACCCCTGCTCCTGTGAGACCTGTGACACATCTTCCTCAGGCTGCTGCTGCTGCTGCTGCTGTTCCTGTTCCTGTAGCTGTTCAGACTCTGCCTTGTCTACCTCCTCTCTGTCACCCTCACTTTTGTCCACACACCGTGTCTTGACAGCATCAGCCTCACTCTCATCACGGCAAGCCTCACTCTGAGTCACCAGGTCTTCAACGATGCCCTGACAAATGTTGTGTCCAGCAGCCTCTGCAATGTCCCCACTCTGATCTAGAAGCTGTCCCACTATTTCCCCACACATCAACACACTGTCATCCGAACCTCCTGGTTTCGGGGTTACAGTATCCCGGTCTGAATCAAGCAAGATGCTTCCTCCAACTGCAAGAACAATGACACACTTGTACTATTCAGGATCAGTAAAACATAATACTTCAAATCATCTTTATGCCCTAACCACTGAGGTTTTACAGTTGCCACATTGTGGGATTTGGAATAATTAGTATACTGCCCATTTAGATGTTTAAACGTAGATATAGATATTCAGCGGCCATATATTCATCCTACCAATGCGTGTGTGGTGAATCAGGTGGTATAAAATTTACACCAAGCCAAACAGTCCCTCATTCACACACAGTATACCAACTCTGATGTTGCTTGCCTAGCAAGTGTGGTGTCCAGTTAATGTCTGGTGTTGCTTACCTAGCTCGAGAGTGGTGTCTGGCTTATGTCTCGAGAGTGGTGTCTGGCTTATGTCTCGAGAGTGGTGTCCAGTTAATGTCTGGTGTTGCTTACCCAGCTAGAGAGTGGTGTCTGGCTTATGTGAGGTGTTCCTTACCTAGCTAAGATGGTGTCTGGCTTATGTGAGGTGTTCCTTACCTAGCTTGAGAATGGTGTCTGGCTTCTGTGGGGTGTTCCTTATCTAGCTAGAGAGTGGTGTCTGGCTTATAAGTGTGGTGTTCCTTACCTAGCTAGAGCGGTCATCAGTTTATGTGTGGTGTTCCTTACCTAGCTTAAGAGTGGTGTCCGGCTTCTGTGAGGTGTTCCTTACCTAGCTAGAGAGTGGTGTCTGGCTTATATGTGTGGTGTTCCTTACCTAGCTAGAGCGGTCATCAGTTTATGTCTGGTGTTCCTTACCTAGCTAGAGTGGTGTCTGGCTTCTGTGAGGTGTTCCTTACCTAGCTAGAGAGTGGTGTCTGGCCTATATGTGTGGTGTTCTTTACCTAGCTAGAGCGGTCATCAGTTTAAGTCTGGTGTTCCTTACCTAGCTCGAGAGTGGTGTCCGGCTTATGTGAGGTGTTCCTTACCTAGCTCGAGAGTGGTGTCCGGCTTATGTGAGGTGTTCCTTACCTAGCTCGAGAGTGGTGTCTGGTTTATGTGCGGTGTTCCTTACCTAGCTAAGATGGTGTCTGGCTTATGTGAGGTGTTCCTTACCTAGCTCAAGAGTGGTGTCTGTTTCATGTGTGGTGTTCCTTACCTAGCTAGAGCGGTCATCAGTTTATGTGGTGTTCCTTACCTAGCTAGAGTGGTGTCGGCTTCTGTCAGGTGTTCCTTACCTAGCTAGAGAGTGGTGTTATAGCTATGTGTGGTTATGTTCCTTACCTAGCTAGGGGTGGTGTCAAGAGTGGTGTCTTACCTAGCTCGAGTGGTGTCCGGCCTGTGAGGTGTTCCTTACCTAGCTCTAGAGTGGTGTCCAGTTTAAATGTAGTGTTCCTTACCTAGCTAAAGACTGGTGTCCGGGCTTATGTGAGGTGGTGTTGCTTACCTAGCTCAAGAGTGGTGTCTGGTTCATGTGTGGTGTTCCTTACCTAGCTAGAGCGGTCATCAGTTTATGTGTGGTCTTCCTTACCTAGGTCAAGAGTGGTGTCTGGTTTATGTGTGGTCTTCCTTACCTAGGTTAAGAGTGGTGTCTGGCTTATGTGTGGTGTTCCTTACCTAGCTAGAGTGGTGTCCAGTTTAAATGTAGTGTTCCTTACCTAGCTAAAGACTGGTGTCCGGCTTATGTGTGGTGTTGCTTACCTAGCTCGAGGGTGGTGTCCGTTTTAAGTGTGGTGTTCCTTACCTAGCTTGAGGGTGGTGTCTGTTTTAAGTGTGGTCTGGCTTACCTAGTTCGAGGGTGGTGTCTGGTTCATATGTGGAGTTGGCTGTCTGGTCAAGGATGGAGTGTCCAGTGGTGTTGAAGGTCAGCCCTAGGTCACGGGAGTCATCAGCTTTCAAAATGAAACATGTTACATTCCTTGTTAAATAAGCAACCATAATAATTTTTCATCATTACATTCATACAGTCCTTAACACAGGTTGGTAGAACAGTCTGTAACACAGGTTGGTAGAACAGTTAAATTATGTACCATATATGACCGTCTATAAGACGACCCCCAAACTTGACCTTTAAAATCAGTGTCAAAATGGTATGTTTCGTGCATAAGTCGATCCCCCACGATGGGGTCCTAATCGAGGCAAACACAGACCACAGAACTGATTACCGACTCGTTTTCCATTGACTGCTAGTTTATAGTAACATCGGTAAAAATGTGTGAATTTAAATGGCGTCCGTATTTTACTCCATTCCATGTGATTACCACGTTCATGAGGGTCCGTATAACCTTAGTGTTGATTATATATATTTTACATAAAAACTGTAAATAAAATTACACAATGCTAGGATATATTTCTTTGGGTTAAATAATAGTATTCTGTATTATATTTTACTGACGACTGCGTCAGAATTCGTCCCGTTATATTATTGTGCATGTTTGAACTTGTTCGGCGAGAAACTTGTGCAAAATGCAGCTGATTGCTATTTCCGCTGAAATTGCTAATTTCAAAACTGTAACTAAAATTACACAATGCTAGGATATATTTCTTTGGGTTAAAAATACTGTATTATATTTTACTGATGACGTAAATTCTTAATCCATGTTTGAACTTGTTCGCAAATAATACAGCTGATTGCTATTTCTGGCAGCAACAAATCACGCGGTAATCTTAATCCCTGCAAATAATACAATGCCCAGCAAAAACAACTTATACTAGTAACTTAAAAGGTAAATAATCTTGTCTAGTGATGTTTAATTGCAAATTTGACGTCTCTACTGACAAAGTTGTCTTCTGTTGTTTGTTCACACGAAGTGATACGATATTGTTTTCTTACCCCTGGAAAAAAGTTTGACGAAAGCGTAACCCATGGATAAGACGACCCCCTTCTACAGACTGCTTTTTTTGGTCCTCAAAATTCGGCTTATAGACTGTCATATACGGTAGGTTGGAAATACAGTTGGAAATACAGTCTGTAACACAGGTTGGTAGTATAGTTCAGTTATATAAGATGGTAATACAGTCCGTAACACAGGTTGGTAGTATAGTTCAGTTATATAAGATGGTAATACAGTCCGTAACACAGGTTGGTAATACACTATGTAATACAGGTTGGTACTACAGTTAAGATATATAGGTTGGTAATACAGTCCGTAACACACGTTGGTAATACACTATGTAATACAGGTTGGTACTACAGTTAAGATATATAGGTTGGTAATACAATCCGTAACACAGGTTGGTGGTACACGTCAGTTATATAGGTTGGTAATACAGTCTGTAACACAGGTTGATGGTACAGGTCAGTTATATAGGTTGGTAATACAGTCCGTAACACAGGTTGATGGTACAGGTCAGTTATATAAGTTGGTAATACAGTCCATAACACAGGTTGGTAATACAGTCTGTAACACAGGTTGATGGTACAGGTCAGTTATATAAGTTGGTAATACAGTCCATAACACAGGTTGGTAATACAGTCTGTAACACAGGTTGGTGGTACAGGTCAGTTATATAGGTTGGTAATACAGTCCATAACACAGGTTGGTAATACAGTCTGTAACACAGGTTGATGGTACAGGTCAGTTATATAAGTTGGTAATACAGTCCATAACACAGGTTGGTAATACAGTCTGTAACACAGGTTGATGGTACAGGTCAGTTATATAGGTTGGTAATACAGTCTGTAACACAGGTTGATGGTACAGGTCAGTTATATAAGTTGGTAATACAGTCCATAACACAGGTTGGTAATACAGTCTGTAACACAGGTTGATGGTACAGGTCAGTTATATAGGTTGGTAATACAGTCCGTAACACAGGTTGGTGGTACAGGTCAGTTATATAGGTTGGTAATACAGTCTGTAACACAGGTTGATGGTACAGGTCAGTTATATAAGTTGGTAATACAGTCCATAACAGTCTGCAACAGTTGGTGGGTACAGGTCAGTTATATAAGTTGGTAATACAGTCTGTAACACAGGTTGATGGTACAGGTCAGTTATATAAGTTGGTAATACAGTCCATAACACAGGTTGGTGGTACAGGTCAGTTATATAAGTTGGTAATACAGTCCATGTAACACAGGTTGGTGGTACAGGTCAGTTATATAGGTTGGTAATACAGTCCGTATACACAGGTTGGTAATACGTCCTGTAACACAGGTTGGTGGTACAGGTCAGTTATATAGGTTGGTAATACAGTCTGTAACACAGGTTGATGGTACAGGTCAGTTATATAGGTTGGTAATACAGTCTGTAACACAGGTTGATGGTACAGGTATATAAGTTGGTAATACAGTCAGTAGTAACAACACAGGCTATATAAGTTATTATGGTAATACAGTCCATAACACAGGTTGATGGTACAGGTCAGTTATATAGGTTGGTAATACAGTCCATAACACAGGTTGGTGGTACAGGTCAGTTATATAGGTTGGTAATACAGTCTGTAACACAGGTTGGTGGTACAGGTCAGTTATATAGGTTGGTAATACAGTCTGTAACACAGGTTGGTGGTACAGGTCAGTTATATAGGTTGGTAACAGGTCCGTTATACAGGTTGGTGGTACAGGTCAGTTATATAGGTTGGTAATACAGTCTGTAACACAGGTTGATGGTACATAACACAGGTTGGTAATACGATCTGTACAGTGTAAATACATAGGTTGGTAATACAGTCTGTAACACAGGTTGATGGTACAGGTCAGTTATATATAGGTTGGTAATACAGTCTGTAACACACAGGCCAGTTGGTTAATACAGTCTGTAACACAGGTTGATGGTACAGGTCAGTTATATAGGTTGGTAATACAGTCTGTAACACAGGTTGGTGGTACAGGTTGAGTGGTAAGGTCAGCTATAAGTTGGTAATACAGGTCAGGTCAGTTATATAAGTTGGTAATACAGTTGGTATATAGGTTGGTAATACAGTCTGTAACACAGGTTGATGGTACAGGTTGGTCAGTCCATAACATATTGGTTGGTAATACAGTCTGTAACACAGGTTGATGGTACAGGTCAGTTATATAGGTTGGTAATACAGTCCATAACACAGGTTGGTGGTACAGGTTGGTAATACAGTCCATAACACAGGTTGGTAATACAGTCTGTAACACAGGTTGGTGGTACAGGTCAGTTATATAGGTTGGTAATACAGTCCGTTGGTAACACAGGTTGATGGTACAGGTCAGTTATATAGGTTGGTAATACAGTCCGTAACACAGGTTGATGGGTACAGGTCAGTTATATAGGTTGGTAATACAGTCCATAACACAGGGTTGGTGGTACAGGTCAACACAGCCATATATAGGTTGGTAATACAGTCTGTAACACAGTCTGTACAGGTTGGTGGTACAGGTCAGTTATATGGGTTGGTAATACAGTCTGTAACACAGGTTGATGGTACAGGTCAGTTATATAGGTTGGTAATACAGTCTGTAACACAGGTTGGTGGTACAGGTCAGTTATATAGGTTGGTAATACAGTCTGTAACACAGGTTGATGGTACAGGTCAGTTATATAGGTTGGTAATACAGTCTGTAACACAGGTTGGTGGTACAGGTCAGTTATATAGGTTGGTAATACAGTCCGTAACACAGGTTGGTGGTACAGGTCAGTTATATAGGTTGGTAATACAGTCTGTAACACAGGTTGATGGTACAGGTCAGTTATATAGGTTGGTAATACAGTCTGTTACACAGGTTAGGAATACAGTCCGTAACACAGGTTGGTGGTACACATCAGTTATATAAGTTCGTAGTACAGTCCAGAACACAGGTTGGTAATAGTCCGTAACACAGGTTGGTGGTACACATCAGTTATATAGGTTGGTAATACAGTCTGTAACACAGGTTGATGGTAATACAGTCCAGAACACAGGATGGTAATACAGTCCGTAACACAGGTTGGTGGTACAGGTCAGTTATGTAGGTTGGTAGTACAGTCTGTAACATAGGTTGATGGTAATACAGTCCAGAACACAGGATGGTAATACAGTCCGTAACACAGGTTTGTGTCATCGTATAGTAAACATATTCATTACCCAAAGTACTTTGTGTCATATACCACAGTAAACATATTCATTACCCAAAGTACTTTGTGTCATACTATAGTAAACATATTCATCATCCAAAGTACTTTGTATCATACGATAGTAAACATATTCATCATCCAAAGTACTTTGTGTCATACTATGGTAAACATATTCATCATCCAAAGTACTTTGTATCATACGATAGTAAACATATTCATCATCCAAAGTACTTTGTGTCATACTATGGTAAACATATTCATCATCGAAAGTACTTTGTCATACTATAGTAAACATATTCATCATCGAAAGTACTTTGTCATACTTTGCGACACAGAGATTACACATTCCAGCTGGAATACTTTTTTCAGATATAACTTTTGCCATCACTGCACCAAAATTGTTTGAATTTATTCCTGCTTAGAATAACATTCTTCTTTGATGGGCATGTTAGAAGTTGAGGTGATGAAGAATGATGATAATATTATGGATATACAACTTCTTTATTCTGTGAAAGGCGCCATTTCGACATAGATTGTAATGTCGTTGTGCTGAGAATAGATCTCTAAATATGGTGATAGAGATCAGTAGGAGAGGTCAGTCATTCAAGTTCACAGAAGAAAATAGCAAGGAAAGCCACTTCCTTGAATTTCAAGTGTTATTTTGTGTTGCAACAGAGCTCACCATGATCCGAGTCGGAATCCTCCCCCAGAGAGTTTTCTCGATGGTAGGATACATCGTTGAAGGACTGCTCTGAAATCAGATGTTGATGACAATGAATAACTAGGGTGTATCTATTTCAAATATTACCTACACAGTTGTGGGTTAACAGCATGGAAACCAAGACAGGTTGACAAAGGAATGATTAAAACAGGGTTTCACATTGGTGCGGTAATGTTTTTGATGGTGTTTCACATTGACAAGGGTATGCTTCACCAAGGTTTAGCAATGACAAGGGAATGCTTCACCAAGGTTTAGCACCACGGTTTATATGACAAAGAGATATTCACCAAGAAGGGTATGCTTCACCAAGGTTTAGCAATGATAAGGGAATGCTTCACCAAGGTTTAGCAATGACAAGGGGGTATGCTTCAACCTGTGTTTAGCAATGACAAGCAATGGTATGCTTCACCAAAGGTTTAGCAATGACAAGGGTATGCTTCACCAAGGTTTAGCAATGACAAGGGTATGCTTCACCAAATGATTACAAAGAATGCTTCACCGGCCGCCTAATGACAAAAGGTTTAGCAATGACAAGGGTATGCTTCACCAAGGTTTAGCAATGACAAGGGTATGCTTCAACCTGTGTTTAGCAATGACAAGGGTATGCTTCACCAAGGTTTAGCAATGACAAGGGTATGCTTCACCAAGGTTTAGCAATGACAAGGGAATGCTTCACCAAGGTTTAGCAATGACAAGGGTAAATGCTTCACCAAGGTTTAGCAATGACAAGGGTATGCTTCACCAAGGTTTAGCAATGACAAGGGTATGCTTCACCAAGGTTTAGCAATGACAAGGGAATGCTTCACCAAGGTTTAGCAATGACAAGGGAATGCTTCACCAAGGTTTAGCAATGACAAGGGTATGCTTCAACATGGTTTAGCAATGACAAGGGTATGCTTCACCAAGGTTTAGCAATGACAAGGGTATGCTTCACCAAGGTTTAGCAATGACAAGGGTATGCTTCACCAAGGTTTAGCAATGACAAGGGTATGCTTCAACCTGGGTTTCAGACTGGATAAGATCCTGGAAAGTGTTACGTAAAAGTCAACATATTTCACAAATTTGAAACATCTTGACACAGTAATCAAAACATAACAAGTCATCACAAGCTGGAAATGGTTAACTACCATAAGATACATTCAGTTCAGTGTAGAAAAAACATGCTTTTCATTTTCATAAAAAATGAGTTCTGCTCTGATAATGGAAAAGATGGCTGACTGATGGACAGCCGGGGTGATGGCCATAGCACCCAGCTGTCAAACCACACCGGTAATACATCCTGAGTCTGCTCAAAGTGCACTTGATCAACATGAAGTCAGGATTAACATTTGTGAGAGTGAAGAGTTGAGTTTAGTTTTACGCCGCACTCAGCAATATTCCAGCTATATGGTGGCAGTCTGTAAATAATCAAGTCTGGACCAGACAATCCAGTGATCAACAGCATGAGCATCGATCAGTGCAATTGGGAACCGATGACATGTGTCAACTAAGCCAGCAAGCCTGACAACCTGATCCCGTTAGTCGCCTCTTACGACAAGCATGGGTTACTGAAGGTTCATTCTAGCCCGGACTTTGATGGGTCTGAAAGTGAAGAGAGACTATCCACCTACCCATCTCCTCCATGGTGTCTGCATTCGCCTCCTCCATCTCCAACTCCATCTCCACCAGCGACCCTGGCAGTGGAAGCGCACACCCCAGATCCACCAGCTGACGGTTGACAGTGGGGCTGCCAAGGTCCTCGGTGTCATGGAGACGCACATAGTGCACCCCCTCCTCTGACTGGGACACCAGGAACGCAGCCAATACCAAGTCACTCGCAATGTCTGGAAAAGTAAACAGAAATGGTCCTGATAACCTGAAAATCTACATATACCCGAAATAGTTCTGAAAAGCTACTTATACCCGAAACAGTTTTGAGTAGAAAACCACCGTCCAGATGCAGCTTCATTTCAATTAGTACTCCATGTTGTCAGCGTATCACCAAGTACTCCATGTTGTCAGCGTATCACCAAGTACTCCATGTTGTCAGCGTATCACCAAGTACTCCATGTTGTCAGCGTATCACCAAGTACTCCATGTTGTCAGCGTATCACCAAGTATCACCAATGTTGTGTCAGTATAATTACTCACCAAGTACTCCATGTTGTCAGTATCACCAAGGACTCCATGTTGTCATCACCAAGGACTCCATGTTGTCAGCGTTGTCATCACCAAGTACTCCATGTTGTCAGCGTGATCACCAAGGACTCATGTTGTCAGCTGTGATCACCAAGGACTCCATGTTGTCATCACCAAGTAATCCATGTTGTCACACCAAAAGGACTCCATGTTGTCAGCGTATCACCAAGTACTCAATGTTGGACACCAAGGACTCCATGTTGTCAGCGATCACCAAGGACTATGTTGTCAGCGTATCAAGTACTCCATGTTGTCAGCACCAAGGACTCCATGTTGTCAGTATCACCAAGTACCATGTTGTCAGCGTATCACCGCTGACTCTATGTTGTCAGCGTATCACCAAGGACTCCAGCATGTTGTCAGCGTATCACCAAGGACTCCATGTTGTCAGCGATCACCAAGGACTCCATGTTGTCACTCACCATGTTGTCAGTATCGGACTCCATGTTGTCATCACCAAGTACTCCATGTTGTCACGTCCCAAGGTCCATGTTGTCAGTATCACCAAATGTTGGGCACTTGAATACGCGGGTACCCATGTCCATGTTGTCAGCGTGATCACCAAGCAATCAATGTTGTCAGCGTGATCACCAAGGACTCCACCTGTCAGCGTATCACCAAGTACTACTCCATGTTGTCAGCCATGATCACCAAGTAATCCATGTTGTCAGCGTATCACCAAGTACTCCATGTTGTCAGCGTATCACCAAGTACTCCATGTTGTCAGCGTATCACCAAGGACTCCATGTTGTCAGCGTATCACCAAGTACTCCATGTTGTCAGCGTATCACCAAGTACTCCATGTTGTCAGCGTATCACCAAGGACTCCATGCTGTCAAGCGTATCACCAAGTACTCCATGTTGTCAGCGTATCACCAAAGGACTCCATGTTGTCAGCAGTATCACCAAGGACTCCATGTTGTCAGTCAGCAGAAATATCACCAAGGACTCCATGCTGTCAGCCGCATCACCAAGGACTCCATGCTGTCAGCATATCAAGGCTTTCACAACAGGGGTAAATGTGTCAGACTTCCACCACTAGGGGCTGGAATACTCATCCAAGCAGTGTTTAAAACCCAACTTACTCACACTTACATATCTAGCAAACCTATGCTTCTCATATTTGTTCACAGCGATGACTGTGCTTCTCAAAGAGGCAACCCATGCCTGTTGTAAGGAGTAGTGTATGCTTGCTGTAAGAGCCAACCTATTGTCATAAGAAGTAACCTATGCTTGTTGTGGTGGCACATGGCCCTGTGCATAAAGCTCAGGTCACAAATCAGGTGAAGTAATGCAACGTTGGGCGTGGAGAGTCCTTGGACTGCCTGTTGTAAGAGGCAACATATGCTTGTTGTTTCAACCAAAGGTCCATCCTTATAAAGCATCTCAAATTATTATGTAAACTATTCATCCCGCATCTCCTGCTGATGTGTACAGTACCAGTTACAATAGGACCTCCTTGGATGCTGGAATAAGATGGGGCTGAGATATTTAAGTAAATGTGTTCAGTCAATGAAGAACTCCACTATTGCTGATTATTTCTTGAAAAAAAAACAACCCCAAAAACATACACAGAAAGGCAACTAGAAGACAGTTACCATGGAAGTGGGTGATGGCTTCTTGTGACCACGCCCCATCAACAGGTGCCACGTCAGCCAGCTGGCACTCAAAGCCATTCACAGGGACCTTGAGGAACTGAGGGGGCAGCCTCCGTATCTTTCCCCGTTCACAGCTCAGCATCTCTCGGTAGTCCACTAAGTACACCTGGAAGATCAGAGACAATTAACCTGGGGAATTTCACACACCTGGAATACCAGAGACAATTAACCTGTTGAACTTCACACACCTGGAAGATCAGTTGGTTGGTTGTTGTTTAACGCTGCACTCAGCAATATTCCAGCTATACGGTGGCGGTCTGTCAATAATCGAGTCAGGACCAGACAATCCAGTAACAAACAGCATGAACATCGATCTACACAATTAGGATACAATGACATGTCATCAACCAAGTCAGCCAGCCTGACCACCCGATCCCGTTAGTCGCCTCTTACGACAAGCATGGGTTACTGAAGACCAATTCTAACCTGGAGCTTCAGGGTTGGAAGATCTGAGACACATAAAACTGGGGAATATCACTCACCTGGAATATCTGCGACACATGGAACCGAGGAATGCATGCTCATAGGGAACCAGTGGCAATGATTTGAACCCACCTTATACACAGCATCTTCCACGTCCACCATCTTCCCTCTGTACCAGATATTCTCTCCATGTTTCTCCACCAGGCAAGGCTCGTCACAAGCAGGCTCCCAGTCCCCATCACCCTCTGTAGCCTCGTCACTATTAATGTACTTCTGAATACCCTTCATCATGACCTCCACCTGCTTGGTGACCTCTGTAAGGTCAAGGACAAACTTATCCAAGATGGAGTCTTGATCTAACTCAATGCTGTAATCTTTCTCAATCCCCAGCTTCAGATACAGGAAGCCATCCTCCCTCTCAGCAGTAATAATTTTCTTGTCAGATGCATTATGTAAGTCTGTGATGGGGAAGGGGTCAATAAATGCTTCAATTCGCTGTAAAATAACATCTTCGTCATCTTCCTTGATCACTGCCAGCTGTTCTTGCACAAGGGTTTGACATATGGATATCTGATCACTGAATAGATCCACTTCCATACAGCTGCTGTCCAGGTTAGAAATGACCCTTGCAATAAGTTTTGTATCCTTGACAAGTTCTTGAAAGCGAGAACAGCTCTCTACACTCCAGTCTTTGCCAGCACAACTGATTTCAGTGAGACAACAGCAGAAGGCCTGACAGGGGACCTGAGTGAGGTCAGGGGTGAGGACAAGGAAATTTGACACAGAGATAGTTTCTGTCCTTCCCCAGTCCACCAGCTGAACATCACAGTCAGATTCTCTGACTGCCATCAGCCTGCTCCGAAAACACTGTTCCCCGACTCGTGCCATGCCGACATGTCCAACAAGCAGGTGTTCTTGGCTGACCGCCTCACAGGTTTCAGTGAAGGCAGTCTGTATCTGTTCTGCAATGAGATGCAGGTTGGCCACGGAGGAGGTGAGTTGACAGAAGAACTGGTCTGGAGACACAAGGTGGCTGGCAGTCACTTCATACTCTTCTCCTATATCCAAGGTTGTCGGCCTGTAATGACATGATGAAAGGTGTGTGGAAGTAGGGCAGATTGGTTTAACAATAGTATGTCCACAAATATCCTGGAACACACAGTATCACACAGTAACACACAGTAACACACCAGTAACACACAGTATCACAGAACTTCTGCTCATCATCTCCTCTCCCATCAACTAATCAACCACTACCCATCTCATACCCAACATTATTCAACTCAACTATCGCTCACAGGACATTAATCAACTCCTCAACCATCTCACACGACATTGATCACTCCTCAACCATCTCACACGACATTGATCTAAAAAAAAACGGAAAAATAAAAATGCCACAAATCTGCAAATAGCAAAAGGTTAAGGTTCTGATTGATATATCTAGTCTTGTTGAAAGATATTGATCGGTTCTTGAGTTATGCTCTGGAAACGAAGCCCACCCCTCTTTAAGACTAAGTCCAAAACGTTTCCATGGAAACCGAGAAAATATAAATGACAATAATCTGTAAATAGCAAAAGGCACCACCTTAGGTTATGTGTGACATATCTACCAATTTCTGTTGAAAAATATGGAACAATCTTTGGGTTATGCTCCGGAAACAAAATGATTATGGACGGACGGACAGACGGACGAGGCGACGACTATATCCCCCCACATAACATGCCGGGGGGATAATAATTGCTATTGGTAATAATTGTACAAAATTAGGTGAAGATGGGTGAAATGGTTTTAGAGTTAAGCTCTGAACACAAACCCTGCCCTTCAAAAGGACCAAGTCCAAATTTGTTACCATTGAAACAAATAAACAAAAAATTGAAAGAAAGTTCAAACACCCCAAAAGGTGCATCTATATGATATGGAGAGTCAGTATACCAAATTTGGTGAAGATGGGTCAAATAGTTTCAGAATTTTGCTCCGGAAACAAACTTTACCCTTCAAAAAGACCAAGTCAAAATGTTGCCATGGAACCAGAAAAAAATAAAATTGAAAAAAACCCTCTCAAACCCCCAAAAGGCACATCTACATGATATGGACAGGCAGTATACCAAATTTGGTGAAGATTGTTCAAGCAGTTTTAGAGTTATGTTCTGGAAACAATGGGAACGCCGACACCGACGCCAAAGCCGATGGAAACTCAACCAAAACACATTATGTCTCCCGAACCTTTGGGGGGAGACATAACTATGCAGAACGTACTTGATGATGTCCTCCCTCGGGTTTCCCTTTAGCTCGGATTCAGGCAGATCCTCAGTGGCCGTCTCCAGTACAAGCTTGACAGGGGTCTCCAAACTGTCTGAGAAGATGCGCTTCACCTTGTGACTAACAGCCACAGGTGTGGCAGGATCAACGCCAACATTCTTCTGCAGTATCACCTGGTTCACCGCAAGCCCCATGTGCAGCAGATGGACAATGCAGCTGCCACTCTCTCTCAGCGTCAAGATGTCCATGATCAGCGTTCTAGGACAGGAACATTTCTTGTTGAACTCAGACATACTGGTGTATTTACTGCATGGCTGATAACAGAATGGGAGGGTCATGTGTTGCAATATTCTTGTACTGAACAGCAGCACCGATTTATTGCTCTCATCTGCAGTTATTTTATGTCACTGGTTAGATCAGCTATCAATGAAGTTGTTACTGTTGATGTATTTGTATAAAGGAATTGTCTCCAATATGGTTTTGTGTTCATGGACTTACACAGAGCACACTGGATTTATTGAAGCTGCGAGGATCCAACCAGATACAGTACCTGATTGTAACCTTCACCCTAACAGATACAGTACCTGATTGTAACCTTCACCCTAACAGATACAGTACCTGATTGTAACCTTCACCCTAACAGATACAGTACCTGAATGTAACCTTCACCCTAACAGATACAGTACCTGAATGTAACCTTCACCCTAACAGATACAGTACCTGATTGTAACCTTCACCCTAACAGATTCAGTACCTTGATTGTAACCTTCACCCAGTACCTAACAGATACAGTACCTGATTGTAACCTTCACCCTAACAGATACAGTACCTGAATGTAACCTTCACCCTAACAGATACAGTACCTGACCTAAAGGATGTAACCTTCACCCCTAACAGATTCAGTACCTGATTGTAACCTTCACCAGTAACAGATACAGTACCTGATTGTAACCTTCACCCTAACAGATACAGTACCTGATTGTAACCTTCACCCTAACAGATACAGTACCTGATTGTAACCTTCACCCTAACAGATACAGTACCTGATTGTAACCTTCACCCTAACAGATACAGTACCTGATTGTAACCTAACAGATTCACCTTGATTGTAACCTAACAGATACAGTACCTGATTGTAACCTTCACCCTAACAGATACAGTACCTGAATGTAACCTTCACCCTAACAGATACAGTACCTGATTGTAACCTTCACCCTAACAGATACAGTACCTGATTGTAACCTTCACCCTAACAGATTGTAACCCTAACACAGTACCTGATTGTAACCTTCATCCTAACAGATACAGTACCTGATTGTAACCTTCACCCTAACAGATACAGTACCTGAAGATTCAGTAACTTGATTGTAACCCTAACAGATACAGTACCTGATTGTAACCTTCACAGATTCAGTACTTGATTGTAACCTTCACCCTAACAGATGCAGTACCTGACTGTAACCTTCACAGATTCAGTACTTGATTGTAACCTTCACCCTAACAGATACAGTTCCTGATTGTAACCTTCACAGATTCAGTACTTGATTGTAACCTTCACAGATTCAGTACCTGAATGTAACCTTCACCCTAACAGATACAGTACCTGATTGTAACCTTCACAGATTCAGTACTTGATTGTAACCTTCACCCTAACAGATACAGTACTTGGTTTTAAGAAGCTGACTTGTTTGCAGTTAACTCTCTAAACACGTTGCTTGTCTGAACATGTCTGCAGTTGGCTCTCTAAACAACTCACTTGTCTGCAGTTATCTTTCTGAACTCACTTGTCTGCAGTTTACTCTTTAAACAACTCACTTGTCTGCCATTAGTTATAAAACAACTCACTTGTCTGCCATTAGTTATAGAACAACTCACTTGTCTGCCATTAGTTATAAACAACTCACTTGTCTGCCATTAGTTATAGAACAACTCACTTGTCTGCAGTTAGCTCTGTGAACAGCTCTATGGCTGCTGGACTCCACAAACCCTCTGTGGGACAGACCCCAGCCAGGGAGCACAGAACTGACTGTGCTGGCAACGTCTGGAACTGTCCTGGGAGTTTCCTCACAGCAGAACACGCCACCGTTTCTGAGGTGCCAAAATCCACACAGAAGACCTTACATTGTCCTTCTTTCAGCCAGCACACCTTGCCTCGGCACCAGGCCTCACTGTCGCCACTGCACAGACATGCACACATCTGGCCCGGCTGTGGAGCTTCCATCACCATGTCACCTTCTGCCAAATCATTGTAAAATTCAAACATACTCTCCATCAACTCGTCAACACCGTGCTTCAAGCTGTCAGGTCGGATGTAAAACTCACCGGGGTAACAGCATGTATGACATGGACAGCGCTTCTCTGCCCCTCTTTAAGTTCAATCAAAGTGTATGGGTTTGGGACCGAGTCCAATTCTTCAATGTCATCATACATTTGGTCTTTTGGGGAAGAGTCTGAAAGGACAGCAGAGTCATTGCTGTCCATCACATGTGATTCCACTTCGTTACTATCTACGTGAGATACATCAGCACCCTCTACAGCACAACACAGTCCATCATCAAACAACTTCTGTTTCACATCTACATTCCCATCATATAATTGTACACTGTATCGAACATCCTCATCTCGCAACTTCCGCACAACCTCTAGCGACAATGTTTTCTCATTGGTGACCTCGAACAGTGTGTCCATGGCTGCATCTTCCTTGCCTTCAACCACAGCCACGTCGCACAGCTTGCAGCTGACAGCCTGCACAGGCAGTTTCAAGTGCTCAGCTTTAATGGCGTATATGTTCGCCTTTGCCACTTCATCCGAGTTACCGTAATCCACAAACTGTACCCTGCACGTCTCCTCGCCAACAGTCTTGAGTGAGCCAATACCACTGTCCATCTTCAGCGTACTGGGCAATCACAGCACAACCAACTTTCAGCCAGTCCTGTGTGTCTTGTGGAGTCCTCATAGCCTTCACTTATTGCTGCAGACAGTCCCGCAAGGTCGTGCTCTGACGTGACCATCTGTACCCAGAAGTTGAGCACAGTGTCCACGTGGCTTACGAAGACCTGGAGTATCTCACGAGGGACCAGTTTCATCTGCCGGAAGCCATCTGCTGGTACAACAAACATCTTAAATAACTCAACACAGAAAATCAGAAATTTTGTCAATTGTTCTAACTGGGTGTATCTGATGTAACATCCGTAAACTGAACTCATTAAGTGAAGAGATACACTGATATACCTTCCATACATTAACCCTGTCTCACCACTGTACATGGAGAGACACACTGATGTAACTTCCATACATTAACCCTGTCTCACCACTGTACATGGAGAGACACACTGATGTAACTTCCATACATTAACCCTGTCTCACCACTGTACATGGAGAGACACACTGATGTAACTTCCATACAACCCTGTCTCACCACTGTACATGGAGAGACACACTGATGTAACTTCCATAATTAACCCTGTCTCACCACTGTACATGGGCACACTGTACATGGAGACTTCCATAACTGTACATGGAGAACACTGATGTAACTAACTTGTCCTGACCAATTAAGGGCCACTTGTCCTGACCAATTTTCCACTTGCCCTGATTTTATGACATAATCATGATGATGTAATTATGAAAGAATAAATCAACATGGTATTTGATGTTAATGTTTACTGGACTATTTATTGAAAAGTGATAAATAGCAAAGAAAGATAACTCTACTTTATCATCATTGCGAAATTTAATAGCTACATTTTGAGCAGACATGAAATTAAATCCAAGTTTATTTGCAGTTTGAAACCATAAGTGGAAATTATTATCTAGGGAGTAGTAGCCCACGGACAAGTAAGATACCATTATTTGATTGCCCAAATGGAAACTGACTTGTCCCACTTACATGGATCTCACCCACTGTACACACTGATGTCGAGGCGATGGGATTTTTGAACCCCTGCACACTGATGTAACTTCCATACATTAACCCTGTCTCACCACTGTACATGGAGAGACACACTGATGTAACTTCCATACATTAACCCTGTCTCACCACTGTACATGGAGAGACACACTGATGTAACTTCCATACATTATATTGACTGATGCTGTGTTTTTGTATAGATTAAAGCAGGGGGTGTACATTGACTAATGCTGTGTTTTTGTATAGATTAAAGCAGGGTGTGTATATGGCCTAATGCTGTGTTTGTGTATAATTTAAAGCAGGGGATATATATTGACAGAAGTATTCCTCTTACTGTTGGCTGCCTCCTGCTATCTCCTCCTGCAGCAACTGCAGCACATCCACATCCTCCAGCTTCACCGCCACTCTGTACAACGGGGCCAACGCCTTGAACCTCACCTCCAGCGTCTTCTCCTTCACAGCTCCATCAAACTTCTCAATGAGACACTGTGACCATGTCTCCACCCCCTCCAAGGTACAGTGATAAGCTAGTGGGTGGGTTGACAGGTTGCTAGGTGTCAACACAGCCAGCCTCTCCATTGTGGCAACATCTGTGTTACCATAATCTACAAAGCGCACTGTGACTTGTTCCTCAGCTGCTGCCTCCACGACTGCCCTGTACCACTGGTTATCTTCAGTGAACTTAGCACAGCAAACCATGCCAGGTTTAAGCCCGAACATCCTCTCTCCACCTGATTCTGAATATTCTGACTGTAGAGCTTCTGTCAACTCCGTCAGGCTCTCCTCTTCCCTGGCCAACTGTAGGTAGAAGGACCCATCCTCTTCCATATATGATAGGAAGGCAGAGCAAGTCCCACTAACATCTTGGTCAGGGTAACAGGGAGGTGCTGGTAGGGCGTCTGTAGAACAGGTGACTGGCTCTCTCTGCAGGGCTGGTTTCTCCTCCAGCAGCTCAAGCCCCACACTTCTCTCGTCAACTCAACTTTATAGGGTGCAGTCTGTGACAAAAACTGGACATTCATTGTCTTCCCGTTAGTCATACTGGTAAACTTGTCCCTCTGCTCGTCTGTCCAGCTCGTGAAATCTTTGAGAATACATTGATATGCATAAGGAGCACAAAGCATGAACTTTCTAGGAATGGCCTGCACATAGGCTGAGTTTACTTTCTTCGAAACACCAAGATCAAAGAAATCCACTTGAACACTACTTCCATCGATTTCCTTCACCATTCCCCTCTGCCATGTATTATCTCCTGGGAATCTGGCGCAACATGGCCGTCCATTCTGTAGAATATCAAGTTGATCAATTGTCCCCTTTGCATAGACTGATTTCAGCTCCTCTTCAATTGTCCTCATGTCTGCTTCATCCTTGAGAAGTTGCACAAAGAAAGTTCCATCCGAGGAGATGTTTGACACAACTCCTGGCTGAAGTTGACTTGGGGCTTTCTGAGCTGGAGGCTGAGTTGGGACGAGGATTTCTGACAGGTCCTTCCCCCCTTGAGTGTTCATCACAACAGTATAAGGTATTTCCTCAGAAACAAACTTGGCACTAAGTTCCTCAGCAGCAGCTTCTTCTGCTAGCACATTCTGGAGTTCTGATGTGAGAGTTTTGATGCCATTAAGATGACAACAGTAGGCCATGGGAGCCACACCTAACAGCTCTCTACTTAGCTGCTTTAACTTTGTTGGAGCAACAATGTCTGAGTTTCCAAAATCTACAAACACAACAGACACTTTGTCACCTGCCACCTGTGTAACATGTGCACGGTACCATGTGCCATCGTCTGAGAACAGAGCCCCACAAGCAACACCTACAGCAGGCGACACAGTATTAGTGGGTAACTTCTCAATCTTGTTGCTAAAGGAGAGGACTGTGTTTAAGTCCTTGGTCTGCTGAAGATATATATCACTTCCATCCACGTGGGAGATGCATGTGAGAACTTGTTCACCTGGAACAGTTTGGGTTCCATAGACTTGTTCCACAAGAGGAATCTTTTCAAGTGTTGGTGTGGCCCTCTCCGGAGGTGATCCGAATGATTTCCGCTGGTTTCCCCAAGATTCCTGCCTTGAAGGTGATGATCCGAATGATCTGGCTTGTTTGTGAGGCTCTTCCCTTTGTGGTGGCGAACCAAAAGGTTTTCTCTCAGTAGGAACATTGGAGGAAGGAGATCCAAATGACTTCTTGGGTGACTGCATCATTTTGGGACTGTTATGTGATGAAGGGAGTGAAAAAGACTTTGGAGATACATGATCAGATCTGGGTGGAGATGGGGAAAAGCCAGCCCTCCTGGGAGGTGAGGTCAGATCTGGCATCAGGTGCTTCATGACATTCTGAGAGCCATGGCTGAGCTCCACTGTGTATGGTGCCGTTTTGGTGATAAATCGAACTGTGAGCTCCTTGTCATCAGTGACTTCAGAGAACTTTTGCTTCTGGTCGCCTTGCCATGTTGCCACGCCCTGCAACCTGCACTCAAACGCTAGCGGTGGAACTGTGAAGAAGTCAACTTCAAGAGATTTGACACTTTCTTTACTTATGGTATCACAGTTGCCAAAGTCTACAAATCTGACAGTTATGGTTCCACCCTGTACACTTTCTATGACAGCTCTGTACCAGGCTTCATCAGCCGTGAACCGAGCACAACATGGCATCCCCTTAATGATGGAGGTCAGTGGACTCGTGTTGTCAGAGTTATACAGTTCCTGAAGTCTCTCCGACAGCTCAGTTACCAGGTCCTCTGCAGATGACAGCTGCACATAGAAGACCCCATTCTCCTCCACATGTGTCACGTAGGCGGAATTAGGTTGAGAGGGGACGGTCTGTGAGTTGTAAATCAGAGACAACTCACTACTTTCTGGTCCATTCATATCGACTTTCAGGAAGCCTTTCTCCTGCAACTTCTGAAGCACGTCAACACCATCGACCATTAATGAAACATCCTTGCCCTGCTTGAAGGCACATGTAATTTCTTTCTCTGCTGTTAATGTTTCAAAGTAAGCAATAGCATCATCTGTCCACTCTCCTGTCGCTGGGTCAGCATGTTCAAGAGCACATTCGAGAGCATAGGGTCCAGGTGAGAGCATGTTAGGAGAGAGCATCTTAACATCTTCCCCCTTTACAACATCCGAATTGCCATAGTCAACAAAATGAATAGTTACATTTTCTCCCTGAACAGACATGACCCTTCCTCTGTACCACTCTCCATCCTCCGAGTACCGGGCACAACATGGCTGACCACACTGAGGTTGATCCAGAGGTGTGCTTGCCCCATCACTATAGATGCCAGTCAGTTTTTCCATTACTGCATGTAGTTCGCTGTCAATGTGAGAGAGATGTACATAGAACTGGCTTGGACTTTCTGCCAGGCACACAAACACTTGCTGTGTCTTTCCTGTAGGTCGAATAAGCGCCGTGTAGTCCAGTCTTCTAGTTGCCGAGAGTCCGACAGATTTAGGTGGAGACACCTGTAAGGCGGGGAACATTTTCTTCAGGGTGTCAGGAATGGACTGTCCAGACAGTAGCACATCCACTACATGGGCATCTCCATCCACGGCTGTCACGGCCAGCTGCACTTCCCTTTCTGTCACAAGATCATGGAATGTGTCAACCACCTCCGGCCCTGAGCTACAGGTCAAGTCCAGCTTACAGTGTATGGCTTGTATGGGCAGGGTAAGGAACTGGGAACCAATTGCACAAACATTACAAGGACTTGCCAACTCAGAATTACCATAGTCCACAAACAGAACACTGACACCACTCTTGTCGACACGTTGCACCTGAGCACGGTACCAGGACAAGTCTTCGCTGTACTTGGCAACTGCTGCCATTGCTGGCTGAGGGTTTGGCAGCTGGATGCCATTGCCCTGAGAGTAGAAGCCTTCAAGGTCCTCCATCAGACGGTCCAAATCAGGCATCTTGTTTGACGGCTGGAACCAGAAACTGTCGAGGGAATCAATGTGTGACACAAACCCCGTCTCAGTCTGTCCTACATGCAGAGACACTCTGTTAGTAAATTTCAGCATGACCGATGACGGTGACTCCATAATGGCTTGAGAGGACATCTGCACTTCAGAGGCACTCTCTTGAACTTGTTTGGCAACTCCTGCAGACACTATTTCTGCCCCAACATCGTGTCCGTTCACCTCCAGTTTCACCATGTAGGATCCATTTTGTTGAGACAGGAAGGTACACACAGCTCCGTCTTTTGTAATATCCTCCAGGACACTTTTGGTATCCTCAGTCCAAGAGGAGGTGAGCGGACGGACTCCACTCAGACTGCACTGAATGGCTTGCATAGGTGTGTTGCTGATGTGAGGAGACACCTCCTTTAAGGTGTCTGCATTCACAGTGTCACTGTTCCCGAAATCCACAAACAAGATATCCACCTTCTTGCCTCTCATCTTGGTGACAAGCGCTCGGTACCATGCATCATCTTCAGAATATTGGGCTACGACTGCCATCCCAGGGAGGATGCTCCTGATGGGCGTTGCCTCTGTGGAGTAAATTCCTTGCACTTTCTCCACGAGGTCGTCCAACTGTGGCTGGCTGCTGCTTAACTGCACCCAAAATACTTCAGGATTTTCAACCCAAGAAACAAACACTTCAGCTCGACTTGTCAATGTTACATCAGGCCTAGGAAAAGTTGGTTGCTTAGATATATGCACAGGCACTCTTGGAATGTTACTTTTAATCAAAGTCCCATGACTGGCTTCGGCCATTTTCTCTGCAATGTCAAAACTCTTCACTGGATCCTTTAACCGCACAGGAACGCTTCCATCCACTGTCCTCCCATCTTGGGCAGCCAGCAGGTGCTTGTCCAGGCTGAGTGATTCAAACATCTCTGCTGAGGCATCACTCCACTCTTGAGAGCTGCTCTTTAAGTTGGACAACATACATTTGATAGCTTGAGCTGGTTCACTTCTAAACGTAGGTTTTAGATCTTTCACAGAACTCAGAGGAATTTTCTCAGTGTTGCCATAGTCTATGAAATACACCTCAATCTCCTCCTGGTCCACTGCCTGGACCACACCTCTGTACCACTGCAGGTCCTCGGAGAACCTGGCTGCACACAACATTCCCACTGTAGCTGTCTGAACACCAAGATCATCAGCAGGACCCAGCTGGTTGTACTCCCTGTTGAGCTGTGTGCTCAGATGATCTAGTCTCCCTGTACAGTTTACAAGCTGGCACCAGAACCTGCCTGGACTGTAGGCATACACCACCACAACTTCATTCTGGCCGGAGGACAGGTCCACAGTTGGGGGGCTCACTGGGAAGCTGCTACTGACTTGAGATGATGCTCCCCCTGCACCAACTGGGGCAGCAGCTGGAGTCCCATGCGAGTTCAAGGTCACCTTCATGTCAGCGTCACCTTGGCCGATGTGTATCTTCCTCGTGCTGCCTAGTGAGGCTTCCTCTATGCAGGTTGTATTTGTACTTGCCCCAAAGTCTATATTGATGTTCTTCCCTGCAGGACTAACCAGTTCTACTGAAAGAATTCCTCTCTCTGGTTTTACTCCCCTGAATGTGGCTGTGAATGACTGGTCAAGGGCGAGATCCTCGAACTGAGCCGTGAACTCGGGTGGCCAGTAGCCCTGTGTGCAGGTCACACCAGTCAGTCCACAGCAGACAGCCATTGGTTGAAGGGCCAGGTAGGCTGGCTGGATGACCTTCACCTTCTCGGCTGACATGCACTCAGAGTTGCCATAGTCGATGAAACGCACTTCCACCATTCCACTTTTCAGAATACCTGTAAGATGAAAATACAACATATTAATAAATGTGAGAAACAGGTATAACTTCACCAGTATATTTATCATCAACATGTTTTGAAGAACTAGATGGCTGGACATTCCTTGAAAATATTTCAATGCATATTAGAATTGTCAATGCACAGGGAAAACTGTGTATCCTTTCTGAATTGGAGACAAACGACTGAAGTATTTCTTTTCAGCCACTAGTTACATATCTTGTCGACCAGTGGAGATCCGGGTAAGAATTCAGTATACCTCCCATGTACCACAGGCTCCCCATCCCTCCTGTACCCATACCTGTTATGACAGCTCGGTACCATCCCTCATCTTCACTGAACTGGGCCACACACGCACTGCCAAGGACAGGCTGCCCCATGGTGCCGGCACTGCCTTCTAGACGGCTGTACTCATTGTGAAGGTCATCCATCAGGTGGTCAAGGTCGCCACTCCACCTGGCCAGCTGGACACAGAAGTGCTCTGGGTCTGTGATGTGTGACACAAACACCTCCTCTTGTGTACCCGGAGTTATCTCCACTTTCTTGAACTCTGGCGGTGACCTCATCATGCCCTGGCTCGGAGCTCTGAAAAAGACATCCTGAAACTCCAGTATTGTCTCTAAGTTGTGCTACTCTGTTCTATTCAAGTTCACATCAACAACAGCACATTAGAGGTACCTGTAAGCAGTGGATACATATATTGGACATATCTGCCAAAAGCCATTTTCCTTCACAAAGTTACATCCCCTGGTTGTTCCAGTAAGTGTTCTACAGACATCGGAACTAGAGGTGGGATGATACAGAAATTTCACGATACGATATGTATCGCGATATCTTGGAACTATACGATTCGATTCGATGCATATCACGATATGCTATCTTTAGTTATGTTCTTTAAAAAATCTTATTTTAATAGCAAGTGACAGTGTAAATTTTGACATAACTGTCAATATCTAGAAAAAATAACAATTTAAAGGTCAACGATACATATCACGATACGATCGTTGGATAAAGTATCACGATTATCGATATTACGATATATCGTCACAGCTCTAATCAGAACAAAGATGTCGGAGTGTGCTCACTAGGTTTGACTGTTTCACTGAACCTGTGGAACATACCAGCTGAACAGCCACACTCTGGAAGTTTGTGTAGGATCATTTAACCGTGTAGATTTGTATTACTTATCAAAACATAAACATTAATAGGTGTCTATTATTTAAGAACACATTCAGGACGTCACATCAACAGAGCATACAGTAAGTTTTTGCGGAAGCCACTGATGCTGAGCCAGTCGGACTGCTGACTTTGTGTGCTGGTGCTGGTGTGCCTCACACTGAAAGTGGGGGTTCGAATCCGGCATATACCTCAACCCCCAAGTACTCAAATCTGTACTTTACTGAGAAAGTATCGTCTCAAATATAACGTATGTTACACATGATACACATACAGACAAGAGTTTATTGATGTCAACTTCTTTTCTTTATTTGAGGATCACATTGTTTATAAACACAAGTTTAATCTTACTCATTCATCAAAGAAAGCTATCTGTAGCTGGGAAACACATAGCTATATACGAGGGGCATTTACTAAAGATTTCTTCATATCTGGCTGAAACTTGGCCTGTGTAGTGTTACATGAAGCTATAGGTCACATGATAATGTGCAGCATGGAACTCACACTGCTTCCTCTTGTACAAGTGTTAGATTGGAGTAAGGTGTAACTATGGAGCCAGTCAAGCAGTGATCATGTTTTTATAATTGAAAGGTCGCATGCCAAAAGAGACCTTTGATGAAATGAAAGAAACGTATGGGGAGGATGACCCATCATATGATGTTGTAAAACACTGGCATTGCCAGTTCAAGTGTGGCTGGACATCTGTTGAAAGTGCTCCCATTCCTGGGCGCCCCCTTTCTGCCATTGATGAAGACACCATCCAGCAAGTGGAGGCTGCCAGTTCGGAAGACAGACGTATAACTGATGACAGTTAGCCCAAAATGTCAAGATAAATGTAGGGTCTGTGTAGGGTCGGTGTAAATTGCGAGAAGCTATCAAACTCAAAAGGAGCGGCATGCTGACCAGAGGAGTCCGTCTCCTGCAAGACAATACCCCAGTCCACAACTTGCATATTGCCCAGAAAGAAGCGCCCTCTTGTGGCTATGAAAGCCTTCCACACACACCCTATCATCTGACTTTCACCTGTTTCCAACCAAGTCATTTTCGGAAGTGAAGTTGTGGCCTGAGGTTCAACCCACTGACTTTTACAACCAAGGCCTCCAGAGTTGCATAAATCGATGGGGAAAGTGTATAACTCTTGGTGCTACCGATGTAGGGAAAGACTAATAACTGTTCCAAGTCTTGTTTGTCTAAGTCTGTCGGAAGTGGGTATGGGGAAATCTTTAATGAACACCCTTATATGTACATGTACATGTGAAACAACAATGGTGACAACAACATAATACAACAGGACATTCTGTCATAGATCAGTGGGTTACTGGAACATTGAACCAGTTGCCTTTCCCAGTCAGTGAGATGTGATGAATTGCTGTGTGTTGTTACAGAACTACCCAGTATGCACACATTGCTTACCCTTGTGGGAATCTTGACATTGTTATTTGATTGTGACGAGTCGGACAGACTTCTCCTACCAGATCATGTGACCCATCTGAAACACAAGGAAATGAAATGTACACTCAGTTGCTATGGTTACAGGGTGACATATAACACACAGTCAGCTGATTATTATTATGTGACCAGCTGGACAAGCTCTGTGATATAAACCTGTGAAGATCCGATTCAAATTGTTTTTCTGTAACCCAAGCTTGTTAAGCTGACTTGGCTGACATGTCATCCTATTCCAATTGCGTAGATTGATGCTCATGCTGTTGATCACTATTTCGTCTGGTCCAGACTCGAATATTTACAGACCGCCGCCATATAGCTGGAACATTGCTGAGTGTGACATAAAACAACGAACCGAACCTGTGATGTAAACGATGTCCTTGCTGTATAAAACACAGCAATATTTATATATCTATGAACTAACTCTGACTATCCAACCTAAATTTATACAAACCTGTAGAGGTTATGAATTCTTTGAAGAAAGTCCTCCTTGGGGTACATATAAGCATTTAAATGTCCATTTTAAATCCTACGACAGTTGTAACTATATTTTTTAATAAAATATTTACAAAACAAAAAACTTGTTTTTGTCTTGTGAGACCACCCCTACAGGGCCCCACCTGACCCCCTACAGCCAAGAGCAGGTAACTCTCGCCGTCTACCTCGTACCTCACTTTTCATGCTGAACGTGTCAGACACAATGAGGGGAGGCGGGTGGCCGTACCCCAAGGAGGACTTTCTTCAAAGAATTCATAACCTCTCCAGGTTTGTATAATTCTTTTTCAGAAGAAGTCCTCCTTGGGGTACATATAAGCATATGACAGACTCCCAAAGATATTTGAGATGTGAGTGGCATTCTGTCTGGCAACAACTAAACCCGTGGTGGAGTGAAATCTACAACCGATACGGAAATAGAAAAAACACTTACCGAGCCACCTGACCGCTGATGCCAATCAGACGGGGGCGTGAACTAGAGAGCCCAAGCTTATATGTCAATTGGCTCAAATCAATTATGACATAAAACCCCACCCCCAACCATTACAATGGAAAGGAATGTATGGCGACATTCCGAAACAACTCCCAACCCTAATATAGCCCCAGCCAGAGAAGCGTGGCGAGAGGTAGAAGGGTAGGGAAAGCGTAAAAAAATTAAACGCTAAAAAGCCAATAACCCAGGAGTCAAGCTAATAAGTACTGCAAACTAATGCTCGAATGCACCCTTCCTGTTTGGAAGAGGGCTTGCCGGGACCTCGATAAAACCCAGAGAAATTATTAGCCTCGCTAAAAACTTTCTGAGGAAATCGAACGAACGAAAAACAGGATAGAACACCCCCACCAAACACTCTCGGCGTGAGGAGGGTAAGTGTAGACCACCATCCCACAAAGCTGATTAACACAGACTCCCAAATACCGAAGTCTCGGGAAGAGGGAAAAAACTGTAAGCATACAAAAATCCCCTGAATAGCGAAAAGCGTAGCCGAACATGTGTTGGCTCACCATTACACTAACCTGGTCACGTGACATGCGACTCGAAGAGAGGCATACCAAACAGTGCCCCTTGGGGGGTTTGTACCCAATTCTGTCGCAAGAAGGGTTAAAAGCATATGACAGGTTAAAGCGTTCAAAACGGACCCCGCCTTCTTGGAGAGGACGTAAGGGACGTATGTACACCCAAACCGGACCCAACCCGAAAGGATGGTAAGGCTAATACGATGTAGTGATATGAAATATATCGACATCGAACACAGAACCGATACCAATGACCAGTTACTAACTTGGTCAGGGTGGCAGGACACTCTCCACTGGAGAGAAACGAAAGACCGAACCCAGCACGATCCTTAGAATGCGTGTCAAGTTGGTAATGGCAAATGAAGGTGTTCTGCCGGCTCCAAAGAGCGACAGAACCGATCTCTTCATTGAGCAGTGCCGCTGTGTATTGCCAACAAAGCGGCATCTGCCCTACCCAGTCTGCCTTCAACCCCTCGGGAGGAGGTAAACATTATCATTGTAACCGAACAATTACGGAAACAAGCCAACGAGATAAAGTTTGCTTGCTAGCAGACTCCCCAGTCTTCCCGCCACCAGACAGAACACATGGGTACCAGTACGGATCCCTTTCGTTCGTTCGTTACAGTCACGGGTGAGCGATCGCAAGATTGGTCCCCGGTGTGGAAGGCTGGGTAAGGGGTGGAAGTGCGATATGAGCAGTCACGTGGAAAGCAATATCGCACTGAGAGTGGTAGGTATCCGGGAGGCGAATACGGACATGATCAGTATAAAATACTGTCAGTGTTGGGTCAGTGGGAATCCCAAGGATGTACCCGACCCTTCTACCAGAGCTCACCACAACAAGTAAAGTCGTCTTCCACGTCAACAAGTGAAGTGAGAGAGACGATATACTTGAAAAATCAGGGCCAGACAGCCAATTGAGAATAAGTGGCAATTTTAAGGTGAGCTGGGTCGCCGCCCAGGCGGTCGAACCCTGTTCATGCCAGCTATGAAGCGATGTACGAGAGGATGCTGCCTAGGCAGAGCACCATCGAACGAGGTGTGAAACGTGGAGTACCCGGGAATGGTGGAGGTCATAAGGCTCTCAACCAAAACGAGGTTATAGTAATCCAATATCCGAACTAAATCCGCAGAACAGGGATTATGAAATCCCCCTATCTGCACACCAGCGCGCTCCACCTATCAACACACTGAACGGGTGTCGAATCCCGCCTCGAAGCCAGAATTGTGTCTGCAACGATTGCAGGAATTCCGCGTGTCTGGGCGTTATACCCGACAGAGGCCAAGCCACCCAGTGAATCCGAGGAGAGACGCCTGACGTCTGTCCATCTGACTGCGTGAGGTTGACCAACACTGATCGTGAGGTCCCCAGACTCAATAGTTATTCTAAAACCACGATGAGCCAGTCGCCTAGGTACGGGTGACAACACCGGCACTGTGATCTGGCTATCTGAGCTGTAATAAACCTCAATTTGGTGAACACCCTTGGCGCCGTAATGTAGCCTAAGGGGAGCACAAGAAAATTGGTAGCACGTCCCGTCAAACAAGAACCGAAGGTAAATCTTGAAATCAAGGTGCAATGGAACAAGGAGGTACGCGACCTCGAGGTCGATTGACGTGCGCCAATCCCCTGTCGACAGATGAGATCACCGAGCGCGGTGTCTCCATCTTGAAGGACAGTACCTCTATTAACTTGTTCAGCTCTCAGATGAGAATGGGTCTGAACATTCCGTTCTTAATGGCAACGATGAAATAAATGGAGTCAAACCCCACATTTTCCTGACCATTGGAAACCACCACGCTGGTTGCCTTGCCCAGAAGAGACTGGATCTCGGCACGAAGTATTTTCGCCGTCTCCCGGGAAGCCGACACTGGAGTGTGTCGCTCCGACCGGGTTTGCGGCAGAATACAGTAAACCCCAGCAGTCGGCAACTTAACGTTTGCCGGTGCCTGGGCACCTGAGGAATTAACGAGAAGCTCGACAGACTTCCGTATTCCTCGAAACAGTCCCGGGTGTCATAGGCCCATAACGGCACTCATCATTTGGCTGGCACAGCTCCAATGCAGTCCCTAGCCAGATGAGAGTTGACCCCCGTCAGATGCCGCCCAGAGTCGCCGACGAAAAAATACCACCAGCGCTCTCTCCCCTTTCCACCAGCTCCCTCAGCAGAGCTGAGAGATGCGCCGAGTGGAGCATACAGCGTTGAGCTGTGAAGGGGAAAGAACGGCAGACTAACGGGAGAGTGTGAGGCCTTGTCCCGGATGCCTTGCTGGAAGCAGGCTTCCCTCCGGGAGGCGAACTCCAACGGTTCGGGTATTCGACGTGGACAACACCTGAGGCAACACAGCCGCGATTCTATCTCGCACTTGCCTCAGGGACGAACCTACTCAGTGGTAAGTTCAAAGTAGCGAAATGAGCCGAAGCTCAAATCGACTTGTCCACTGTACGAGCCTGAACCCCGGTTCCGAAGCACATGTGAGAAGCCTGACAAATCAAGGTTTCACAAGCACTCAGACAGAACTCGGAGCGTCGAGGTGACTGACACACCCGGCACACTCGATAGCATCTTGGTCAAGACGTCGATAGACATAAGGCCGAGACCTGAACTACCGGCGCCGGGAATCTGCGCCCTACCAGTGCCGAAGCCTGGGTCGGTGCTACCCACGGGGTTCAGAGTATCTGCGGAGCCGAAGTTCAGCGGTTCTAGACCGAACCCCGATCCCGAGACACGTAGGAGTAGCCTGATAAATCAGGTTTCCCCAAGTACTCTCCAAAAGCGCACTGAGCATATAGTCAAACATAGCCTATAGCGCTATATAAATACCCATACATACACATATACATATATATATATATATATATATATATACGTAAGTGCTCGGGTCGGCGGTTCGAGTTCGAACCCCGATCCCGAAAGACATGGGAGTAGCCTGACAATGCAGGGCTCCCCTGGTGTACACGGGTAGACCTCGGCGCGTCGAGGTGATCGGTAGCTCCGTCACACTCAACGGCCTCTTGGCCAGGGCATCGATAGACATCAGGCCAAGACCTGAGCTAACAGCTCCGGGGATCTGCTCCGTACCGGGGCCGAAGCCCGATCTACAGCCCGAGACACAAGGGAGTAGCCTGGCAATGCAGGGTTCCCCTGGTGTACACGGGTAGACCTAGGAGCGTCGAGGTGATCGGCAGCTCAGTGGAACTCAGACCAGGGCGCCGAGAGGAACCTGCCGATACAGGTTTCCCGGGCATCCCCGACTGACTACTAGGCGCCGAGGTGTCCCCGAGCTGGTATGCGCCGAGGCGACCGCCAGTCAGGGCACCAGGCGAAAACAGGGTGAAACCTGCATCGCAGGCGCCAGGCGCCTGTGACGAACCTGAGCCCAAAGCTAGGTCGCCACAAGGTGCCGAAGGCACACCATCACCTGAGCCGGAGCCAGGATCAAGCTGCCTGGGAGGAGGCACGTTCTCCGAGCCAGAGCTCGGGCCGCAGCCAACCCCCCCAGATGCGTCCGATCCACCCCCGACGACAGGCG